ATATAGATCTTTATGGATCAGCAAAATTATTATTAATAAAAAAAAAAATAATAAAAATTTCATCCGGATTCCGGGTCAAACCGGATATTTTTCATCCGGTTTATAATCCGGATGAAAACCGTGAAAATCCGGATATCCGAAAAAAAAAAAAATCCGGATCAATCCGGATTGATCCGGATACGGGTCGAGGCACTATCGTAATGTAGCACATATTATACCAAGTAGATCCGTCACACTTGGCCGCAGCTATTCTTTCATCACGTGATGTTTCATCATATGATTATAAATTTTCTTAACTAAATGATCAATGACAAATTCAGTAGTCGTGTAAAATCCTAATTTAGAGAAATTAGTAAGATAGTTTGGATAATAATAGCCTTTATCTTATTTTATTTTGTAGGAACCACGGATGGCGAAAGTGGTGTTAATCCAAAGGTGTTGGTAGGAAAAGGGTGTAGGAAGTGGTTTTAATTTTCTTTTTTTCTGCGTCTTAGGATTTTTTTTTAGCTTCACCTTTTTCACTTCGTTTTTTATTTTCCTCCTGTCCTAATGGACATCCGACGTTTTTCCTTTCCAACTTAGTACCAACGCCCATTTACGCGTTTTTATGCTTGCTCGTAGGCTCTTTAACTTCTATTAGTTTAGATTCCTTTGCTTGCGATACGGTGTTACTATGTATTAAAAAATAAAAAATAAAAATAAAAATCAATGTCAAGTTCATTTATACAAACAATTGCTTTCACTACATATTAGAGAAGACTTAACAACTCAGTAAATTGTTAAACACTTTGGTATTATTAGTAAATAAGCTGTTGATTGCTAATGTCAATATTTTAGAAAACATAGACGTGCAAGCTTCCTTTATTAGGTAGACCATGAATTTTCAACTCTAATGACCTAAAATACCTTGAAGTTCTGCTCAAAGAAAGGGTTGACTAGTATTTGTATAAACTTCAATCAGAAATGGAACTTTGGATGGGAAGAAGTCCAAGTATTTCAACTTTACATAGACTTGGATATACACAATAAAGTATACTATAATTTTTATTCCAGAAACATTTATTTTAATAATTAACATAAAATCATATTTTTATTTTACTTTTTTATTTTTATTTTTATTTTTAATATGAAGACAGAAACAGGGGCGTTACAAAAGTTGGAGTTGATAACTTTACAAAAGCTACACTAAACTACCTATATATGAGCAACCATCCCAATTTCCAACCCCCGAAGGAGTCGTCCTGCTTAATATTGCTGAGAACTATTATGCATACCAGTTCTGTAATTCGAGCGAGAAATAGAAAATTAAGCCTATCTAAATTATAAAATAATGAAAAAAAAAAAAATCTGTAAATTGTTCATTATTATTTAAAAATCAATACTATAATTAAAATCAGACAAAAATGAGATCCATCTCCAAACCATCAATAGAACTTACCACGAATTATCCAAGATACAATCGTCTGGAAACCTAAAAAAAGAAGAAATAAATAGCATTACCCTGTAAAAAATGTTGATCCGTGTTTTATATTTCCATGCTTTTTCCGTGAATGTACCATTTTCATGGAATTTTTACGAAAGCTAGAGGGAAATAATGGAAATATTCAAATAAAAAATTTTTTATAGGGTTAGTATGGTTATTAACACCAATAACGCTCACCCAAAGAAACTTACCGCAAAGTTGCCTAGTATCGTCTGATAGGGTACGAAAGAAGATGAACTAGTGTATTGAAGTGAAGTACCAGCCTGAGATGGATAATCAGCAAAATTATGGAGCGAAGTAGATCGCTCTGTCATATTCAATTGATGTTCATTATGGGATCTTGTGGATTGTTTGCGATGTCAGTAATTACGTTTCGAACGATTGGAAATGTTCCTTGATCGTTCCCATTTTTTTAGAGCTTCATTGTGCTGCGTCCAAATTTTATGATAGAGAATTTTAATTAGATAGGAAACAAATACGACGACTATTACTTTGTTAAGTGAAAATTTTCTTGTATATTTGTGAATAAGGTCTAATAGCAATTGGGAATAAATTGATACATGATAAGAAAAATAAGATGAGATTGATCAGTAACATTAGAGAAAATTTCACGTTGATTGATATCTTCTCGTAAGACGTCCGGCGTCAGTTTAATCATATGATGATATTTAACTATTAGAAAAAGAAAATATCACATGACAGTCTGACACCCGACATACTGTCGGTTCAAAATTTTATTTTGTCCCACATCTTATGAAAATAGCTGTAAATTGAAAATCCGTACGAAAATCCAGATTTCGTCGGATTCATCTAGATTAAATAACTGCTAGTTAATTCGGATTTTATCGACTACAATTATTGTGGACCGCCGTGTGTAAATCAGTATTATGCGTACTCCAGCGCTGACTCAGATTCTGACTAGTGCTTTTTCAGGGTAACCTGTTTGATCCTATTTATAGGTATGATAATGAATATAACATTAAATGTAATTAATATTTTTAAATTAGTTAACTGAGTTCCAGAATTCAGATTCATCCGTTAAAATTCTTAAGAAATAAATATAAATAAATTTTCGTCCAACTTGGTTCTCATTCTCTTAAAATAAGTATTATTTATATTATAATTGGATGAAATTAATTAAATAAAATTTAATATTAGCAAATTCATATCAAATGTCAACTGTAATAAGAGTATTTTCGCAAACACGAATCCGCCAGTAATCTGTCTATAATAAAACTCTAGAATTAAACAAATTAAACATTACAAACATAAATATAAATAATTAACCGATAAAAGTACTATGCCTTTAATTTTTTATAAATATTTAGCACGAAGTAGCATTAAATTTTTTAGATCGGTAAAATGGGCAAAATGCAGATAGTTTGAAGTATAAAAAGCAAAAGGAAAAGAAAATAAATAAAATTTTACCAATTTATTATTGTGGTTTCAAAATTATTGAAATTGATAAAATTTTTCGGTGTAATTTTTTTTTTTCGGGATATTTTACGTACATTCTATGCATATTTTCCATATACCTACCCGGATAATTTCCGAATGAAGACTGTGTTTCGTGTTTTATATTTTGTGTTGTGCATTTGTGTTTTGTGTTTTACGTACAGAAATTGTATGAACAATATTCTGAAAATGTATGTAAAATGCACAAAAAATGTACGAGGAAAAATTCACACTATATGAAAATTTTATCAATTTCAATAATTTTTGAAAACCACGATAATCATTATATAGCGATTTGATTAAAATTTCGCATAACATTTTTTTAATTGTATTTTATTTATAGCTAAACGTAAAGAACAAAGTATGCTTCGCTTTATTCATAAAAATACGTAGAATATTAGATAAATATTCGAAATCCATATCAGGATATTTAGTATTAATAATCCATACACGCATTCTTTTTTTTCCATTCATGTATGGAAATTACACATGTAGAAAACATTCACAATTCTAATGCATGTTATACCCAAGTTTACTTAATGGATTAAAGTCATTATTAATAAAGAAAGCTTCACTATAAATAAATTACCTTTAAATCATCACTCAACGTTTTGAGGCACAGCATAATGTAGATTTTTAATTTATTTAATAGTATTTATATAATAGTATAGAATAGTATAGAAACAATTCTTTAATTAGTACATTGGTAAAAGTTTCATAGTATTATGTTAAATATTATTGTATTTTATTTATCTCTTTTAAAAAATCTTACACATAAATATAAAATAGCCTATTTTCCAAAATTTGATATTATAAAATAAAATTACTGATGAAAATAAGTATGTCAAGTATAATAATAACATTTTATATCTAGCTTAATAATAACTAAATAACTGGTATAGTAGAAAAGCTTTGATTACATTCGTTACTAACATAGTTTTACATTAACAGAGTATATTTTAAGTATCTTTTAAGTTTGAAATTATCTAGAACATACTGGTAATGTTTTTCAAAACTTATACCTTCTTTTTTACATAACAAAAATGTATAAACAAATAAAAGATTATTTTGTACATAAGATATAATTAAAAATATCACAATCTTTATATTTTAACAATTTACCTAATTCATCTACTTTGATTTCATCTTTTTTAGTCCCAATTCCACGTTGATAACATGTTCTAAGATTATTTATTGAATCACGATGACCCTTTTCAGCTCCTTTTTTATATAATTCAAATGCTTTAACTTCATTTTTTTCAGTTCCAGTTCCTTTTTGATAACAACACCCAAGACTAAATATTGAATCACAATGACCTTTTTCAGCTGCTTCTTTATATGATTCAAATGCTTTGATTTCATTTTTTTCAGTTCCTAATCCATATTGATAACATGTACCAACTTGATATAATGCATCTGTATGACCAATTTCTGCTGCTCTTTTATATAATTCAAATGCCTTACTTCCACTTCTTTCATCAGTTCCTATTTTATAATGATAGCACTCTCCAAGGCTAAACATTGAATTAATATTACCTTTATCAGCTGCTTTCTTATAAAATTCAAATGCTTTGGTTTCATCTTTTTCAGTCCCTATTCCATATCTATAACAATATCCAAGGCTATCCATTGAATCAATATGACCTTTTTCAGCTGCTTCTTCATATAGTTCAAATGCTTCAATTTCATTTTTTCCAATTCCTATTCCGTGTTGATAGTAATATCCAAGATTATTATTTGCAGCTATATGACCTCCTTCAACTGCAGCCTTATAATGCCTAAATGCTTCTATTTGATCTTCCGAAATTCCTATTCCATATTGATAACATTTTCCAAGAGAATAAAATGAAGCTAAATTACCTTTACCAGCTGCATTCTCGTATAATTTAAATGCTTTGATTTCATTTTTTTCCGTTCCTATTCCATACTGATAACAATATCCAAGATTATATATTGAACTAATATGATTCTTTTCAGCTGCTACCTCATATAATTTAAATGCTTTAATTTCATTTTTTTCAGTTCCTATTCCTTTTTGATAGTAATATCCAAGATTTATCTGTTGAATCAATATAACCTTTCTCAACTGCTTTTTTATGTAGTCTAAATGCTTTAATTTCATTTTTCTTAGTCCCTATTCCTTCTTGATAACAATAACCAAGATTATTTATTGAAATATTAGAACCCGCGTCAGATACTGCTTTGTATAATTTGAATGCTTCAATTTCATTTTTTTCAGTTCCTATTCCATGTTGATAACAATATCCAAGCTTATCCATCGAATATAAATAATTTTTTTTAGCTGCTTTATTATATAATTCAAATGCTTCGATTTCATTCTTTTCAGCCCCTATTCCTTCTTGATAACATCTTGCAAGCATAATTATTGAAGGAATATGATCTCTGTCAGCTGCTTTTTTATATAATTTAAACGCTCTAATTTTATTGTTTTCGGTTCCCATTCCACACTGATAACATCCCCCAAGGATAAATATTGCGTCAATATCATTATTTTCAGCTGCTTCTTCATATAATTCAAATGCTTTAATTTCATTTTTTATAGTTCCTATTCCCATTCTATAGCAATCTCCAAGATTTCTCATAGAACTAATATCACCTTTTTCAACTGCTTCTTTAAATAATCCAAATGCTTTGTATTCATTTTTTTCGGTTCCTATTCCTTCTTGGTAACAATATCCAAGATCATTTATTGAATTAATATGCCCTTTTTTAGTAGCTTCTTCATATAATTCAAATGCTTTACTTTCGTCTTTTTTAGTTCCTATTCCTTCTTGATAGCAATGTCCAAGCCTATTTATTGCTACAATATCATATTCAGCTGCTTCTTTATATAACTCAAAAGCTTTAATTTCATTTTTATTAGTACCAATTTCATAGTTATAAAAAATTGCTAAAATAAGAACATTTTGTAAATTATCCTTATTGTCTGACAAATAATTGAATATTTCATTCTCATTTTTGCCTCTTGATATTATATGTTCTCTGATCGGCTGAGCATAAGATCCTTTCTCAATGATATCATACAATTCATTTACAATAATTTCATTATCAACATTGGTTGCTGTTAACTCTTCGTCAATTTGCATTTCATTAATTTTATCACATTCTTCACTTTCTTCTAATTTAAATATAATGAATCGTTAATATTAACAGTATTAACAGGTTAATCATTATCGAACGTAATGTCGGTTTCAATAATACCTGCAGTATTCAAATTAATTGATCTTAGGTTAGATAGCACTTGTTGCATAACTGGTCTATCATCTGGGTTATTTTGCCAACATTCTAAATCAATACGAAAAAAAGGAAAAACAGAATTAATATTTATTTGTGTTAGTAAATTAAACCAGAATTACATAATATATTGACGAATTTACTTCTATAAATATCAACATAACCAACTGGTGTACCAGAAATTGGCATCTCTCTTTTTCCGTTCAGAATTTCCAACATTAATGATGGACTTTGATAGCTCTCACTATAAGACTCGAATGGTATTCTCCCAGATGATATCTCCCACAGGAGTACACCAACACTGTATACATCTGATTTCTTATTTGCTTTATAGTAACAGTCACTACTATCTGTTTGCTCATTAAAATATTGTGGATCAATATAAGGAAGCATTCCGATAACATTTTTTTTATTTGATGATACTTCTGCTATCTTACGTGAAAGTCCAAAATCTGACAATTTAATTGTATTTTGATGAACTAATATATTATTGGAATGCTATTTATTAAATATAATTGGAAATATTATAAATTAATATTTTAATAGATAAGAAAGAATTCAAGTTCGCACATAATTTTACATGTATATTAAAATAAGCGTAATTTTTAAAAAAAAAATTTACTTACTAAGTCACGATGAATAATATCCTTTTTATGTATATAAGAGACTGCATTAGCAATTTGAATGGCAAATTGTAATTTAAAATTCCAATCTAATCCATAAAAATTATTTTTTAAATAATTCCTCAATGTACCGTTATCAGCATATTCAAGAACAAGTAAATAATCTGAAAATGCATCATCTTCATTATCTAAGTAAAATAAATTAATTAAATAATTTATCAAATCTTTGAATCTTAGGAAAAATAAAATTTAAATGTAAAATATCACTTACGCATTCTTTTAGTGATATCAAAAAATTGAATAATATTTTTATGATGATTAACTTTACGTAATGATTTAATCTAAAAAGAAAAGAAATACATTTTAATTATTAAATTATTAATCTGATAGCTAATCAACTCATTTTACCTCATTAACAATTTCTTTCATAACATCATAATTATCGTTTTTAAAAGATTTTAGAGCAACAACAATATCTCGACATTCCCAAGTGGCACGATATACTATACTGAATCCTCCAGAACCTATATATTGAATATTTTGAAATTCATCATAATCGTTGTAACTAATATAACCTTCAGCAATGCCTTTTTCAATCCATCGAACATATTTATCAGTATTGGAATTGGTCGTCATTTTCTTATTAATATTTTAGTAAGTTAAGTGAAGAAAGCATGAAATGTTTTACGTTAGACTAAAATAGTAGGAGATGATCATAAGTAATGTCACACAGTACTTGCGCCGATTAGGGGTCTAGGAGTTCTTTCGTTTTATAATAATACAGATCATGTGATGAAGGATGATCGAAAAAACAAATTGGAAATCCAATAAATACAGCTGCGTTACAGATAAACATACCGAAACCTCCCGAAACAGGACCCAGAAATAAATATACAGGGGTAGGGTACACAGATGCGTCGCCATCATAGTGGAATTAGACGGAGTAAAGTTTTGATTTGCGTACAATTTAAGAAATTTTCATCCATAGTTAGGTCTTTTATATGTAAAAGATTAGTTTGCGTATTTTTGGGCTAATCTTATATATAATATTTAATATTAATTGAAAGAAATTTCTAAGGGTTTATAATGAAATTTGAAATTTTAGAAAAATATTATTGAAAAAATGATAAATTCTATTTTCTCACATTAGTATTTGATTTTATATATAAATAATATAGAAGTCATAATAAAATAATTAATAACTTAATGTCTGAAATTTTATTTGCGTATTTTTACAGGATTTTCATGTCAATTATGCATACTACTCATATAAAAAGTCTCTGCGTACAGCTCATAGTAAAAAAATTTTTCGCGACCTGACCCTTATATATATATTTCTGGGTCCTCCCGAAACCCTTTAGGTTATACAGAAACTTAGTTTCGGAATTTGCATTTATTATATTTATTTTCCAAATCCCGAATTCAAAATCTAACCTGATAACTCCAAAAACTTTTATATACCAAATATAACCGAAACCTATTATTCTCACTTAGTTTATTTTTATTAAAATGTTAATTAAAATTATAACAATAACATAAAATTATTATTAATAAATTATATTAATTATGAATTAAAGACATAGTGCCCTTTGTCTATTTCGTCTTCTTGCTCAAAAAACTTTTCTGGACGTCCACCAGTGGTAAACTATCTGGCATTTTAAGTCTTAAAAAATAAGATAATTATCAAATATCGCTATTAAAAAAATAACTAATCGGGAATTGGGATTTATTTCAGGAATCAGAATTAATTTCAGAATATCGGATTTTCGAGATACCTGGAATTAGTTTCGGGTTTCGGAATTTGTTTAGGGTTTCGGGTTAGGTATATTTCAAAACCTGAATTCAGAAATCCTCTCAGAGGTTTCGGGCCTCATGATAACCAGACACATCATTTGGCTCTTTACGACCCTTTTGAGTTTTTTGCAAAATAATTTGATTATTAGACAAGTAATTCAGAAGTTAAGGCATAGAACAAACCACCTATTATGGCTTATAATTATGTATAATCTTTCTTCTTTCTTTAGTTTATTATAAGATAAAAGAAGAGTAAAAAAAAAAATTGCAGCAAAGGAAGCAGATATATCTAAGGTTGGTTTAATACACTTTTAATGAACAGTTTGGCTTATTATACATATTGATTAATTTTTAAAGGGAGATACCATAAAAAAATTCTTCTTTAGTATAATACTATTTAAAAAAAAAATAATTGAAAATTAATATTTTCAAAGCAACTTTTTAATAGTATTTTCTCTTTCAGGAACAGGTTTACTAGTTTTATTTCATCAATGTTTGAGAGTAATAAATAATTTTCTTTGGAATAGAATATATTGTAAGGTTCGAAGAAGAATTTTGTTGGTAAGAAATCTTATATAGATCTTAATAATAGTGATATAGTGTTCTTTTTCTTATATATATATATATTAAACATTTTGTATTATTTAAATGATAAAGTTGTACTTTAATTACTTTCTAATTTTGAAATTTTAACCGCCGGTTTTAAATAGATGGTACATATTAAAGTCCCTAATTTTATTCAAAATTTCAATTTTATATAAAATTTTAGAAACAGATACATCTTATTAATTTGAAAAGTTTGAATAATATTTATGCATCAAAAAAAAAAATGTATAGATAATGATCAATAACAATAAAAATAAGTATGCTTAATATTTTAATATGTAGGATATTTCAAAAAAAAACAAAAACTAATCTTGCAATGGTACTTGTACACTAGTCGAAATAGGACAAAGTGTCCGAGTAAATCAACGCGCAATCCAAGCAAATCAACGTGCCACGCAAAGAATACAAGCATTGTATGTCTTTTTTGACTATAATACTTTTATCAAATAAAATTAAAAAAAAAAATTAGTATATATAAACTTTGGTTTGTTTAATTACTAATAATACAAATAATTTTGATATACAGTACCTCATTAACAATTACTTTTATATTATCGTTATTTTAATGCAACAACAGTATCTGAACTCTCCCAAGTAGCTCGATAAACTTTACCAAAACCTCCAGTACCTATACAATTTATATTTTGAAATTCATTATAATCATGATAATTAATATAACCTTTAGCAATTCTATCCTCGATCCATTGTGCCCATTCATCTATATTAGCATTTTCCATTTTTTCTATAAGAATTATTTATTTTTTTTAAAAAAAAGTCCAAACAAATAAATACTAATTTATGCATGACCTGTATTAATTTTCGCTCCTACTTCCTTTGATTCTGGCTGGATTGATCAGATTGATCAACATCTGGAATTTTTTTGATTTGTAATCATCTGCAATCATCCGGGCCCATGTCTTCTGCCGTCATTATATGGAATTCGAGCTAATGTTTCGTTGATCTTCTAGATCTTCAAAATTTCTTTCGTTCCACGTCGGATCCAATGGGAACCTGGAGCGAAAATTAGTACACTAATTATGATTTGTTTAACAGTAATTAAGTTTCACTACATGATTATCCAATGTGATATTGATCAGATGATCAAAAAATTTTTCAACTCAAACTCGAAAAAAAATAGTAGTAAATACCACTTCAAACCCGTCGTCTATATTTAAAACCCATCTAACTTTGAAGTTAGAATAACCTGACAATTTCGCAGATATAGAAGTAGTTACTTAATAACGGTTTAATGCTTTTTGACAGATATATAGGTGTATAATATTGTTATAAAGCTGTGTTTATTTTGATATTAAATTTTGAATATTTTACAAGATAATTTTAAAGTTATTGACAAATTTTTCATACCCATAGCATAATATGGCTTGTCTCTTATTAGTATATGAAGATTGTATATAGTGTTTAATAAATTTTACTAAATCATGTTTAATAAATAAAACTCACTCTTTATAAATGTCGATATATCGTAAGATAAAAAAAATATTAAAAATATCGTGATCATCATGTGATTCCAAAAATCCGCGGATATGTACACGTCAATATGATCTACAGTACATACAGTATAAAAAAAAAATAAAGTTATTGGAAGTGATGATAGCAATGACGTTAAACTATGATCTTAATTTTATTGGAGAAATTAGCAGATCATGTGATGATCCACAAATCATGTGTCAGGGATGAATTTGTTTGTACTATGGGGGAACGATAACGTAGAACTGGGATGATTCGGGAAATTACATTATGGGTGAACGAACCAGTCGAACCATCTAAGCGGAGTAGTCCGGAATAACTTTACATCAATTAGAAAATTAATTTTTATAATTTTAGAAATTTTTGTTACCATGCGTTTTAGAAATTATTTAATAGGAAACTTTTAATTTTATTGGTTCTTTAATTTATTAAATTAATATTGAAAGTATTTCGTTTTTAATTCTTTTAGAAATTTTTTTCTTTCTTGAATTTTTTATTTTATTTCGTCTTTTGAACTTGGGAAATATGTATTTTATCTACTAATAATAAACTTTATTCTTCACACCACCTGTGAGGCAACGATTAACAAATCATACGGTATTAATAGAAAACTTCTGACGATCGATCATTTTAAGTAAAATGATTATGAACTTATAATATATTTCAAAAATATTGAATATAATTGGGATGAAGTCATACACTCATACAGCCAGTCAAAACGGTCGGCCAAACTTAATCGATTATTGACCGACCGATGACCGATCGACCATTGCCATCCCTAATAATGATTACCCGAAATCGCCATCCCAAAAATCAAGTAACACAAATAATTTTTTTTTTTTGAAAAGCTTATGGACTTAAAACATGATCTTCGATAATTGTCAACACTCGTGAGTAAAAAAGAAAGGATTTTCGTTCCAAAGATCTCGTCATCGTGGATCTTCACAAAATAATGCTTTATTATTACATGTAAATTTATCTACATACATGTCTCAAAATAATAGAAATCCAACAACAACAAAATACACCTTCACGTGAATCATACGTTCTTAAAAGATGAAATGCTCTTTTATCACGAATCAATAGGTTATTTACAGGATAAAGAAAATAAAGATTTTTAATTATATTTATGTTAAATAATTCAAAATTATTTATAAAAATGAATATTTAAAGATTACATTACAATTTATAACAGTTAATGATAAATGCCTTTCATCAACTTTATCTTAAATAACATTTGATGAATATGATTTTGAATACGAAGAATGTTCTTTATAATAAAATCGGTAGGAAATTTTTTTACTAAAAAAAATTAATTTATTTAGACATATAATCGATAATTATTAAATCTAATGAATTATTGGAATTTTTTAGAGGATGCGAAGGAATTCTTAATAAGAGTTGATAATAAGATATGGAAAATTTCGATATTATAAAAATGGAACATCATACATTATATGAGAGATTGTTTATGATACATTGTATTACCATAAAGGTTTAGAATAGTTGGATTTGTTTGTAAGAAATTGCTAAATTAGGTGAGAAATCAAAAAAAATAGGAATTTATAATACTTATTATTGTACGTTGCAACGTTGCAAATCAATAAACTGTGGCGGGGCGTTAAATTTCACAATAGAAATGATCATCACAATTATTATACAATTTTGTGTAAATAAAAACACATAAAAAGGAAAGTCCACCAGAAAACTCTTTTTATCCCTTTTACTTCCTTTTTAGAAGAAAAAAAAAAAAATTTTTTTTTTTCCACAATTTTGTTTTCTTTAAAAACATGGCAAGTTCAAAAGTATTAGATGGAGATTTACCTGAAATAACAAGTTTTATTTTACGTAATTTAAGAAATGATATTAAATCACTTCATTCATGTATATTGGTTAATCGATTTTGGTGTCGTATTGCAATACCATTATTATGGGAAAACCCTTTTTCTATTAATCTCAATAAAACAAATTCACATTTTCTTGATATTTATCTTTCATCATTTCATGACGATAACAATGTATTAGAAGAACTTGAAATTAATAGAATTAATAACACAAGATTATCATCATTTAATTATCCAAGTTATATTAGAACGGTTGATACTCATAAAATAGAAATGACTATTAGAGAATGGATTTTAAATTTCACTACATTGGCGAATGAAACCGATGAAACCGATGAAACAAATGAAACCAACGAAACAAATGAAATAAATGAAACGGTTGATAATAATTCAATTCAAACATCACAACAATCTATTATACCACGACCGTTAACGATATCACCGGAATTGGCCATCTCAATTTCTACTTTAGCAGAGAGCGCACAATCTTTAGTACATGCAGCTTTATCAGCTATATTTAATTTAAATAAACCTGATTCGCCAAAAGTTAAGAATGCAATTCAACGGATTTATACAGAAATATTTAAATTATTTATTGAAAGTGGAGCAACATTAAGTACATTTCATCTTAATATTGATAATTTAAATAGTGCAATATTTAATGATATTTACAAATTATTCTTAAATAATCCACAATTTATTTCTGATATTAAAAATTTTACATTTGGATTTAGAAGTACTTTACATATTGAATCATTAATTCAAAATTATCAATCAAAAATTAAACCTTTATTATTCACTTTATCATCATATTGTAATACCATTAAAAATATTAATTTGGAATTTTCTTTAAATAATCATCCACCATTCGCAAATGATATCGCTACAATTATTAATATACAAAAACAACTTTCTTCTTTAATTTGTTCGGATGATTTATCAAGTTCAATTTATCCTTTATTATCTTTTAATAATAATTCTTCAAATACTTTAACATCAATTAAATTTAGAAAATGTCATTTTAATAATACAATTCAATTTGATGGAATTAAAAATCTTAATAATCTTGATTCAATACAATTTATTAGTTGTAAAGGTTTAAGATATAATCTTATTAAACCTTTAATAGAAAATCCTTTTCCTTTAAAAATTAAAACTTTAGCAATTATGGGTTGTGAAATTGATAATGATGATTTTGATAATACATTTTTTGATCCTTTATTTAAAAAAATTGGTAATTTTTTAGAAAATTTATTTATAAGTTTTCATAAAAATTATTCAAAAAAATTATTAGAAACTTTATTAAATAATTGTTCTAATATAAAATTCCTTTATTTAACTGATATTTCTTATAGTAATATAAATCATTTATTACAATTAATTCCTTTTTTAAATAATACTCTTAAATATCTTACTATTAATGTTAAATTCGTTAATTGGTATGATAATGAATTTAATGATAATTATCAAAGATCTTTAAAAATTAGTTCTAAAATATTAAAAACTTTAGGAAAAGAATTACCTTTAGATTTAAAATATTTAAACCTTTCTTTTATACTTATAGATTCTAATGATTTAAATCTTTTTTTTCAAAATTCAAATCATGTAAAATTTGAAAAATTTTTATTAAGAACAAGAAATAATGATGTTGATCCTATTTTAAATGTTTTACAAGATTTTATTAAAAATAATGATAATTTAAAATATATAGCTTATGAAAAAGGTAGTATTAATTCAATTGATGATGAAATTTGTTATAAGGGTTTAGAAGATAGAATTAGAGAATGTGGATCTTCTGTTAAAGTTGAAAAATATAATGATATTCGTATAGATACGAATTATATTTAGGGGTAGGTAGGATGGGATAGGCGGGATAGGGCGTGATAAGAAAGGAAGTTTTTAGGATCATAGGCCGATAGGGTAGGTAGGGTAAGGGCCGATAGAGTAAGGATGGGATAGGAGATTTTTAGGATAGGCCGATAGGGTAAGATAGGGCCGATAGGGTAGGAAGGAGTTTTTATTTTATTTTATTTTTTTTTTTGTACAAAATTGTATCAACTAAATTATATCAACGAAATTATTAATTCAACTTTTTATATCTACGAAATTACAAAATTAATAAAGATTTATTAAAAAAAAAAAAAATTATGATCGTATCATCTTTAATTTCTGCATTAGCTGGTAAATGTGTAACGAAAGATGACATGTATTTACGCGTTAATCTAGTTCGGCAAACCGAACCTTCGCTTTATCTATTCCATTGTCTGATGCTACTTTACAACACCTAATTGCCTCCTCAATATTTACTTTGGCTCCGATTCCAAAATAAAATAATAACAATCTCCTAAATTATTATGCGCCATCGCATCCCCATTTTTGGCCGATTTTAAATACCATTGCTTTCTCATAATCTTGTTGCGTTCCTATTCCATTAGAATAATAAAATCCTACAACACACTGTCCTTTGGAATATCCTCCAATAGCTGATTTCATAAATAATTCAAATGCTTTCTTACCATCTTCATTTTTTCCTATTCCATTTGTATAACAAATACTGACTCGTAACGTATCCATTATTAGCTGATATTAAAGATGATCTAAATTCACTTTCTATCTCATTTTCATTTTGTGCGGAGAGACATTCGAATTCTATAAACCATCTTAACGCTTCATCACCTTTTTAATCGTCCCTACATCATAATAACATGATGTTATCTTTAATTGTGCATCGTGATCCAGTGATGGTAAAAAGATGAAACACAGCTCGTTAGAATCGTCTTACTGAGACGAATCAAATGGTGGTAAATTCGCACTCCTAAGCACGATAGATGACGAGACATTGAATAAAATATTACAATCCGGCATTTTTCATTTACGTTGTCACCACCGTCTGCCACCCGGTGCGACAAATAATTCACGTCTATATTGTTACCTTCATCATAACTGATAACACAGCCCTAATTTGTATCACCTTTCTCGACACGTTTCAATAAATTTCCAAACCTTTTTGATAATCTAAAATCTTTATATTTTTCTCCATAATTCTCTTTAACTTTCACGCATTCTTTCATTCTTATACTAACTCCTTCACCATAAACATTCAAAACATTTTTTAATATTCTTGATAAAATTATTTTTTGATATCAAATTATTTAAATTTTTTTTCAAAATTATTTTTCGAATTTTTCAAATTTTCGAATTTCTTCGTTGGTTCGATCGATTGATTTTCGTTCATATATTCATGATAATTGATTTTATCGTTTCTCCTTTTATCTAAAATAATGATAATAAATATTTTCTAAAATTTTTTAAAATTTTAAATTCATAATCAAAAATATTTTTAAAAATGATTTAATTGATTCAAAATCGAAATCAAATTCAACAAATTTTTCTTCACTTTTATTATTAATAATTAATAAATAATTTTCTAAAGCTTTATCCTATTAAACTATTAAACCAAGATTTATTTTCTTAATAATTCAAGAATGAAAATTTCTGAATCATTATCGATAATAATAATCTTTTATCAATTCATTTAAATTATTTTCAAAAATTTTTATATCATCTATTCATTTCAATTATTTTAATATAAATCTCTTTTAAAAAATCTTTAACGTTAAATAAATTTTCTATGAATTCTTAATTCTTCACCTTTTTTTTTTTTTTGAGAAATAAAATATGTTAATGTAATATAACTGTGTACATGTTTGTATATGAATAAGCATAATCAAGATTTCAAAAGTATTATGATTTCAAAACGTAATCAATCGTACAATAGTGAATCACCGTTTCACAATCAAATTTAATCATGCGATCCCACATGAACCCCTGAATTCGAAGATATCTCCCTAATTGTAAGAGTTGCCTTTTTGATACAAAGGAAACTTTAAGTGTAATAAGTGGTACCCTATATTAGTCATCTTTTGTATATGTGATATCTCCTTATTGTCACCTCGGGCTGGGGATCAGGTTCCTTTTCATTGCACAAAATATTCAAAATATTACAAATATTTCAAATTTGGTGAATAATCTAACTTTTATTGTAACCCAATTCAAATATTTAGGAAACCTATTTTCATTGTTTTTTTTACTTAAACCGTATTTATTATTTCTACATAACAAAAAGATTTTTTTTTTTTTTTTTTTTTAAAAATTTTTTTTTTTTTTATTTTTTTTTTGAACGAAACCATCTTATCTTTTTTTAAAAATGATGAAAGGAATTTCTTTAGAACATGATTTTAGATTAATGATAAATAATCCAAAATATAGTGATATAGAAATTATATGTGAAGATAAAAAAAAATTATATGGTTCTAGAGCAATATTAGCAGCAAGATCCGAAATTTTCGATAAATTACTTTATAATGGAATGAAAGAAAGTTTTGAAAAAGAAATTTCTTTACCAGAAATTAATTCTTTTGCTATGAATATTATTTTAGAATATATTTATACTGGAAAACTTCAAGAAGATTCTTTAAATAAAGATAATACAATTGAAGCTTTTTTTGCCGCAGATTATTTTAATTTACCTGAACTTCAAAAATTTATTGTTGAAAATGTTAAGGAAAATTTAGAAAAAAATTATACTGATAATTATTCACCAGAATTATTATCTAGAGTTCGTGAAAAAACTAATGGTGATAATATTCTTCTTAATTCATTGGCTGATTCAGTAGCCGTTATTCCATTAAACAATCTCGAAATTGGTCGTTTATCTATCGCTGGTCTTAAGTACTTTTTAGAATATATACATCAAAAAGAAATTCCCTTTGCAACAACAGAATATGAAATTTTTCGATATAGTGCACTTCTTACGGCAAAACAAATTTCTTATGATGCATTTACAGATCTCGAGAAACGGTTACCGACATTAAAAAAAATGAGGGATATTAGTGATGATGATGATGATGATGATGATGATGATGATAAAGACGATGATAATGATAAAGATGATGATAAAGATAAAGATGATGATAGTCCAATTATTGAGAAGGATAGAATTGCAGAAGAATTTGAACCTTTGACTAAATATATTGATTTCAGGCGAATTGACGGTAAAATCTTAAATGATATTATTGATCCATTAGAAATCGTTCCTATGAAAACACTTTACAATGCCACTAAATATCAAGCAAAGCACGGTAATTCAAGTTTAAGTGATATTCGTGGAATTTCACCATCATTGTATAGGTTTACCGAATCCGATTGTGTTTGGAACGAATCATTTCACGGATCTTTAATTTCTCTTTTGGATGGTGGAAAAGTTGCTGAAGCTTCAAGTAGTGAACTTCAAAATGTCAGAGCAAACATTTTATGTTGTAAAGGTGTTTATGAATGGGATATAATTATTGAGAAATATTGTGTATTTACTTGGATCGGGGTATGTTCAGCAGAATCTAAGTTGGATTATGAAAGTTTTGCGGGATCACAATCTAATGCATGGATACTAGGTTCCTCTGGTGAATGTAGGAATGGCCAAGATACTTTCAAATATTGTTCTTCATTTGCTGGGAATTATCAAACAGTAACTGTTCATTTAGATATGACTCAAAAAACGATCGCTTTCACAGTTAAAGGTGAAAGACAATCGGAAGTATTGAAGTGGAATAATCTACCGTCAAAACTTTATCCAATCGTTTCAATATGTGAACCTGGAAGAATTCGAATTCAGCCTCACAAAAATAAATGTTAATGTTAATGTTTAGAAAGAAGAAAAAAAAAAAAAAAATTTAATTAAATTTCAAGCTATTGTAACTTTTTTTTTTAACTTTTTTAAAAAAATTTATTTTTGTTGATTCTAACATTTTTTTTTTTTTATATATAATATATAAGGTTTAAAGGTTTTCGTCGATTTGATTTAATAACGAATTGATTAAACTTTATTACTGATAATCAGTAAATGGGTAGATCAACGTTGTCACTAACAACATACACAGAATTTTTCGAAAAAAAAAATTGCCCACGACATCCTTTCTTGAAACGTGAAGTGATGGTGATCGTGATTGAGATGAATGATAGTTTATCTTCGTGTTCTCGATACTTCGATACTTCTTTACGATAAATGTCGTTCTAACGTTAAAAAACAGGAGAGAAGCGTGAACTTTAGTGATGGCCAAGTTATTTCTTGAATTATGAAAAATTACTCATAGGTTTTCTATAACATCATCTTTTAAGCAGCAAGGTCGACAAACTGTGATGAAAAAAAATTATTTTTAGAAACAATTCACGAAGAGTCTTTTAACTGAAGATAAGCTGTAATGATCACATTTTCTTCATCGAAAGACGTCTAGAAATTCATTGTTATACACGCTCAATAAGACGGAGTATTCGGAGGAAATACTTTATCATCAAGTACGTTAAATAGTGTATTTTATTTTATTTATTGCAAAAAAAAGTGAAATAATGATTTACTTGTGTGATCAATATGGAACTTGAATTAACTATGTTTTTCTTATTACAGAAAAGAACGGATTTAAACCTAAAGACAACAAGATCACACATTTTTTTAAAAAAATCTGATTCAAATCTTGATTCTTCATATAAATCATCAAATCTCTTATATGCGAGAAGGATTAATAATGGTAGTAGAGGGAATTGTTTAAATTGGGCGATTTTTATAGATTCAAATCACTGAGCTCAGTAAGTCAGTTTAATAATAGATATCAACATTGGATGTAAAATCCCGTCGATTACATTATTCTCACTATTGATAAAAAATAATTTTTTTTCTTTATTTAAAAATAAAGTAATTTTTTATTTTCCGATGATATAACCAACTAAAACGGATAACGACATCAAGATCGATATTCAATCATCAAATAGTGTTTTGATCCGAATGAATCCGTGATCTATCAATTCGATTCATAACGATACAATATACTTCAGACCTAACGCAAGGATTGTCACCAAAAACTTGATGATGCAAAAACCTAAGCCGAATATCTCATGATCACTGGTATATATATTCCAATTATTCATAATTACTCGAAAATCTTTTTGATATGGCTATTTATTTACGACCTTCTTTAATACGTTCTTTTAGACGTAGCCCAATAATTACTCTGAAACCTTCATCAAATCTTTTTATAGCAAATCCACATGTTACTTGTCGGAGAAATGGTTCAACAACTTCTGAAAATCGTGATGGTTTAAGTGAGTGTCTCTTTTTGGTATCTGTTTTACCTGTATTAAGTTATTGTTGACTTTTTTTTCTTTTTTTCTCCAAAGATATAAATAAATCTCCTACTACCACTAAATCTCCTATTACAACCGGTAAGTAGATTTATAAATTTTGAGTATATACTTTCATATGGATCACTGACTAAACATTTTAAATAGGAATTACGAAAGGATATTCATTAGAACAAGATTTAAGATCGTTAATAAATCATCTAGAACGTAGTGATATAGAAATTTTATGTAAGGATGGTAAAAGATTATTTGGTTGTAAAGCAATTTTAGCATCAAGATCAGAAATATTTGATAAATTAATTTATAAAGAAGGTAATCAAAAACAAATTTCTTTACCAGAGATTCAATATTCTGGAATGGAAAATATTTTAGAATATTTTTATACAGGATCAATTAAAGAATTTTTATCTCGAGATAATATACTTGAAACTTATCAAGCAGCAAAATATTTTAATATATCAACTATTCAAGATTTTATTATTAATGAACTTCAAAATATTTCAGAAAAGAATTATGAAGATAATTTATCACCAGAATTATTATCTAAAGCTTTAGAAATGATATTATTAAATGATGATGATAAAATTTTAAATTTATTAGTTAAATCATTAGCAATGATTCCATTAAATGATATTAAATATGATAGATTATCTATTAAAGGACTTCAATATCTTTTACAATATACATTTGAAAAAGAAATGAAATTTGCAACTACTGAATATGATGTTTTAAGATATAGTTCTATGTTGGCTGCAAAACAAGTTTCTAATCAAGCATATAATTCTCTTATGCAAAATTTTCCAACTTTAGATAAAGCAGAAGAACAGATTAAAAGATGGTTTAATTTTAGAAAAAGGTTTCCTAAAGGATGGTTCATCATAGATCGTAGAAAAATTATTAAAAAATTAAAACCTCTTATTAAATTTATTGATTTTAAACGAATCAAAAAAGAAATCATATATAATATCATTATACCATTAAGAATTATTCCAAATGAAATAATTGAAAGTATAGATAAATCAGGTTCAAAATTAAATGATATTAGAGGGATACCAGTATTATATAAAAAATCTACAAAATTTGATTATATATGGGATGATGTAATTTGCGGTCGAGGTCTTAAAATTAAGGATAATGGAAAGGTGGTACAAGCAACAAATGATATGATTTTTAGACAAAATGTTAGAACTATTAAGGGATTAGAAAAAGGTATTTTTGAATGGGAAATCATTATTGAAAAATCTTGTGAATATACTTCAATCGGTGTATGCGGAATAGAAAATTTTGATCAAGAGATCTGGGCGGGATATCAATCTAACGGATGGGTATTAAATTTCAATGGTTATTGCTATAATTCTGGAAAATGTAATTATTATTGTGAACCATTTACTAAGGATGGTACCAAAATTATAGTTCATTTAGATATGAATTTAAGGACCTGTGCATTTACAGTCAATGGTACAAAGTATCCAGAGGTATCAGAATGGAATAATTTACCATCGAAGCTATATCCAGTAGTATCATTATGTGCTTCCGCTCGATGTCGAATTCAACCTCATCAAACATATGACTCACCAAATCAAAAAGATGATTGATAGGACTAAAATTTAAGTTGGAAATTTTACAAATTGGTTGTATTGACCAAGCTTATGTTAATGAATTTAATAAAATAAATGTGGTACTTTAAAAATAAGTAAATAATAAATAAATTCGTTAATACTAAATTTCTAAATGATTAATATTTAATGATTTCTGTCATTTACTCATGATGAGTATTTTATAAAATTTATTTTGCCAATCAAAATCAATAGAATCCGCGAATACGTTAATTCATCAATATTACAAAATATATACAGTATGATTGTTGCTATTGATCGCAGTATCTTTTATTGACCGTAATAGTGTTCACTTCGAAAAAAAAAAGACCAAGAAACTTCGTACCATTTCACGCTTATTAACCGCAGTAGTAAACGATTGTTACTATTGATTGCAGTAGTATCTTTTAATTGACCGTAGCAGATACCATAACAGTAAAAGGAAAGTTCACTTTGCCATAAATTCTAAAAATAATATAAATAGACCAAGAAATTTCATAACATTTTTGATTTCTACATCTTTGTGCATGGGTAATAACTGCGCTAGTGAGGATTTTATCTGAAGCCAGTTGTTTGCTGTTTGCAAACTTCCCAATCGCATCATCTTTCGCAATAGTCGGAAGAGAATTTTTTGAAAAGGGGGAACCCTATAAGAAATTTTAGCGGGTTGGGAGTGAAGTGTAAATAATTTTTTTTTATAATTCGTATAGTACATCATATTTATTATGCTTACTACTAAATAACGCTACAATATATTGTTACGAAATCCAATAATATTCGCATCAGTATAAATTATAGAAATGCGTGAAAAAAAATTTAAATAATTGGTTAACATAAGAATAACTTCATTACTTCTCTTAATTTAAATGACTTAATATATACCATCTGTTCGACAAAGTTTAAAAAAACAAATATTTTTTTTGATCTCGTAAAACTTCAATTAACAAACATTTTTTTTAATTTCATCGAAAGGATATAAGTAATAATATATCGGATTATCGGTCAATATTGTGTCTCCTCATTTTTTGGAAATTTAACGTGGGGAAAGTTTATCAACTTTATCATTTATGCGTCTCTTTATATGATGATATACATCATTTTTTCCCGTATACCCATACATGTAAATTATTTATTACGTACATTTTTATTTCTTTTGAAATTTTAGTTTTTTTTTCTTCTTCGGAATTTGGGAATTTGTCACATTCATTAAAAAAAAAATGATTTACTGCGGCATATTTATTCAATATCAATAAAATCCACGAAAGCGTTAATTCATCAATATTATAAAAAAATATATGTATACACATGGATATTTATACAAAATGTTTATTTTAAAATTTTAGTTTTTTTTTTCGCTCATCATATAATGATTTGCTGCGGCATAATATTCTAAGAGCAAACAGGAGTAAACCGGATTACTTAAAATAATATGAATAAGTATTTAAAATTTTGAGAGTTTACAACAATCAAGTCTCGGTTAGTATAGTGGTTAGTATCCCCGCCTGTCAGGGTATCCAGCACGCGGGAGACCGGGGTTCAATTCCCCGACCGAGAGCAAAATTTTTTGAATTTTTCTGCGGAATTTTTTTTTTTGATTTTTTCATGTTAAAATGAATATTGTATACTTGATAATGTGATCACTAAACAAAAATTTATTATAAAAACTACAGTTTAGAATTATTAAAATAATATCGTTTATTTAATAAAATTGAAACAGTCCCGATATACAGTGTAAATCAAAATAACTTTACGATATATCTTTAGCTTTAGTAGAATAATAATCGGAAAAGCACATAAAAAGGTAAAGTAATGAAAATATTAGTTCATTTTCAATATCATTTCAAAAATTCGGTTGGGATAAGTAAGATTAGAGGCTCCGAATAAGTTTTTTACTTTGCCACATTTAAATTACTTCGTAAGTATTTGTTGGGTGACGTCACCCAAAATTGTTTCGGTTATTTAATAACATTTTCGTCATACAACTTTAAAATTATTGTCAAATAACTAGCTGTAACCTGTTGCGTTGCAACAGAATTAAATGAGTTTAAATCAATATAATCAGCGTGAAAAAAAAGTTTGCAAAAATTTCGGAATTTTACCGGCAAAGCATAACAATTCCGGAAATTTATTTTTTCAACAGGAATATGACCAGAATTAAAAATATCTTAATTTATTTTTAAAATATACCGGAAATCTGGCCGGGATCATAAAATTTTACCGGATTTATCAAAAATTTACCGGAAAACCCGGCTAAATTACAATAGATTTTTCACGCTGAATATAACAATAAAATATTTAAATAAGATAAAAATTCATAAAAAAAATATGTATAAAAATAAATGAAAAATTTCAAAAAAACTGGAATAAAAATATTAAAAATTATTAAAAATTTCGGTTAACCGAAAAAAGAATAATATTAAAAAAAAGATCCGATCTTCAAAAGTGACCGAAAAAAGGTGGATGATGCGATCAACCGCAGCAGCGATTGAATGTTCTGAACGTACACGTGACCCTACAGCCAATCAAATTATTCAAATCATAATAATCATCAACCTATGTCAAACGAGGTGTGTCAGGTGCGTCGAATGATTAGCCTTCCAAAAATCAGCCCATACGCGCAGACGAATCACAATTCAGTAATATTTATGCAGATTAATCTAAACGTTACCGGTTACACATGAATTTTTTTAATTATATAGATTATTAAGGGGATGGCCAGAAATGACGTCATTTCCCAAAAGTGGGACATGTTGATGTTACACACCTTCCATTTTTAGACACTTGTAGTTAATATAATTCTAGCCAGAAATTTTACATTTCCTAAAATGAATGATGACATAGGGGGAGGGGGTCAAAAATCCTAAAATTTAAATTACGTCATTTCTGGCCTGAAAGAGTCTATGAAGAATTTGCCAATATAAAAGGGTCCAACATAATTATAACAATTTATTCATTGTTATACGCCGTTTTCAAAAAAGTGTACAGATCATAAATCACGAGATTTCCCAGACTTCCCTCTTTTTTCAAGACTTACCTTTTTATATAAAAGATTAATTTTACGATTAATTTGAATTAATGATCAGATTTTTCGATTTCTTGATTCCCCCGTATACATAAAAATGAGCTGGTCAACCAAAATTATTCGGAAATCAGTGCATGAACTGTTTATTTTGCGAATAATTTTTTTTTCACTTGTGTATATGCCACATAATTAATTATTTAAATTATAACACAACATATTTAGTTTGTATCCTTGTTGATCTTTCTAAACCATAAATGACTAATTTTATGATCAGTTTGTTTGATTACAATTGTCACCTTCCCTTTTTGAATATAAACATGATTTTAATAGGAAAAAGTATAGGTAATAGAAATTTCAAACTTTTGTTTCATTACAAAGAAAAAATTTCAAAAAATTCATAAAAATGACGAGAGGATATTCATTAGAAAATGATTTAAGATTATTATTAAATAATCCAAAGTATAGCGATATAGAGATTTTATGTAAAAATGAAGAAAAATTATATGGTTGTAGAGCGATTTTAGCAGCAAGATCCCATGTATTTGATGGATTACTTTATAATGGGATGAAAGAAAGTTATGAAAATCAAATTTCTTTTCCTACGATCAATTATTCTGCGATGGAGATTATATTAGAACATACTTATACTGGATCAATTAAAGAAGAATATTTAACAAAAGATAATATAATTGAAGCTTTGTATGCTGCGGATTATTTTCAATTATTAGAACTTCAAGATTTTATTATGACAACTCTTAAAAATACCTTAAGAAAAAATTATACAGATAATTATTCACCGGAATTATTTTCTAAAGTTGTTGAAATAATACCATTAACTGAAGATAATATTCTTCTTAATTTATTGGTTGAATCAGTAGCAATTATTCCATTAAATACTATTGAATTTGGTCGATTGTCTATTGCAGGTCTTGAATATCTTTTATTTCGTACACATGAAAAAGAAATACCTTTCGCGACACCAGAATATGAAGTTTTTCGATATTGTGCTATTCTTGCAGCAAAACAAGTTTCTAATGACGCATATAAAACTCTTATGGAACGTTTACCAACCTTAGATTTAATAAAGGATTCAATAAAATCAGAATATAAATATATTATCAATCGTCAAATAGTCGCTAAAGAATTGGAACCTTTGGTTAAATTTATTGAATTTAGACGGATCAAAGGTCATATATTAGTTGATATTATCGAACCATTAGAAATTATTCCACCTGAAATCATTTTAAATGTCTATCGTCATAAAACTAAATCAAATATTTCTGATTATAATAATATTCGTGGAATACCATTTGATATTATGTGGGATGAAACAGCATGTGGATCAAAACTTATTATAGAGGAAAATAGAAAAATCATACATGCATCAAATGATTGTGATCTACATCAAAGTATTAGAGGTAAAATGAAATTAGAAAATAAAGGTATCTTTGAATGGGACGTTATTGTTGAAAAATATTGTGATTATACTTGGGTTGGAATATGTTCATCAGAAAATTTTAATTATGAAACCTTTGCAGGAAAACAACCTACTGGTTGGGTATTAGGTTCCAGTGGTTATTGTTATAATTCTCATAATAGATCAAATTATTGTCCATCATTTGGAGGTGGTACAAAAATTACTGTTCATTTAGATATGGATAAAAGAACTTGTGCTTTTACAGTTAATGGTATAAAATATCCGGAGGTATCAGAATGGAATAATTTACCATCAAAACTTTATCCGGTAGCATCATTATATTATCCTGGTCGTTTAAGAATTCAATCTCATCAAAAATCTGAACCATCTTGAGATATTCTTGAATATTCGTTATTAAAGTAAATAGTTAACTGATAACAACTATTAAAACTTTAATAATCTATAAATAAATTCATTTTTTACGTTAAAAATGACTTTGGAGAAAATTTATAAATCACGAAAGTTTCCAACTTTCGTATTAATAATCTAAAATCAACGCTTACATTCAAAAAGGAAGAATATACTTTATGCGGTAAAATTTATCGTCATAAAATCGTCAAAACCGGAAAAGATTAGTCATTTGTGGCTTAGAAAATCAATGGAAGATCCTAATCATGGGATACATAATAAAGGCGCAGCTAAATACGGAAAAAAATTCTCACCATAGAAAACCGTATTTTTTTCCCAAACATTTTCTTAAAAAAGGATGAGAGGATATTCACTAGAACAAGATTTAAAATTATTAATAAATAATTCAAAGTATAGCGATTTAGAAATTTTATGTGAAGATGGAAAGAAATTACACGCTTGTAGAGCAATTTTAGCAGCAAGGTCCGAAGTATTTGATGGTTTACTTTATAATGGAATGAAGGAAACTTATGAAAACCTGATTTCTTTTCCAAAAATTAATTCAGCTGGAATGGAGATTATATTAGAATATATTTATACTGGATCAGTTAAAAAAAAATCTTTTACAAGAGATAATATAATTGAAGCTTTGTATGCTTCAGATTTTTTTCAATTAACAGAACTTCATGATTTTATTATGAAAACAATTAAGAATTCTAATTTCGTAAAAAATTATTCACCAGAATTATTATCAAAAGTTGTAAATATAATGCCATTATCAGAAGATAATATTTTTCTAAATTTACTGGTTGAAGCTGTAGCGGCTATTCCATTAAATACTATTGAATTTAATCGATTATCTATTGCGGCATTACAGTATCTTTTATTTCGTACACATGAAAAAGAAACAACATTTGCAACCTCAGAATATGAAGTTTTTCGATATTGTGCTATTCTTACAGCAAAACAAGTTTCCAATGATGCATACAAAACTCTTATGGAATGGTTGCCAACCTTAGAACAGATAGAAAATTCAGTCCATAAAATCGACAACAAATCCATTATTGATCATCAAAAAGTTGCTAAAGAATTGGAACCTTTAATTAAATTTATTGATTTTAGACTAATTAAGACTCACATATTAGCTGATTTTATTGAACCACTAGGAATTGTTCCGACCGAATTGGTTTTAAGTGTTTATAGACATAAAGCTCTATTGAATAATTCAGACTTAAATGATAATCGAGGAATATCATTTTATAGATTTAATGAATCTCTTCTTGCCTGGGATGAATCGGCGTGTGGATCAAGCCTTATTATTGAGGGTAATGGAAAAGTTGTACGTTCATTGGATGCTCTTAAATTCAATAGCCAAAGTGTTAGTGCTAAAGTAATATTAAAAGATAAAAGAATCTTCGAATGGGATGTCATTATCGAAAATGATTGTGGTTATTCTTGGGTTGGAATATGTTCATCAGAAAATTTTGATTATGAATCCTGGACAGGAAAACAATCTACTAGTTGGATATTAGGTTCCAGTGGTAATTGTTATAATTCTGATAATAAATCAATAGGATATTGTCCGCCATTTGGAGATGGTACAAAAATTACTGTTCATTTAAATATGATTAAAAGAACCTGTGCTTTTACAGTTAATGGTACAAAATATCCGGAGGTACCAGAATGGAATAATTTACCATCAAAACTTTATCCGGTAGTATCATTAAAATTTCCAGGTCGTTTACGAATTCAATCTCATCAAAAAATTTGATTTATACACATGTATTGAAATATCTTTGGAATTGTTGTGTTTATTTATTTAAACAATTAATTCGCAGAACGTACTGTAAGAAATTTTACAATGGGATTTATAAATAAAATTATTTATTTATTTTTCTTGCTAAATTAAGACTTCAAGAAATTTAAAATCATGAATAAGTTTCTACCATCTTTCGTTTTAATAATTTAAAATCAACGCTTACATTCAAAAGGAAAATATACTGTATACGGTAAAATTTGTCGCCGTAAAATCGTCAAAGTTTATTGAAAAAAAAAAATTTTACAAAACGATAAGAGGATTTCATTAAAAAAAAGATTATTAAATAATCCAAAGTATAGCTATTTAGAGATTTTATGTAAAAATAAAGGAAAGTTATGGTTAAAGAGCAATTTTAGCAGCAGGATCCTAAGTATTGATAGATTAGAACCAACTATTCTGCGTTATATTAAAATTTTATTAAAAACATTCGAGTTCCAAAGAAGGCGCAGCTAAATACGGAAAACGGAAATATTTTTCCCCATAGGGATAATGAAACATAGTACAAACTTATACATAAATAAATTCCCCACATTGAACAACGTATTTTTTTCTTAAACATTTTCTTTAAAAAATGACGAGAGGGTATTCATTAGAACAAGATTTAAAATTGTTAATAAATAATCCTAAATATAGCGATTTAGAAATTTTATGTGAAGACGAAAAGAAATTGCACGCTTGTAGAGCAATTTTAGCAGCAAGATCCGAAGTATTTGAAAGAATACTTTATAATGGGATGAAGGAAAGTTATGAAAATCAAATTTCTTTTCCAAAAATTAATTCCGCTGGAATGGAAATCGTATTAGAATATACCTATACAGGATCAATTAAAGAAGAATTTTTAACAAAGGATAATATAATTGAATCTTTTTACGCTGCTGAATATTTTCAATTACCAGACCTTCAGGATTTTATTATGAAAGTTTTCAAAAATACATTAAAAAAAAATCTTACAGAAAATTATTCACCAGAATTATTATCGAAATTTGCAGAAAAAATGCCATTAATAGAAGATAACATTCTATTAAATTTATTGGTTGAAGCGGTAGCAATTATTCCATTAAATACAATTGAATTTGGTCGATTGTCTATTGCCGGTCTTAAATATCTTTTATCTTGTACATATGAAAAAGAAATGACTTTTTCAACACCGGAATATGAAGTTTTTCGATATTGTGCTATTCTTGCAGCAAAACGAGTTTCTAATGACGCATATACAACTCTTTTGAAACGGTTACCTACCTTAGAACAAATGCAAATGGATAATTCAGTTCAAGTAAAAAATAAAATTATTACCGATCATCAAAATGTTGCTAAAGAATTGGAACATTTGGTTGAATTTATTGATTTCAAGCGAATTGAAGGACAGATTTTAACCGATGTTATTGATCCATTAGAAATTATCCCTTCTAAAATAATTTTAAATGTTTATCGAGACATAGTAAGGTTAAATAATTCAAACTTAAATTATATTCGAGGAATACCAACGATGTACGTTTGGGATGAAAAAGCATGTGGGTCAAATCTTATTATTGAGGATAATGGAAAAGTCGTACAAGCACCAAATAAATGTAACTCACAACAAAGCGTTAGAGGTAAAATGGCATTAAATAAGGGCATTTTTGAATGGGATGTCATTGTTGAAAAAAGTTGTAATTATATTTGGGTCGGAATATGTTCATCAGAAAATTTTAATTATAAATCCTGGGCAGGAGGCCAGTCTACTGGATGGGTATTAGGTTCCAATGGTGAATGTTGTAAAATTATATCAAGAAATTATTGTCCGCCATTTGGAGATGGTACAAAAATTACTATTCATTTAGATACGAATAAAAGAACTTGCGCTTTTACAGTCAATGGTACAAAATATCCGGAAGTATCAGGATGGAATAATTTACCATCAAAACTTTATCCTGTAGTATCATTAAGATTTCCAGGTCGTTTACGAATTCAAACTCATAAAAAAATTTGATTCATACAGTAGTTGTATTGAAATATCTTTGGAATTTATGATAATTAATTCGCAGAACGAAATTTCAATATCTTTGCTACTACCGCAATAGTTAATTGATGAAAAAATTCTAAAATGTGATTTATTAATAAAATTTATTATTTATTTTTACTATTAAATTAAGATTTTCAAGAAATTTTAAAAATCATGAATAAGTTTCCTTCTTTCATATTTATAATTTACTCTAAAATCACGTTTAAATCGTCAATACCGGAAAAGATTAGTAGTCACTTGTAGCTTTGATTAAAACGGGTTTAATTAAAAAAATTTTACAAAATCGATGAGAAGATTTCATTAGAAAAGAGATTATTAAATAATTCAAAGCATAGTTATTTAGAGATTTTATAGATTTATGTAAAAATAGAGAAAGATTATATGGTTACAGAGCAATTTTTAGTAACAGGATCCGAAATATTGATAGATTAGAAACCCGTGATTTGTTACCATGCAGTTAAGAAATCGCCATCAAATCACAACGATATGTGACGACATGTCTCGTGAAATTGTCATCTTTATGAAGTTGTAAAATGCTATTAAATAGGTGGTAAATAACATCGAAAATTAGTAGTGAAAATTGAGAAAACTTAACCTAGACCGGGGGTTTAGGCTTCTTATCCTAGACCTGGGGGTCCAGACCTCTTATCTTAGACCTTGTGGCACAGCTGATCATTATCAGCCTCATTTGTTTATTTACCACCATTTTTTTTTTTCACACGAAATAAACGCTACGCTCACTCTCTTNTATATTTGGTCAATATTACACGTTGTTTCTAACAGTCATATAACAGTTGTTGTTATAACCATTGCGTATTTTCATTTATCGTATTTATAGTGTTTACCTTGACGATTCTTAACGAACAATACCGGAAGTACCTTGGATAGGTAGTATTGAGTAAGAATTTTGTTGGTATTCGTGTAGTTATACGATATAAGTCATCCGCCATTCGTCCCTTAATTACCGTCATTATTCGGTAACAATTGTCATGCTGATTTTTATTATGTATTTTGTGCAATTTCTGGGCAAAATTAGATTCTCTAAATAATAAGATCGATAGAAAAAGGAACTTTTTTTCAGGGAAAAAATGGAGGATACTATACATAGGAGGGGTACTGTGTCCGCAAAATACGTAATAGTTTTTAAAAAAGATTTTTTTTTTTAATATATAATGATATGATTAAGTAAATCTTCTAAAATCTTTATTTATTATATATATATAATATATATTTGATGGTGGTGATGGCGGATCAAGGGTATCGCTAACGCAAAATAAATATAAAATAAAATAATAAATTATTTTTTTTGATTTTTTTTTCTTAAAATTTAAAATTTTTAAAATTTGAAAAATTTTATAAAAAAAAAAAAACCAAATATTCTCACGCGCCTTTTTATAAAATTATAATAAATTATAATATATAACTTACAATAGACAATGGCACACACGTGCGTGCAACGTATCACACAATAAACACCTTTTTATATCATGCTTAAATAAAATATATGAAAAAAGCTGGACAGTGTTTCGGACTTCAGTAATTTCATTATAATAAATTATTAAAAACTATCCAGAAATCCATCCGAAACTCCAAAGACTTTATATTATAGTTTCGGCTGGATGTAGAGATTAATTTTTTATCATTTTTTAACTTAATTTTGATTTAAGAGAAAACTTAACCTAGACCGGGGGGTTTAGGCTTCTTATCCTAGACCTGGGAGTCCAGACCTCTTATCTTAGACCTTGTGGCACAGCTGATCATTATCAGCCTCATTTGTTTATTTACCACCATTTTTTTTTTTTCACACGAAATAAACGCTGCTCTTTCATTTGGTTTTTTTCTTTATATTATTTTTTTCTACACAAATTATTTTTCTTTTTTTTTATAATAAATATTTTTTATTACCATTATTTTCATAATAGTGTTTATTAGAACAATAAAAAATCTTTTTTATCAAAAATTTTAAATCTAATAAATACAAAGTGTTCTTTCTCTAATAATTACGCTTTAACACTTGCAATAGGTAAGTTTATTCTGGTTTCTTTGAGTTTTGGATTAAATTATTACGGTATGTATTGTTTGAAACTTTTTTCAACTAAAGTTTGTAATTTTACTAACATGTACGTGCTTTTTGTAGATTTTCATGGTATAATTTTAGCATTCTGATTAAATTAATTGGCTTTGGTTGGTATGTTGAAAATAAAATTGTTTGAATACTCGTATTTACAAAATTTCAATGGAAATTTGTGAAATATTTTCACTTTAATAAGTAATAATGGTATTTTTTTTAATACAAGGTTATTTTGTAAGGAAAGAATAAATAATAATATAATAGATAATTCTTTACCCAGTTGTCAAATATTTGATAAACACTTCTAATATTTGGTTTAGTTTAATTTTTTGTCATAAAATATTCCAAGAAAAATGCTCATACTTCGTATTTCGTTGTGAAATATTGCTTTAATAAAAAAATTAATTTAAAAATCTCGAAAAATTTCTATAAATGTTACGCGCGTATTAGCGTATAAGTATTATAAAAAAATTTATGAAAATTTCTAAGATAAAAATGTTACGCGCGTATTAATGTATATATTATAAAAAAAAATTTATGCTGATAAAAATGTTACGCAGTACATCGTGAAAAATTTTCTAAGATAAATGTTATGCAAAAATAAGTCTTGTCCAATGGATTTCGGTGGCTGATTAAACCAATCATATTTAAGGAGGGTCTAGGATAAGAAGCCTGAACCCCGGGGGTCTAGAATAAGAAACCTGAACCGGGGGTCTAGGATAAGGACGCTCGTGAAAATTAATCTATGACATCGGAAATAGCCTTATGTATCATGTGATACAAGTAATATTATAAAATGATAATCATTAGTATAAACCAACGAAAATCTTTCCTTTCGCTCTTTACCTTTCATTTTCCCCCATTCCTTTCCTTCATTTTTCTCTTCATTCCTTCTCCCCTTCATTGTTTTGTATCTTTTTTTTTTAAAAAATTGTTTTATAATTTGCTTAAAAAAAAATTACTTTTCTTTACGGTTTTTTTAACGTCATATTTTAATTTTTTTTAAAAAAGATAAATCTCGGTTTTCTTCCCTCATCCTTTCTTTCTTCTCTCGTATTTTATTTAAAAAAGACTTTTTTTTTAGGCGGCTCCCTCTGACATTTTGTAAGTTTTAGAAAAAATTTTTTTCTTTAATTTATTTTAATGAACGGTCAATAACAGTTCGTTTTTTTTCAGGTAGTTCTTCGGGTCTCTTTGGACGCGTGGGATTTCATTTTTGATAATTATCCTAACGAACTTTCAAATTTTATCTTTTTTTAGACGCACATGGGAAAGAAAATCGAGGTTATATGTTTTTCGAATTTAATTCTTTTATTTTAGGTGACTTTTCTAGACGGGGGGGACGAGATTTCGATGGGAGGATTTTTTAAATGTGAAACGTTTTACTAACGTTTCATTTTTTTCTTTTTTAGATATCGATGAGGTACCTTTTCTAAGCTTAGGGATTTCGTAAACCAAGTCGGATTAAAAATGAGTACCAAGAAGCGAAAATTTTAGAACTTCACAATGGAATTATGAAAGATAAATGTGAGTTTCAAAATAATTTCGAAACTAGTACTAAATTTAAAAAGATATTTTAATAAAATTTTTGTTCATCTCTTTCATAAGACACCACCAGCCCCACCTTTGTTACCGGAACCCGGAGGTATGTTTCAGAATACTTTCAAAGACTTTCTTTTTTAAAAAACATTTTAATACGTAATAACCTTTATTTATTTATTTTCATTTATTTTTTTTTTTAGAGGAATGGCTTCCAATATAGGAATACCAGAATTCTAGTAAGTTTCGAAAATTTTGAAAATAATGTTATTAATAGAGTTAAGAGGACATTTAACATTATAGGAAAATTTATATCTATGTTTATTGAACAATTAGTTTTATTTATAGATTAGAATAATTCTTATGATTAGATTTAGGATAGAAAAATTTAATATTTCTAAAATAAAGTTTATAATATATCAACTTTAAAATAAACTATAACTTTACTGCAACTTTAATATTTGTTTACTATAACTTAAACATGCATTTAATATAATTTAAATATATATTTATTATATGTTTTCGATTTCAATACTATTTTTGCACGAGCCGGTTAAATCAGGTGACTATTTAATATGCATCAACTTATAATCAAGATTTGGTCACGATATGGTATTAAATCTTTACGATAAGTTCTATGATAAAGTTTTGATAATTACGATATCAATAGTTTCGATTTTAAAAGTTTCTGCAAAGAAAATAATAAAGCGCAGCTAAATACGGAAAACGGAAATATTTTTCCCCATAGAAATAGTGAAACATAATCATACAAACTTATACATAAATAAATTCCACATTGAATTATTTTTTTCTTAAACATTTTTCTTTAAAAAATGACGAGAGGATATTCATTAGAACAAGATTTAAAATTGTTAATAAATAATCCTAAATATAGCGATTTAGAAATTTTATGTGAAAATGAAAAGAAATTATACGGTTGTAGAGCAATTTTAGCAGCAAGATCCGAAGTATTTGAGAGACTACTTTATAATGGGATGAAGGAAAGTTATGAAAATCAAATTTCTTTTCCAAAAATTAATTCCGCTGGAATGGAAATCGTATTAGAATATACCTATACAGGATCAATTAAAGAAGAATTTTTAACAAAGGATAATATGATTGAATCTTTTTACGCTGCTGAATATTTTCAATTACCAGACCTTCAGGATTTTATTATGAAAGTTTTCAAAAATACATTAAAAAAAAATCTTACAGAAAATTATTCACCAGAATTATTATCGAAATTTGCAGAAAAAATGCCATTAACAGAAGATAACGTTCTATTGAATTTATTGGTTGAAGCGGTAGCAATTATTCCACTAAATACAATTGAATTTGGTCGATTATCTATTGCCGGTCTTAAATATCTTTTATCTTGTACATATGAAAAAGAAATGACTTTTTCAACACCGGAATATGAAGTTTTTCGATATCGTGCTATTCTTGCAGCAAAACAAGTTTCTAATGATGCATATACAACTCTTATGAAACTGTTACCTACCTTAGAACAAATGCAAATGGATAATTCAGTTCAAGTAAAAAATAAATTTATTACTGATCATCAAAATGTTGCTAAAGAATTGAAACCTTTGGTTGAATTTATTGATTTCAAGCGAATTAAAGGACAGATTCTAACCGATGTTATTGATCCATTAGAAATTATCCCTTCAAAAATAATTTTAAATGTTTATCGAGACATAGTAAGGTCAAATAACTCAAACTTAAATTATATTCGAGGAATACCAACGATGTACGTTTGGGATGAAAAAGAATGTATATGTTCATCAGAAAATTTTAATTATAAATCCTGGGCAGGAGGTCAGTCTACGGGATGGGTATTAGGTTCTAGTGGTAATTGTTTTAATTCTGGTACATCAATAGGATATTGTTCATCATTTAAAGACGGTACAAAAATTACTGTTCATTTAGATATGAATAAAAGAACTTGTGCTTTTACAGTCAATGGTATAAAATATCCGGAAGTATCAGGATGGAATAATTTGCCATCAAAACTTTATCCGGTAGTATCATTAAAATTTCCAGGTCTTTTACGAATTCAAACTCATCAAAAAATTTGATTCATACACTTTCTTTGGAAGTGTTAAGTGTTTATTTATGATAATTAATTCGCAGAAGTAAATTCAATATCTTGCTACCGTAATAATTAATATAATTAATTGATGAAAAGATTCTAAAATGTGATTTATAAATAAATTTTATTTATTATTTTACTACTAAATAAGACTTTTAAGAAAATTTAAAAATCATGATTAAGTATTTATAATTTACGTCAAAACCGGAAAGATTAGTCACTTGTGGCTTAGAAAATCTTCAACGGTCAACACCAATTTTAAAATATGGTTTTCATTCCATTCAAATGGATTATTAACCGATGTTGTATAGTATAGTGAGTATAGTGTCGTAGCACCCTTGGTATAAATAAAATATTTTTCCGAAGAAGAATTCCGAAATTTTCGGAATTCCTATACAATCCGAAAATAAATAATTTTACCTCGAGAATTATCCTATTCGGATTTAAACTGAAGACGTTTATCAAACCAACTGTGCGACTTCAAAATTTTTTTTTTTTTGTAAAAAAAAAATTTCAGTAAGAATAATTTTTACTCTAATATTTTTTTTTTTATGCAATTTAGTGTTCCCGGTGCGCTTTATTTATCTGCCTGGTGGAAGTGATCGTTCTAAGGTATATAGTACTCATTTAGCATAACCTTTTTTTTATTATTTTATATTAAATATTGGAAGTTAGATTATATTGTTAATTTAATAGAGCCATGTATAATTAATCTTAATAAAGTTTAATCCATTTAGTTCATCAATATAACAAAATAAAAAGCGCTATTTATTTATACTGGTTATTTTTACGCCTATATACTACAACCCACAGTTTAAAGTCCGAAAAGGGTAATTCTCAGGGGCAATATTATTTAAGAAAAATACAGTATATGATTATAAATAAAATTCATGTTATACGTCGGACTTCTTAACGGTAGATATAAAATTTTTTTTTTTATAAAAAAAAAAATCGTTTATAAATTTATGAATTTAGTGTTAAATTTTTATTTTTAAACTTATAATAAACCGAAATTTGCCATTTCTCCTTACTCATTGTAAATAGAAAACATTATTTATTCATTTATATTTATGTTTTTATTTACTTTTCATTATGGGAACGTCTGTAAATTTATTTTTTCGTGATGAAAACAAGAATGTCAATTATATGACAGTTCAACCAAGCTTCATGTATCGTCTCAAGAGTCAGAAAATATAATTTTAATAATGAACGAATTTATAAAGAAATCATAAAGTATATATATATTAATGATCGTTGTTTATATAAATTTTAAAAGTCGCATAAATAAATAATAAATTTGGTTGAAAATTTTTTTAAAATATTTTTTTTTATTTGACATGCAAAGTCTATCGATGCCGAATAACTATTAATTACATTTCGATATAATAAAGGCGCAGCTAAATACGGAAATATTTTTTTCCGTGGAGCTAGTGAAACATGCTACAAACTTACACATAAATAAATTCCAAAATATAATTATTGAAATATGTATTTTTTTTTCCTTAAACATTTTTCTTTAAAAATGACGAGAGGATATTCATTAGAACAAGATTTAAGATTGCTAATAAATAATCCTAAGTATAGCGATTTAGAAATTACACGCTTGTAGAGTAATTTTAGCAGCAAGATCCGAAGTATTTGATAGACTACTTTATAATGGGATGAAGGAAAGTTATGAAAATCAAATTTCTTTTCCAAAAATTAATTCCGCTGGAATGGAAATCGTATTAGAATATACTTATACTGGATCAATTAATGAAGAATCTTTAACGAGAGATAATATAATTGAAGCTTTGTACGCTGCAGATTTTTTTCAATTACCGGAACTTCAGGATTTTATTATGAAAACAATTAAGAATTCTAATTTAGCAAAAAATTATTCACCAGAATTATTATCAAAAGCTGTGGAAACAAGGTCATTATCAGAAAATGATACTTTTATACACTTACTAGTTGAAATTGTAGCAACTATTCCATTGAATACCATTGAATTTAACCGATTATCTATTGCGGCATTTCAATATCTTTTATTTTGTACACATGAAAAAGAAATACAATTTGCAACCCCGGAATATGAAGTTTTTCGATATTGTGCTATTCTTGCAGCAAAACAAGTTTCCAATAATGCATACGAAACTCTTATGAAATGGTTGCCAACTTTAGAACAGATAGAAAATTCAGCCCATAAAATAGACAACATGATATTCATTACCGATCATCAAAAAGTTGCTAAAGAATTGAAATCCTTAATTAAATTTATTGATTTTAGACTAATTAAGACTCACATATTAGCTAATTTTATTGAACCATTAGGAATTGTTCCAACCGAATTGATTTTAAGTGTTTATAGACATAAAGCTCTATTGAATAATTCAGACTTAAATGACGCTCGGGGAATACCATTTTATAGATGGGATGAATTAGCACACGGATCAAAACTTATTATTGAAGATAATGAGAAAGTTGTACGTGTATTGGATCAATTCAATAGTCAAAGTGTTAGAGCTAGAATGATATTAGAAAATAAAAATATCTTTGAATGGGATGTCATTGTTGAGAAAAGTTGTAATTATATATGGGTTGGAGTATGTTCATCAGAAAATTTTAGTTATGAATCCTGGGCAGGAAAACAACCTACTGGTTGGGTATTAGGTTCCAGTGGTAATTGTTATAATTCTGATAAGAGATCATCAGGATATTGTCCATCATTTGGAGATGGTACAGAAATTACTGTTCATTTAAATATGAATAAAAGAACTTGTGCTTTTACAGTCAATGGTACAAAATATCCGGAGGTATCAGAATGGAATAATTTACCATCAAAACTTTATCCGGTAGTATCATTAAAATTTCCAGGTCGTTTACGAATTCAATCCCATCAAAAAATTTGATTCATACGCTTGTATTGCAATATCTTTGGAATTGTTAAGTGCTTATTTATTGTATTAATTCGCGAAACCTAAATTTTAATATCTTTGCTACCGCAATAGTTAATATTTTAAAATGTGATATATAAATAAAATTTATCTATTTGCTTTCACTGTTTTACCGTTAAAATAAATTTAAAATCAAGATTTTCTATCTTTAGTTTTATTAATTATTCTATTGAAATCACGCTAAGGAAGAATACATGCGGCAAAATTTTGTTATCCGTCGTTAAATCATCAAAATCAGAAAAAATTAGTCACCTGTAGCTTAGAAATTTTCAATGGTAAAAATCATAAAACGACACAAACTTTTATAATACGGTTTTCATTAAATGTAAAAATGAAGAGAAGCTATTATTATAGAGCAATTTTAGCTGATATATTACTACTTTATAATGGTTGAAGGAAAGTTATGAAAATCAAATTTCTTTTCTTACTTCAATTATTCTGCAATGGAGATTAAACTTATACAAGATTTCCGTAATTGGTACTGATGTACTTGTTACATAGGGCAATGACGGCAACGTAATGTATCTGCGCAGTTATACGGGATTAATTAAAGAAGAATCTTTAAATAAGGAATAATTTAGTGTTCCAAAAGGGTCGGGTCAAACCCGGGTTACTGAGATGACCCGTAACCCGCATGAACCGATCCGGCCTGCGTAGAGTCGGGTTATACCTTTACTTTGACCCATATCTTTTTATTATATTTTTAACTAAAAATTTAACTTTTTTTATATTAAAATAATTAAATACAACCTGCTGACAGGTCGAACCCGCGTTATCCGATTCAGACTATAATCGAGTCAAGTCAAATCGGGTATTACTTTAACACTCGGGTCGAGTTAGAGTACACTTCAAAACCCGACCCGACTCGACCCTTTCGGAACACTAGACTCACATATTAGCTGATTCTATTGAATTATACCATCCGAATTGATTTTAAGTGCTTATTGACATAAAGTTCTATTGAATAAAATTATCGGTCTATAACAAACTATGAATTTCCGTATAATAATATATTTAACAAGTTAATAACGTCTACCGTATAACGGACCATAATATCCGAATATGGTACGAATTTCGGAAGGTTTGACCTGTGCTTCGCGCGTAAAGACTTCTTTGCATATGAAAATAAAATGTTTAACTTAATTTATTGAAAACTACGTTGCTTTATTATGTTTCGTTTCCGTAGAAATCACAGTTTAACAATTGTAATAATTAATTGAGGTTTACTGCATCATTGCGTGAGATTTTATTATTAATCGAATTATATAATAAGTGGGTATTAATATGCGAGTATTATTAATGATCGGTAAAAAATGAGAGTTCTTTTTTTGTGGGTACTATAGTACATAGGTACAGTGGCCGCAAAATATGGAGATTGATATAACTTTGACTTTTGGTGTGTTATTATGGAGTGAATGCTGAATCAAAAAAACAAATTTTTCAAATTTGTAACCAACAACATATGGTACTAATTTTAAATCTATTACAGCCGATACAAAATATGATTATATTAACACAAAATTAATCTATCTTTCTTATGGCCGTATTAAATAATCATGATCAATTATACAAGCTAAAATTGAATAATCAAACAAGTTCTATCATTCTCGATATTTTTAATTGATATGATAAAAATAATGCTATTCTAACAACAAAAAACAAGTTTCGAATTACGATCACGAAATAAAATATAACAAAACTCGGTCAAAGTATTAAATAAATTAAATAAATTTATTACCAATCAAGTTTTCAAATAATCATAAGTATCACTGAACTAATAGAATTGCTTATTGCTAAATATCAAATAATTCAGGAATTACTAATAAGATATTTACATTACATTTGTTTAGTGAATTCGTCATAACATAATCCATCGCATTTTATATTAATAAAAACTGATAAGTACAACACCCGCAACCATACTAATACATCCGATACCCCTTTGCCAAGTAAAATCTCTTGCAGTTACACCAAGTAAACCAAAATGATCAATTATACAAGCAAAGATTAATTGACTAGCAACCATGACACTTAATACAACAGCAACTCCTAGGTTTGGAACTGTAAATATAAGAGTTAAGATAATTATTGCAATAGGTAATCCACTTAGCCATGGATAAATTGGTTCATCTATAAATAGTGTAAAATAAGGTTAATTTTTATATTAAGACATGTAAAGAATATAATTATAATTACTTATAAATACTTCTCTGAAGTTCGGGGACTGTAATCTTGAATCGATGAGAAAATATATCAATATAACTAAACATAAACAAAAATAATTAGTTGGATTTTCTACGATAGTTTTGAAAATTAGAAGGAATTGAATATTTACTTACAAAAGGCTCCAATTAAAGTTGCTACAAGAGCAGAAAATGATTTTCCTCCCTTAGCTTGAAGTTTTGCTACAGCCGCTGTGACACACTCGTTTGTTTAGTGAATTCTGTTATGAAAATGAATAATTCAAAAGTAAATACCTGATTGAATTGTTGCACTTACACCAGCAATTATTGCCATTAACACATGTATAGCATATAATATCTCTGATCGCATTTTTCCTTGTAATGAATGAAAAACAAACTAATAGTTTGATTAACTCGTTCGTTTAGTCGTGTAATATATTGCTTTTTTCAGATTCGTGCTACCTCATGCAAATCACTTTAACAAAATAAATTACCAATTTTACAGATTTACAGGACGATTATTGGACAAAAACCGGACGTAATTCGTTAATCACCCAAGTGTACACAAGATTCTGAAAACTGAAATAAAATGAACAATATTAATTCTAAAGTTATTGTCTGATTGAATTTTGTATGTACATCATGAGATTAAATTCTGTAACGTGGCACTAAATAACATTAAACTTAAAAAAAATACGTTTATCAAAAAAAAAAAAAAAAAAAAAAAAAAAATAACAAATAGAATTATTATACTAAATGGTTGTTTATAAAAGTAGTGCTTCGACCCGAAATCCGGATCAGATTTACATATCAAAATTTTTTTACCATTGACTGAAATCACTGAATGATTAATTTAAAAAAAGTGTTAAATTTGTGGCTTTTGTTAATAAAATCCGTGGCGATTTTTAAGTAAAATTCGTGGTTATTTTTAAATAAAATTCGTGGTTCTTTTAAATAAATTAGTGGCTTTATTAATAAAATCCGTGGCGATTTTTAAGTAAAATTCGTGGCTATTTTTAAATAAAATTCGTGGTTCTTTTAAATAAAATTTGTGGCATTTTCAATAAAGTCATGGCTATTTTAATAATAAAATTTGTGGCTTTTTTTTACATAAAATTTGTGGCTGTTTTTTTACCAAAATTCGTGGTATTTTTAAATAAAATTTATTTTTTTGTGGCTTTTTAAAAATTTGCTAAATAACAATGTGTCATTTTTATAGAATTTTGTGGCATTTTTATTATTGAATTTCGTGAAATTTTTTCAAAATTAAATCCAAATAAACACTATATAAATGCCGTAATTGCAATTTGGTCGTTTTATCACAATTTCATTTTGAAATTAAGTTCTAATATTACATATAAATTAGACCATAAATTATGACAGATGATAGTAATTATATACCTTTAAAATGAAGACTCTAGTAGTGATGAAGTTGTTGAAATTGTTCAAGTAGCAAAATTATCAGAATTATCGGTACCTGCAATAACTAGATCACAATCCAAAGTTGGTATGGACTCATTTTATTAAAAGCATAATGATAAAGGAGAAATGCGCGCATATTGTCAGTTTGAAATGGAAAATGGAGAAAGTGCACAAAAAATTATAAGTATGATGGGTCTACAAGGAAATCTTAGTAGTTATGCTATTAAACATGGTATTATACCTCCATCAGAAAGTAGATTCGAAATTAAATTACAACCTACACAATCTATTTGCAAGAATGGACAAAAAGAAAAGGAAGAATCTACCTTACGATGGATTCTTTCAACAACACAATCTCTTTCCACTGTAACTCATAAAGCTTATATTGAACATCATATGTATATTATAGATCCAAAATTTATAATTCCTGGAGAGAGAAAAATTAGAATGATGATTGCCCAAAGTTATGGATATAATAAAAACAAATTAATACAACTTTTAAAAACTGCCCAATCCATATCCTTAACTACTGATTTGTGGTCTTGTTGTTCAAAACATGGTTATTTGGGTTTAACGGCAACGATTAATCAAAGATTTTGAAATAATAGATGTTTTACTTGAAATCACTTATTTTCCAGCACCACATACTGCAGAGGCAATTACAAAAACTATTAAGAATATTATTCAAAAATAGGAAATTGAAAATCGTGTATTAATAATAACAACTGATAATGGTGCTAATATTATGGCAATTCAATTCGTGAATTAGCACCAATTGAAAGACTTTCCTGTGCAGCACATACTTTACAATTAGCTATTGGAAGAGGCTTAAAACTTGTGGAAGCTTTAACAACACGTGTAAAACAATTAATTAACTCTAAAACAAATTGAACGACTAGTTAAGGTACAAAAAGATAGTGGTTATGAAGAGCAATTACATTTAATACACCAGGTAAACACGTTTAAATTTTAAATTGTGATTTATATTTAATAATATATTAATTTTATTTTAACTATTTAAGATGTAATTCATTATTAATTCAATAATGGTGTAGTTAGCCGAAATACGATCTACGCCTGAGCCGGGACCGGATCATGTTGCGGCTAATTATTTTTCGGCTAACTACACCATTATTGGAATTCATCATATTTAGCCTGGGATCGACTCAGTACGCAATTCTTCAACTGAATATAAATTTATCTTGTTCCTTTATACGTGAAAAAAAAGCTGATGGTGCTAAATTAAAAAAAAAGAATGATAATGAATGGGAATTATTAGATGAATTATGCAATATTTTAGCACCATTTGGGAAAGCTACACGAGATTTTTCTGGAAATACTTGTTACATTAAGTCAAATGATGCCTATTATTACAGATCTTACAAATTCTTTGGAACCATGTAATAGTTGGTATGAAAGATGATTTTGATGAAGTTATTAATTCTAATTCAGAAGAAATTAATTATAATAATATTAGAGAAGTTTTGGAAAAGTAAAAAAAAAAATATTTATATGGGTTTAAAGCATTATTGGGCAATACCAAATGAGTTTGGTATTATGGCAGCACTTTTAGATCCACGATATAAAAATCTTGATTTTATATCTGATAATAATATAAAAAGAAGAATCTACTTTAAAAGCTCAATATGACCAATTAAAATGGGAAATAAACCAACAAAGTATTCCGTCATCACCTACAACTATTACTTCAACAAGTTCATTTAATTGCTGAAATTTCAATTGCTGAAAACCCAACTCCAAGTAGATCTTTACGGAGCATAGGGCAAGACGTGAACAAAAAGCAAAAGAAATACTTCAAAGAACAGAGAATAGAAAATACTACTTTATCAGCAACAGATGATGAAATTACTAGTTATTTTCTTATGCCAATTGCTAGAGAATAAAATCTTTTAGATTGGTGGAAAGCAAAATAAGAAAATTTTCCAATTCTTTTTATAATTGCACAAAAATATTTAGGTATTCCTGCTACTTCTGTAGCTTCTGAGCGGCTTTTTTCTGATGCAGGAAATCATATTACAGCAAAAAGAAATTCATTAGATCCTGGTTTATTTGGAAAAATGGTATTTTTAAAGCGTAAATGCAAACTATGGATCGTATTGATGTGTTTCCTCCATAAATTTAATAGAGGATGAATGTGAATTAAATGAAATAATAGAATTTTATTTTAATAATTATATTTTACTATTTTTATTTGTAAATAAACTTGATTTGTATAATGAAAATAAATATTAAAGTTATTATTAATTAAATAATTTTTTAAAAGTGATATTATAATAAGAGTTTAAAGTTTATACGCGGGTAGCAACACGCACTCCCTATACTATATATAAAAGTGAAAATTTTCATTCTAAACCCTACTTTGACCTTTAAGTAAAGTTGTAGAGCAGGACAAAATACGCATAGTACGTGCTTTTTAAAAGCTCCATAATATGTACATTACGCCATGTTTATTCAAAAATCAGAAAATTTAACGGTGTCACGTGATAATAAGTTTACTATTTAGATATGGTGCTATGTAAATAAAAAAAATTCATCCGGATTTCGGTTTCAACCGGATGAAACCGTGAAATCCGGATATCCGAAAGAAAAAAAAAAAAAAATCCGGATCAATCCGGTCAGGATACAGGTTGAAGCACTATAGAAAAGTCTATTTTGTGTTTTGTATATTTGTACTAGATTTAGAATTCGAATTCGGATTCGGATTACTATAATCTAAGAATGTAATTTATAAAATTTGGAAGATCTAGAGAGTACAACATTACAGTACCACCAGCTGACAGATTAGAAATAATTTTTTTTTAAAAAAAAAAAATTGTGGTAGATAAACAAAGAATGGTCGGGTTAATCATTAAAGAATAAAAGATTATTTAATAATAACTTTTGACCTAAAATCTTGAAGTATTTAGTATGCGATTAGTACGACGTTGCTGCATTATCAAGCACGTGTAGCAATCTCATTGCGATCAGATGTTATCATGCTGGTCCTAAAAACAAAAAACCACATCCGCCTCGTAGTATAGCATTTTTTTTTACTGACACGCATTTCTTTATTGAAGTAAAATATATAAAATTACAAGCATCACATAAATACTTAGACCAAACATATGATTGATCGGATACGTAACGAATCTTAATGTTCAGTCTACAGCGGTGAAATTAGTGATGAAAAGAAATAGCTACACTCTTTAGAAAAAAAAAATATACAAATAAGAAAAAAGAAAATTTTATATGGACTATTTTTCGTTAATTAATCCCTCCATCCGGTAATTTTTTTCTTGAAACCTCTATACTGTCCTGCAAAAATATCCTCCTTTTCATCATATCTTTTATTCCATCTTTGACTATTTCTTTACCCTTATCATTTTTATTTGCTGTTCCATACTTTGAATCGCAACCTTTATGTCCATTCTCTCCATTTTGTCGTGTACGAATTTATAGTTAGCGAAAAATTCGTCTTGTAGAATAGCCAATCATATCGAATTTCTTATTTAGGTATACCAAATAATATGATTTTTAGAAGTGAATTGGTTAATATTTCTTCACTTGGTAATTGTATCATTACTACTCATCAGAGGACGGCAGGGTAGCTTCGGCTTAATACATTCAATTGGCAGGATATCTTATTACAATCGCAGGTAAAGGAGCATCAATGTTATTATATTGCATAAGTAGATGTTGAATTATAATGTATTTATTTATTCTATTAACCTAATTGATTGCATCTGGTTTACCGGTTTTTATTAGCAGAAAGTATAGTTTCATTTATAATAAATCAATCTTGCAAAATTGGACCATTTATAATAAGCACGACGTAAATAGATTACTATATAATATATATCGTACCCCTGCAAATTGTTTTTGATAAAGTACCCTGGTATCAATTAGTGATTAACTCCAACTTTTTTCTTTAATATTCGAAAGAAAAATACGATTTCATTAAAAAAAAAAATAACAATATAATTAATGAATTAAAAACTTCTTTGATTTATTGAATTTTTGAAGAATTGGTTGTTAAATTACATAATTTTTTACATTTTTTTTTCAAAAAAAAAAAATAAAAAAATAATAATTGGATTGAAAGTGTTTCATAATTATACAAAAAAAAAATTGTTAATGAAATTTCATATGAAAATAAAGAAAAAAAAATAATAACAAAAAAAAAACCAAAAATTTAATGACGTTGAATTCGAAACTTTCCAGGATATTTTAATGATACCATAGGATACACTTTTGGTGGAAGATTCGTCCAAGAACAAACCGTAGGAAATTTTTTACCATTAATAGAGAATGCGCAAGTTCTATTATCCATATTTAAATGAACGGTGATTATATCTCCTTCACCAAAAGTCGTACCATAATTTATGCAATGATTATTATTATAACATAGTCCATTTGATCCAAAGACCCAACCACTTGCTTGAACTCCAACAAAACATTCATAATTAAATTCTTCTGATGAACAAATTCCTATCCAAGCATAGGTGCAACTTTTTTCAATAATAACATCCCATTCATAAATACCTAAATCAAATATTTCGATGCTCGCTCTAACATTTTGATGTGTCAAACATCCTCTTATAGCCCTAACTACTGCACCATTCCTTTCAACAGATAATTGAGAACCACTAGCTTGTTTATCCCAGACATATCCTGATTTATCATCCGTGTAAGGAATCCCTCTAGTAGCGGGCAAATTTTTATTTTTAATTAAAAAGCGATAAGCGTTAATAATCACATCAACAGGAACTATTTCTAATGGATCAATAATTTCTTTTAAAATTTTTCCATCAATACGTCTAAAATCAATGAGATCAACTAAATTCGTCAATAATTCAGCAATCTTTGAACGATTAATAATAAATTCACCATCATATATTTTTGAATCTATTTTTCTAGGACAACCCATCTTTTCTAAAGTTGGTAATCTAATCTTAAGTGAAGTTGCAGCATCATTTGAGATTTGATACGCCGCACGGATTGCTCCAAATCTTAAAACCTCATATTCAGGTGTAGCGAAAGGTTTCTCTTTATTAAAAGTGTATGATAATAAATATTGAAATGCTTCAAATGAAAGTCTACTATAATCGATAGTATTTAATGAAATTTTAGCAACAGATTCTGTTAATAACGAAAGAAAAGAATTTTCTGCAGACTCAGACATCTTTTCAATAGATTCAGATAACAATTCTGGTACGACACCATAATATCGTTGATTTAAAGATTCCTTAAGAGTTTCAACAATAGAATCTTGAAGATCAGGAAGTTGAAGATAATCAGCCGCATGATAAGTTCCAACAATATTATCACTTGTTAATAAATCACCAACATTGCGTCCAGTATATAAAAATTCCATGACAACTTTCATAGATGATGAATTAATTTCCGGAAAAAAAATTTGTTTTTCATAACTCTCTTTCATTCCATTATAAAGCATTCTATCAAACACTTCAGACCTAGAAGCAAGAATTGCTTTACATCCATAAATTTTAACACCATCTTCACATATAATTTCAATGTCACTATATTTTGAATTATCAATTAACATACTCAGATCTTTAACTAATGAATGTCCTCGCGTCATTTTTGGAAAGAAATTTTTTTGTTAATAAAATAATGAAGTAATATAATAACTTGACAAAAAAAATAAAAAATAATAAAATACTCTTTGGGTATTTATTCCAATTTATGATCTTATTTTGATATCCAGGTAAAAAAAATATGTTCAATTTAGGGAGACCACTCTTTAATATAGCTTTACAGGTAAGTTACACTACAGGAAATATAAATGGCGGCGTCGATCACAAAAATCTTCTATATCGCATGATAAAGATAATTTACCGAATATTCACATGATTACTGCACAAAAAATTAGAGACAAAGAAAAGAATAAATTTACTCTGCGTAATTTACTATTTATTTCATCATAAGTATTTCAAAATCGAAAATTTCACGAAACGCGAAAAAATTTGTGCATTAATATAAGTAACAAATTCGGACGATAATTCCTTTTTTCATGAACGGTAACTCAATGATTTTCTTGAAAATTTCCTAATTTAAACTAATGAAATCAGTCGGTATAAATATAAATAAAATAACCGTTCACTTGATAATATTCTTTTTTTGGAGACTTTGGGAAATGTTTTACTTTAGACAGCATGATTGTGATTGACACGTTACATTAGTGCGGCTGAAAAAATAATTTTGCCCAATCTGGTTAGCTAATTTAAAGATTATCTTTGTATTACTAAGTTGTTTGATCATCAGTTAATTTAAAATATAACTCTTATTCGTGATTAAAATGATGATTCTAGTTAATTCATAAGACCTATATTTATTTTTAATTTCTAAAGAACGAATCGATTTTGTTCCTGAATAAATTAATTTATTATTTGTACAAAAAGACTATAACAGAAGGTCTCAAAAATTATCGGATCTAATTATTTATCCGAAATTCGATACCTGCTGCATTAACTTCTGATATCATACTTAGTTATCATTAATTGAATCTAACCGATTAAGGATATCATGTTACACGTAATTGAATAATATTGAAGGGTGATGTAGGTCGTAGATGTTAAGGAACGGAAATGGTTTATGAAACTATTATTATTATTATTTTATTATATTTTAACAATAATCACGAATTAAAAAATTTAAGATATTATATTATTTTTAAATATCTTAGCAGAATTTGTCTAAACTATTGAAATTCGCCATATAAAACTAGTCACCGCGATTAGACACTCTTTTTGTTGCTGCAGAAATTAGAAGCCTCATTTTTTATTCGGTAAATATAAAGATCATCAAGATCATCTACAAAACTGGCTGGAATTAAAACATTTGGGCTGAAATTAAGTAAATCATTAATATATCATGAATATCGACTATTCTGCGGAATACGTTGGAAATAAAACGCAATCTTCAAAAATTTAGAAAACGGGAAATTTCGGGTTTATACATGCATCAGGGGGCTATTATTACGTAATAATACGCGTATTAGGATATGTATAAATCAAATTTCTTCTCTCAACCATCTCACCCTTCTTCCGCTCTCCTCCGCTCGGATAAATTTTACGCAAACTTTTTTTTCTTTTTTTTCACATTACTCTTTCCTTTTCTTTTTCTATTTGTCTTATTTTGAACGATAAAATGGCAAAGGGATATTCGTTAGCAACTGATTTGAGATTGTTAATAAACAACCCAAACTATAGTGATATCACTATTGTATGCGAAGATGGAAGCTTTTACGCGTGTAAGGCAATTTTGGCGGCAAGATGTGAAGTGTTTAATGGTTTTATTTATAATGGGATGAAAGAAACTTATGAAAATCAGATACGTTTTCCTGAGATAAAATCAATTGCCATGAAAATTATACTCAATTATATATATACCGGATTTTGTACAGCTGAAGAATTGAAAAATGATACTATTATCGATATTTACCATGCAGCAGATTATTTCCAATTAAAGAATCTTTCGGATTATATTATTAGAGTAATTGGATTTTTTTTGAAACCATCGGCAGAATCAAATGTTCCAGAATTATTATCAAGGGCTCTTGTCAAATTGTCACCATCGGAAGAAAATTCTCTTCTTCAAATATTGGCCGAATATGTATCATCAATGCCCTTGAACACTATTGAATATAATCAACTATCCTTCCCTGCTTTAAAATTTCTTTTATCATATGTAAGAGGGAAAGGAAAATCCTTGCCAGCGACGGAATATGAAGTATTTCGATTTGTGATCATCCATGTAGCACACCAAATTTCAAAGGATGCAGTAGAAATGCTTGAAAATTATTTACCTACTATGGATAAAATAGATCAAATACAAGATTCGAATATCATCGTACAAAATACAGAATTTCACCTTTTTCGTCCACAATTAACTGAAATCTTAACTCCTCTACTTGAATTTATTGATATTAGACGTATAGATGGAAAAATTTTGACAGATGTTCTAGAACCATTGGATATTATTACTCCTGAAAAGATAGTTGACGCCTATAGATTTTACGCTAGAAATCATCTTAGTTTACCTTCTTCATTTACAACTGAAACTCCCGTTTCCTTTAAACAAAATAATTTGTCTCCTGTTACCGCCAATCAAAATAATTTTTTTCCCACTTCTGAAACTTTAACTCCGGATAACTTGCGCTCCCCTATTGTTAATTCTCCACCTTTAATTAGTAAATTAAACTTTATTTGGGATGAGTCAGCATGTGGATCAGACCTTGTAATTGAAAAGACTGGATCTACTGTGAGAGCATTGAGTAGTTGTAAATCAACAGAAAATGTTAAAGGAAAAATTTTAATTAATGATAAAGGTATATATGAGTGGAATCTAATCGTTGATAAAGGATGCAAAAAAATGTATATTGGTATTTGTGCGGGTAAAAGTTTTGATGTAGAAAGTTTTGCAGGTTATCAAAGGAATGGATGGGTTTTCGCTTCAAGTGGGCTTTATTGGAACGATAGTAAATTCAAGCGTGGTGAAGCGACTTATGCGGAGGGTGATAAGATAACCGTTCATTTGAATATGAATGAAAAAACTTTAGCGTTCTCAATCAATGATAAAAGGTATCCAGAAATTTCCACGTGGAGGAAACTTCCATCAAAAATTTACCCTGTCGTATCATTATCATATCCAGGACAAATTCGAATTCAACCTCATTAGTAATGTTTAATAGTGATATTTAGCGAGATTTAATTGAATGATTTTATTATGTAATGATGATATACAATTTTTTGTCAAATGTGTGATTCATTTGAGCAGTTCTCAATAAAGAAAGAAAATTTTATAATTCAGAAGTAATAATAATTATTTGAAATTTACCATATATTATTTTATGAATATATAATACCTATGCTGTATATATAGTGTCGATCGGAATTATTAACCTTTTTTAGCGAAGGAAATGATCACGAGAAAACGGAATATTTATTATTTTACGTAATCAATTCTCGTTGTTTGGTAGTAATAGGAAACTATTCCATGCAGGATATAATCACAAAGTATTAACTGTCAATGATATTGAACAAAATATGCAATTAAATGATTAATGACATGTTTTCATTTGTAAACACTGCGCCATTCTGGTAGCAAATCGTAGAATACAATAAGAATTGAATTCGACTGCATCGGTGTAACATTCACGCCTATATTTACATCAAATTTATGTTTTTTGTTACCCAAGAATGAAGAGAAGGATGTAAAAAATATTACTTATTCGATGGTTGAAGTTAACAACCTATCGAATAACTTTTATCGTTAGCATCATCTTTAAGGTATGAGATCTCTTCTTAGCTTTAGGAATTACTATCCATTTAAAGTAATTATAATTATTGAAAGAGCATTTTGGATAATATATATTGAGAACATGATCGTGTAATGAAATAAATCTTTCCGCTTTATTATAACGAACTTTATATTATCAATAGATCATGTGAATTTTATTTCTTGAAATCTGTGCGACTTTTACTTATCCCAAATAATCGGTACCATTTGTGTTGAGAGCCTAGAACGCAAATGGTTAATATTCTAAATTTCTAAAAATAGAAAATTAATAAATGCTCGGATTAAAGTTCAATCGGTACAAAAAAGGGGTAAAATCAAAGAACATTGATAATGCCAAGAAAAGATTTACGATTGTTTTTACAGTAACATGTAAAAGATAAAGACCTTTAATATTATTGTAATCTATATATCATAAAATAGATTAACCTGTGAAGTATGAAAATCTCTCCTTTTTTCATATTGACAAAATATCGTTGAACTTATTATCCATCGAATTTTTTTCGATTGGGATTCTATTGATAATAATTTTCCAATTGAATTGATTAAAATTCTTAATAAGAATTTTTCATTGTATGAATAATAATATGGTTTGCGAAAGAAATTTCTAAACAAATACTGCGTAACTTTCTTTAATTATGCGCAGTTACAGCGTATTTTCGACTTAACCATTTACGGCAAACGGCGTATGGCTATTATAATGCATAAGTCTGATTTGGTAACGATTACCGATTTGTGGCAAAAAAAAAAAATTTATATAAATGTGTGTAGCTAATTTTCTTTTTTAAACACAAAATATAATTTAAGTAAACAGATATGGATATAATGGAATCATTAGAGACAATACCGTCCGTAGTAGTAGTTTCACTAAGTTCAATAATTTTATTCTTTCAGGGGATTAGTAGTTGCAAACCCTGTGGATATCAAGAACTATCAAGCAAAGATACAGGTGATATTCCAATTGGTAGTACACGTTTTTCAACCGTAAAAAGGGATGTAGCAAAGATCGTAATTATCCTTTTACAAATTGGACTATTTGGATTTTTATTTTATTTGAGATATATACGAAATGAAAATGAACAAAATGAATACAGTATTTTGTTAAATATTGCATTAATGATTTGCTGGGTAAGGAAAAAAAAATTAATCTTTAATTGACTTGATCTGCTTTATTTATTAATTAATTATTAATTATTTTCTTTTTTTAGTCATATGCTTTGATTTTAACAGTAATTGGTATAACATCAGGTTCAAGAAAATGGGGATGGATTATAAATTTCCATCTGACAGCATTTTATTTAACTGCAGTATTTTGTTCTTTATTACAAATTCGTTCCGCTTTATACTCTCACTCTAATTCTGTAAACTTTTCTAAAATAAAACGAATTGAAGTTTTAATTTCCTTAGCAAATTTCATTTTATCTCTTATAATAACAATAGTTTCTATTACAACTCCTCGAGGTCCTCCATTAATAAATAATAATAGACCAGTTTATGCAACCGAGTATTGTTCATTATGGGATTTTATTATGTTCAACATAGTAGATCTATTAATGAAAAAGGCCTATTATCAATCTTCACTCAGTGATTCTGATTTTGATCAATTACCTTATTCGTTAAGAACCTCTCCATTGTACAATTACTTTAAAAGACGGCGGGATCGTTCTCTGTTATATCGAATAGTAGAAGCAAATAAGAAAGTTATTTTAATTCAATTATTATTCACCGTAATTACGGGAATACTTTATTATGCTCCTTTTGCATTCCTTTATCGATTTATCGAATTTATTCAAAATTATCAATATGGAGAAAAGTTAGAATGGGGTATTATTTATATACTTGCAATGTTTCTTTCAAATGTGATCTTACAATTATCAGTAGCACAAGTTTGGTATTGGTCTTCATGCGTATTACAAGTTGTTGTAAAAGCACAACTTAATTCTGAAATTTATTCAAAATCTTTGAAAAGATATGATTCTACTATTACTTCGTTTGATGATGATGATGATGATGATGACGAAAAGGAAGACGAGAATTCCGGAAAAGATAATGAAGATGCGGATGATGAAGATCAAAATAATCAAAATAGCACTGTTGGAAAAATTACAAACTTAATGGCAGTAGATTCTAATAGAATATCAGAATTTGCAACTTGGTGGAGTAGCATCGTTGATTGCCCTATCGAGTTGGGTGTGGGATTTTATTTTTTGTATCAATTATTAGGTAGTAGTTGTTTATATGGACTATTAGTGATGGTTTTAATATTACCAATTAATCATAAAACCGCAAAAAGTTATAACATAACTCAGGATAAATTAATGAAAGCAAGGGACAAAAGAGTTAATTTGATGAATGAGGTAGGTAAAAAAATTTTTTTCCGGCGTTTTTTTGGTAAAAAATTGACATTAATTCTTATTTGTAATAGGTATTGCAAGGAATTCGTATGGTTAAATTTTATGCGTGGGAAAAAAATTGGGAAAATCGTATATTAGGTATACTATTGAATGAATGAAATTAATTGATCTTATTTATTTAAACGAATATACGAGTATCTCTGTTTATTTATAATGTTTCTCTTTATTTAGATTCGCGTAATTCAGAGCTCAAACAACTTCGTAGTACTTATATTCAACTGACATTATTCGATTTAGTATGGATCGTTTCTCCTGTGCTAGTAACAATTGTATCGTTTTACATTTTCACCAAAGTTCAAGGAAACGAATTAACAGCATCAATAGCTTTTACCTCTTTGTCAATATTCTTTGAATTAAGATTTGCTCTTAATATATTGCCCGAAGTATTTATGGATGGTTCACAGGCTTATGTTAGTTTAAAGAGAATTGAAAATTTTTTGAATGAGGATGAAATTACTGATTCAGAATTAGAGAATGGAGATAATTCATTAGGACGAGGGAGTAAAATTGCTTTTGAGAATGCTACTATTACTTGGAATAGACTTGGTGATGAAAAAATTAATGCCGAAGAACAAGAATTTAAAATGAGAAATTTAAATTTAGATTTTCCCATTGGAAAATTAAGTATAATATGTAAGTTTTATCTTCTTGATTTGAAGGAGTTTTTGGAATTGAATCTTTTGAATAATTATTTATTTTTTTCTATTAAATTAGGTGGACCAACAGGATCAGGAAAGGTGAATATTATGAAAAATAATTCGAATTTTTATGTAGATACAATTTTTAAATTTTTTTTTTTTTTTTTACTTAGACTCTATTATTAATGTCACTACTTGGAGGTAAGTTTCTGATTCGATCATATAAAGTTGTCTCTCTATAATGTTGATCTAGAATTATAATGATTAGATATGTCACATTAATACGATGTGACTATAATCATTATAGAGATCAACGATTAGTTATATCAATGTATATTTCAAAGTATTAACGTGTTTTTAATTTTTAAAAGAAACTAACGTGATAAGTGGAAGAGTATATTGTCCAAAGTCTCCAGCAGATCTAGTAACCTATGATCTTAATCCATCGAATTGGATATTGTCAAATAGTGTTGCATTGGTTTCTCAACAAGCTTGGCTTCAGAATGCTTCCATTAGGTCAAATATTATTTTTGGTCTACCTTATGATGAAGAAAGATATGAGGCTGTGATAAAAATGTGTTCCCTAGAAATAGATTTGGAAATTTTTGAAGATGGTGATATGACAGAGATTGGAGAGAAAGGAATTACTCTTTCAGGAGGACAAAAGCAAAGAATTTCTCTAGCAAGGTTTCTCTATTTTCCTTTAAATAAATATTTATATTAAGTTGGTGTCTAACATTTTTATTTGAAATTGAATCACGATTAGAGCGGTTTATTCTAGAGCACAGCTTATCTTGATGGACGATGTTTTAAGTGCAGTTGACACACATACTGCTAGGCATTTAATGAATAATTGTATATTGGGTGATTTTATGAAAGGACGAACGATTATTTTAGTTACGCATCACATAAGATTAGGTTTGAGTGGAGCTTCTTACTTGGTAACATTTCGAACACTACGTTTTATTCAAAAAATTCTCGATCATAGGTTAATTGCTTTTCATTTAAATCAGGTTTCCGTAGATAATGGTAAAATAACAGTATCAGGAGCGATAAGCGACTTGAAGAGTTCTGGTAAATTAAGTACAATATTAGAAGAAGCTGATAGTAGGTCTGAAGATGTTAAAGATTCAGCAGAATTAGCAGCAGAAAAAGTAGCAAAAGATGACGCAGATAAAGCAAAATTCCATCATGTAGTTGGAGCTTCAACTGCATCAACTTCTACAGCCGTAGAAAACGTTGAAAATGAAGTTAATTTAAGTGATGTGCAAAAAGCAAAAAAGAAAAATTTCAAAAAACCTAAGATTCTCGTTGAAGAAGAAGGTATTATTACATGACGAAGTAAATTTTTTTCTGTTGAGAAATTATTACTAATCTTAGAAAATTATTAATTTATTATTTAAGCACGTCCGACTGGAGCTGTTAGATTAAGGATATATAAGACTTATGTCCGTGCTAATGGATATGTAATATTCTGGTCTTTAGTCGTAATAATTTATATTGTAACTAGGACGACTCAGATCATGGAAAGCTGGTGGCTAAAAGTATGGTCAAATGCAAATTTAGAAAATGATATCAGTAACAATTATACATCAATATATGAGATTTCCCCTTTTTTGACTTCAATAAATATAGCAACAATTTCACAAATTTTTACTCCAACTTATTTATTAAATCAACAAATCGAAAGGATTTTATCAGCAAGTATTCTTCCATTTAATTATGATGATGATAATCAAGAACATACTGAAGAACATAGTATAGATTATTATTTGAACATTTATATATTAATTACATTGATATCTAGTCTTTTTGGAGTTGCAAGATTTATCATACTTTATTATGGGAGTTTAAAAGCTTCAAAAAAATTACATAAAACTTTGCTTCATCAAGTCCTTAGAGCTCCGCTTAGATTTTTCGATACTACACCTGTTGGAAGAATCCTTAATAGATTCAGCAAGGATTTTGAAACTATTGACAGTAAAATATCAGGTATAAATTTAAAAGATATTTTGATGGTTTTATTTTAAATTTTGAAAAGTTTTAATATTGTGGCTTTATTTAGGTGAACTTGCTTGGGTTTTATCTAATGTAAGCAAAATTATTTGTGGTTTTTATTTAATTTCCCTGACTAATAAATATTCTTTCTTATTCATTATAGATCCTTACGACAATTACTATTACATTTGTGATAACAGCCATCACAAAAGGTATTTCCATTCATACATTTTATAATTATGATATTTTTATGTACTAAAATTATTGTTATGTTTAGAATTTATTGTCGCTGCCATTATAGCTGGTATGTATTCTAATAAAATCACTTGATGCATGTATTTTTATATCATCTTTTAACTTGTTACGCATTGTATTCTACTAGGCGTTATTTACGTGATAGTTGGAATATTATACCTTAATGCTTCTCGAGAGTGTAAAAGATTGGATTCTGTGACAAGGTCACCTTTGTATTCACATTTTACGGAAACTTTGATGTAAGAATAATTAGCCTAAATATGTAGCTTAAAATGACTTCTTAACTTATTATCAATATTATTTTTAGAGGAATTACAACAATCAGAGCATATGGCGCTACGAAGCGATTTATGCAAGATACATTTGATAAGTATGTTATCGCTAAAGTTCTATTAAATCTAATAACAAAACTTATATTATATACTAAATTCGATTTTTAAATTAAGGATTGATACAAATCATCGAGCGTGTTTTAATATGTGGATTGCCAATAGATGGTTATCAATCCGTTACAATTTATCTGGTGCAGTTTTATCTTTCTTTGCTGGCATATTTTTACTTTACAATATAGACACAATAGATTCAGGTTTAGCAGGATTGTCATTATCATTTGCAATAAACTTCTCAGAAATAATTATGTGGACAATAAGAAGATATTCTTTATTAGAAATGAGTTTTAATGCTGTTGAAAGAGTGTGCGAATTTTCAGAATTGCCACAAGAAGCTCATGCCAAAATATTTCCGGGACCTCCAGCTGCCTGGCCATATGAAGGAAAAATTAAAGTAGAAAATTTAGAAGTTAAATATGCAGAAGATTTAGAACCAGTATTACATCATATTAGTTTTAGTGTTAAAGGAGGTGAGAAAGTCGGAATCGTAGGAAGGTAAACAATTTTTTATTTTTTCTTAAAAAAGTCTGATACGGTTATTTAGATGATAACGTATTTTTTTTTCTTGATAATTTATGTGATAGGACGGGATCAGGAAAATCAACGATAGCATTATCATTATTTAGATTTGTTGAACCATCCAATGGAAAAATATCAATTGATGATATTGATATTAGCTCAATTGGACTTGAAGATTTAAGATCAAAAATTACAATTATACCACAAGATCCTATACTTTTTAGCGGTAAAAACATATTGGTTAACGAGATTCTTTTATTTACACATTATATTAATTAAATTTTTTTACTTAATTATTCATAGGAACAATCCGTTCGAATTTAGATGTATTATCAGAATATGAAGATTTTGAAATTTTATCTTCATTGAAACGTGTTCATTTAATACCGTCCGACGTAGAACAAATTATTGCTTCAGATACTTCATCATTTAGAACATTGGATAGGAGAGGAAGTGTGGGTGGTAAAAGTTTAGCGAGTAGGAGAGGAAGTAGAGGTTCAAATGTGTACGATAACGTAAACGTATTTAAGGATTTGGATACACCTGTAAGTGAAGGTGGTAGAAACTTTAGTCAAGGACAAAGGCAATTATTGTGTTTGGCTAGAGCTTTATTGAGAAGCAGTAAAGTGATTTTAATGGATGAAGCTACTGCAAGGTAATTTATACATACAAAATTTTGATATTATTATTTACTATTATAAAAAGTTTGAATTATTTATTTATATTATGATTGTTTTATTAGTATCGATTTCGCTACTGATGAAAAGATACAACAGATGATCAGAACCGAATTCATAGATTGTACTATTATGTGTATTGCACATCGATTGAGAACCATTATTGATTATGATAGGATATTAGTACTTGGTAAGAAAACCTTATGCTTAACTTTTATAATAATACATTCAATATTTTATTTTTATTTTATTTATCTCTTTTCTATTATTAAATTTTACAGATCAAGGTAATATAATAGAATTTGATAGTCCTCATAATCTAATAACAAATCATGAATCTTTATTCTATAAAATGTGTCAAAATTCCGGTGAATTTGATCAATTAATGTCTTTAGCTTTAAAGAAAGGCAATAAAGACGTTTAGAATTTATACATATAAGGATTTTTAATATAATTTACTTAGATTAATCTTAATCAGATAATGAAATAATATAACATAAGGGAGAGTAATTGACTTTGTGTAGTGTAGTTAGTGGCTTTAAAATGATTTGAGATTAATGTGATAATATGTAACACACGTTTTTTATTTGATTGAATAAAAAATTTTTGGGTCCAATAATCTAATGATTCCCTTAAACATAACTAATAATACATCGAAAAATAAAAATTATTAAATAGCGTTAAAATGGGTTTGCAGGGGTAAGTGTAGGCAGGAGGATGTATTCGATCCTCTATCTTAAGTCTGGTAAGGTTGGGATAAAGGTATTATAACGTATTATAACGGAATTCATCTAGCATCACGTCTTGGGAACTCTGCTAGTTTACAAGACCAGTGATACCAGACGGTTCTAGGTAGTTTTAACGGGCAATTTTGCTAGGTAAACTATTTCTATTGCTCGAGGAAATGCCTAAAGAGAAAAGCCAGTGGAACTCGTTATATCGTTCCCTCAAGGACAAGGTTACCAGCGATACAATCGAGATTCATGAAAAGTATAAGACCCCTACACAGTAATAAGAACGTCATGTCGACCTAAGAAATAAATCTTTCAATCACAGGCAGAGTAAAAATGAAGTGATTCCCGTCGTGACTATATTATTTTTTTATCTCTTGCTAACTACGGAATTTGTGCTACAGATCTGAAATTCTTTCATCTCGAAAAAATTCTCTCGTGGAACTTAACCCTTTATATGATCTAGATTTGACTGGAGAGATATAGATAAGTGAGAATTTATAACGGGTGGATAATTTTTTCGAAAGTCTGATGTTTATGTACTTATCTTCCGACAGATCTGGGCAATGATTAAGAATATCCAGGAACTTTGGTGCAACCACGTTAAGTATACGTGGATGACTACCGGGAGGAGAGATATAAAGCCTTAGGAGTCGTAATGGAACGCTCCAGTCCGTCCTTAAAAGGACCTATTGCCGAAGCAAAGACCATAAACAGTACAGAGTCTGCCTCCCCGGTGTTTAGTGCGCGTTCATATTTTAATTCAAAGAAACAGTATCATGGTGCAACCACGTTAAGTACGCGTGGATGACTACCGGGAGGAGAGATATAAAGCCTTAGGAGTCATAATGGAACGCCCAGTCCATCCTTAAAAGGATCTATTGCCGAAGCAAAGACTATAAGCAATACAGGGTCTGCCTCCCCGGTGTTTAGTGCGCGTTCATATTTTTGATTTAAAGAAACAGTATCATTGGTACAACTACGTTAGGTATACGTGGATGTATACCGGGAGGAGAGATATAAAGATTTAGGAGTCATATTGGAACGCTCCAGTCCATTCTTAAAAGGACCTATTGCCGAAGCAAAGACCGTAAGTAATACAGGGTCAGCCTCCCCGGTGTTGGTGAACGCGAAAGAAAAGAAGTAAGATCTATGAACATGAGTAGATTATAATCTACCAAATAAACCCATGTATCAAGACTGTGTTACACATCTACATATCATGAGTTGCAGTGTCGCACATGAGCAGAAAATCATTTATCATTAGCGGCACGTCACGACCGTCACAACGTCACGTTGTCGTCAAATAAAAGTTGGGCCTTAGAAAAATGACACTACATGCACGCGTCAACGTGTTCTCAGCTGTGCTCTATTCCTCATAAAGCTCACGAGTTTTTCCACGTAAATCCCTGCTCGAGGTGGCAATTGTGGCAATTTCGGTATTTCTCTAACAGCCAGAATCCTTGTTCCCAGTTTGCTAGCTCTCTAAGACATATCATGAATGAATGCGAAAACCCTTTGATTGCTAATGCTGCACAGAATAAGCTTAAAAATGTACAAAATGTTGCGAATTTGACGTGTTTTTTAAAGAACCAGTAACGTGTTTTAACTGAGGGTATACAAATACCTCACCGACTTCTGTTTCCTCTTCACATTAGATTAATAAAGAATCCCAACGGAAGCGTAAAGCTAAAGCTACTTCAAGATCCTTGAAAGAAAAGTCGAAGCGTCAAAGACTCAAACAAAAAGTTCTTCTTGAATCTCACCTCACAGCTCAATTAGAGGCCACTAGCAATGAAAAATTGGCTCTAAATCAAACACATCTCCAGTTTATCAAGCAAAATGTTAGTTAAGCTTAATCAATAATTTTAGTTTATTGATTACAAACACTAACTGACATTATTCTACACGTAAAAAAGGGTCCAATTATTTCTAACGAAACATCAGATGGTGTAAGTAAAGAACAAGATACATCCAATGAATCAGATGATGAAAGTGACGATGGATATAAAACTCCAACTCCAATATCGCAATATTCTTCTGGAGATTCATTCACCGAAAACGAAAAGATTATCATAACTAATATTCCTTCAAATTTATTACAATTAGGAAGTTTAGAATCTGATTTGTGTATAAATAATGTTAATATATCGGCAAAATTTAGAGCTTATATTAATGAAGCCATTTCACACGCTAATACTGATGGGCTATATGTTGAATCAAATACGCACGAGATTTTATCATTATCATCAATACTTGTCTTGATACCAAATTCTTATTCTACAAAAATGGTAGAAATATTTGGTTTGCAAGTACTTGCATCAATTCATCATGAATATACGCCGACATTATCTATATCATTGGATACAGAAATTGAGTGCATATATAGGAATGTTATTAAAACATGTTTGAAAGTTTCACGTAGCAATGCAATTGATCTTTTATGTACAAATCTTGCAAATAGAAATGAATTGAGGAATAATTTTGGGTTTTTAATGCTGGATTTGATAAGAACTCTACCAATCGATAAAATCAGGAATGAACCAAGTGAATTAACATTAATCACCAATTATTTAGACAGAATCATGAAAGATGCTTTTCATAACCCGGATAAATATATAGCTCAATGGCCAAATACGGCCCTAACGGAAAGTAGAATAAGAAAACTTGACGGATCAAGAACGAAACAGCCAGATTTTGTAGTAACGATGAAATATCAGTCTCAGACGACAAATATTATTTATGTCGGTGAAGTGTCTGGTCCATCCGAGAAAAACAGCGTATATAAAAACTGTCTTGATTTAATCAGGATAGGTGTGTTTATGAAAGATTGCATCGACTCAGCAATTTCGAGAGGAGCCGAGATAAAAATATTAGGATTTCAATGTATCGCATACAAAGTGGATTTCTATATTCTTGATTTAATAAGTGAAGGATTATATACGATGAATCATATAGCTCAAATTTCGATACCCGAGACAATAAAGGATCTATATATTTTTATAGAAGAGTTACACGTTCTATTAAATATACGAAATATTTTATTGGAATCTTATGATATCTTTATTGATAAACTTGAGAATCCGGGGTCAGCTCAGTTAGAATTAAAATCATCATTCAAAAAGAATACATTGGATACTCCTGAATTTAATAGGCTTGTTAGTAAAACTCGTTGTGTAAAAAGGGAATGCCCGTTTTGGTTTGGAAGATATTAATATTGGATAGTTTTACATTCGGCCTTAGGCATTACCATGAGGTCTTCAGGCGGGTGGAGATAATTGGCTCAATCATTAGTAAAATTCACGATACTTCAGTCTTGAATACAGAAGTTGTATGAGAAAGTATGAGGAAGTATGAGTTCAACTAAATTTCGTTAAGCATCACATTATATTAGTAATAATTTTCTTTTCAGGTAATTAACAAAATTTTGTTATGAATTGGATAACTACGCCACATGTAATAATTAGAATCACGTCATCTTTGAACTTTTTGTAAGAACTTTATTATTCATTTTACAATTATTAAATAAATTTAATTTTAGATTTGTTTTAAATTAGTATCCGTATCAAGTAATTTAACTTAAATTAAAAACCGGTTTCTGACCGAAAAATATTAGGCTATTCATACCCTTTTTTGCATATAATACGTATAATACGTTAGGAACCCGGAATTTTTTATTTTATTTTATTTTATTCATTTCAAAAAGAAAGAGTTTTCGCAATTTCATAGTGATCTATTTAAATGAACGTTTTAATAACGACGTTTTTAAACGAAATTCTCTGCGCCTTTGGAATTTTATCACGTGAATCAACACGTGTTACAAAATACAAATCCAACAACAAAAAAGATTGCTTTTTTAAGTTTTTTTTCGAGAAATAAAAGTTTAAATTTAAACAATTTCTCCATTTGAAATTTGTTTGTTTGTTTTTATTCATAATTTTCCGATTTTTTTTAAGAATTCGATTAAGAAATTTCTATAGAAAGTTCGAAGCATAATAGGATCATTGGATCATTGGATCCGCATTTTAATACCGATTAAAAATCCGAACGATCTTTAAAAGTGACCTTATTTTGGATCAAATTTTTTACCCATTAATTCTTTTTTTTTTAAAAAAAAATTACTAGTATTTTTTTAATTATTATTATTGCCAATGAAGAAAAATGAGACGTTTCCTTTCCAAACATATGTTGGAATTATGTGATGTGGCGCATACTCATATTGTACAAGTATAATAAATTAACTAGTTGAACTAGTTTATCTTAATTACATGTATGAATTATGTAATTTAATTAAAAGGGTCACCACCATCCTAAAAAAACTAAAAGGTTCTAGAAAGGTATGACATTATGAACGGTGTAAAATATGCTCATGATTCACTTAAGGAATTTCCGGGAATGGGAATCGGCAGAAACGCCACATCATTACTCTATTTAGGTTTAAAGGGTTTAATAATTATAAGAGGTTTTATATTTAGTACTATTGTAACTGGTTAAGTATAAGTATGGTAACTGATTGAGTATAATATATGATAATATTGACGTTTAGACAAAGTAATGTAGACAATCTTTATGAAATTTGGCATGTTTCAGGAAAGTATATAAAAATGCCAACTTTTTCATCTTTATCCTTTCATTGAAACTTTTAAAAAACTTATTTTTATTAAAAAAAAAATAACAAAGTAACCCCTACTTTTTTTTTCTTTTCTTTTTTTTTAAAAAAAATAAACCAATTAAAAATGAAATTCTCACCAATTTTTATTATTTATACCATTTATTTCACCACATTTTTATTCACTAAAAATCAAGCATGTGAACAAAGTTGTCGGGATGGTATCTCATTAGCATTTTGTAATAGTTATACACAAGAATGGAATCCACTTTTTGATACTCTTGGTTCAAATTTAACGAATAATATTTATACTGGATTAAATGTTAATATTGATCAAGTTAAAATTTTGGTTGATACAGCAATTTTAAATCAAGTTAATAAATCAAAAACAGAATTTTCTAATAATTGTAAAGATATTGTTGAAGATTCAATATTTTCAAAAGATCCAAAATTTAAAGGACAATGTCAAAAACCTTTAAAAGTTATACAACCTAAACCTGGAGTTAATTGGACATTAAGTGATTGTGAACAACAAGATTATATTTGTGGAAATCCTCCTTCAATTTGTCATTTTATGAATGAACATGTTAAACCAAGAAATGTTGAATTACTTAAAGAAGCTTTAAATGATCGTGTTTCAGATAATGGAAATTTTACAAGTTCACTTATTAAAATTACTAATAAAGTTATTACAAATTCTGATTCTTTTGAGAAAAATCAAACAAAGGATTTTATGGATATTGTTACAATGAATATTAAATTTGAATTAAAACAATTTGCTACCACTTTTAATAATAGTTTTTGTATCACTGATTCAAATTCTACAACAACTTCTTGTGATAAATATGATTCAGGAATCAAATCTCTTCTTTTATCTTTTCCTTAAAAAAATTTTTTTTAAAAAAAAAGATTATATAAATAGGGGTTACTACAATTACACCTTTCTTTTTTTACATTAAATCCGCTTTTTTACCTTTTTTACCTTGTTAGTTCGATTCTAAAAAATTTTTTTTTTGATATGGACTTTTTTAAAAAAACTTTTTTTTTTAATAATATCTTTGCTGGGCAATGATATCAAATTTAAATGTAGTAAATGTAGTGTAATTTTTTTATATATATTATATATATTGTAGTTTAATTTTATTACTTTTTTTTTTTAAATAAAATAAATAGATCTTTTACTGATATTACTGATATTCTAAAAATTTTTCTTTATTGAATCGTATAATTTATTATTGTTTTCGTCTAAATAACATTTTTGGTACTTGATGTCTCTTAAACAATAAGCCCACTAATCAATGATTCCTTTTTCTCTCTCATTTTTGATTTTTTCATTACAATTCTTATTTAAACAATCCTAAAATAACAACAAAGAATTATAATAAACAAAGATGAAACTTAATGGTAAATAATTGTCTTTCACAAAAGGCATGGCGTATACCGACTGTATCACACGCATCACATTGCAGTAAATGATTATTGATATTTCCGTAATAGCGTTCACTCCGAAAATCATACATATGGACATACCATTTCATGTTTATTAGCTGCAGTAGTAAATGACTATTGATATTAATCGGAGTCTTTTATAGTGTTCACTTCGAAAATAATATATACCATCTCACGCTTATTAACCGCAGTAGCAAATGATTGTTACTATTGATCGCAATATCTTTAATTGACCGTAATAGTGTTTACTTCGAAAATAATACTGTATAAAATAAAATAGATCAAGAAATTTCATACCATCTCACGCTTATTAACCGCAATACTATTGATTGCAGTAGTATCCTTTAATTGACCGTAGCAGCTACCGTAGTAGTTCACATTTTATCACATTTATAAGTTTCAAAAATAATATAAATAGATCAAGAAATTTCATAACATTTTTGATTTCTACATCTTTGTGCATGGGTATTAACTGGCTAGTGAGGATTTTTATCTGAAGCCAGTTGTTTGCTATTTGCAAACTTCCCAATCGCATCATCTTTCGCAATAGTCGGAAGAGAATTTTTTTAAAAAAGGGGAAACCCTATAAGAAATTTTAGCGGGTTGGGAGTGTAAAAATGTGAAGTGTAAATAATTTTTAGTATAGTACATCATATTTATTATACAATATGATTTTGTTACGAAATCCAATAATATTCGTTATCATCATCATAAATTATAGAAATACGCGAAAAAAAATAATAAATAATTGTTTTAACATAAAAATAACTCTTTATTTAAGTGACTTCATATACAACTAATAAAATTTGTTCGACACAGTTCAAAAAAAAACAAGTATTTTTTTCTAATCTCGTAAAACTTCAATTTAACAAACATTATTCCTTTTTATCGGAAGGATGTAAAATAATAATATATCGGTCAATAGTCAATACTCCCCCTCATTTTTTAGGAAATTTAATTGGTTTGATATAAATGATATAAATGTATAGTAAATCTTTGTAATACGGGGGGTATAAACGTGGGGAAAGTTTATCAACTTTATCATTCATGCATTCTCTTTATATGCTGATATACATCATTTTTCTCGGGTCCTTTACACCAAAAACTATGAGAATAAATTAATGTTTATCGGGATCTCTATTTGTGTAATTCGTTTAAATGAATAATAATTTTTCACCTTTTTTACCTTTGTAAAACATAATCAAAATATTCTCTCTCCCCCTGCAGCCCAAACATATTATAAAGAACTAGAACTCCGTTCGAACAAAGAAATTAAAATCAACTCTATCATGATCAAAAGATAATGATCAAATTGGTCAATGCATAATGTGTTTTGCAACCTACGGAACTTGTATTTGTGAAACAGTTTGAACAGTTTGGCGCTACTTTCATCACTGAGTTATCAGATGAATTGTATAGTATATACTAAACTAGTAATTTATAAATTCTAGGAATTTTCATTCATGTATTCTTACGGGAAGATTAAATTTAGTATAGCGTTGAAGAACACTCATTTCGAGCAAAATATTGAATAATGAAATTCTTTAACGAGTACTAAAAATATTTTTCTATAAAATCATTATTTTTTCGCTCGAGAGTGGATTTTCCGGATCAACTTACGCAAAAATGCTTATAATTATATTATATACTGCTAACGTTCAAAATCTAATTTGAGAAGAGGATTAAGCCATGTATTGTTTAAAAATAACGATTTTTTATTAGTATTATGATAGCACAATATTTAAACATGACAAAGCATTTAACGATAATTGAATCAAATCACACATTGATTAATCAACAATTTCCTTAAAACGTATAATAATATGCAATCTTTATTATTATTATTATTTATAATTATACTTCATATTATATACAACATAGCAGATAGTAATTGTGAAAAAAAAAAAAAATTAAAAATAATATTTTTTTTTTGTACATTTTAAACCAAAAAATTTTTCTAAATAAAAAAAGAAAGTCATTTTAGATTCTATATACACACTTTATTGCAGCAGGTCTTTTGATTGCGCCTCCACGCATAAGAAAATACCCGTTATCGGATGTTTATATATACAGTATATATATATATATAATGATATACTATCTTTTCAATATAACGCCACAAAAAAAAAAAAAAAAAAAAAATTTTTTACTGATTGACATTTGAATTTATGTCATTAAGTATCAGATGAAGAACTAATTAATTAATTTTCTCCTTAATCTACGTTTTTTTTTTTAAGTAAAAAAAAATCATCATCTTTTAAACACATGATTGTTAAAATCCACCAATTATTTAAAAATTTCTATTAATAAAGTTTTTTTCGTTCAATTCTGTTGTGTAAATTAATTAAATTTTGTGATTCTTTTTTTAATATATTAAAATAGTCATTATAATATATTTTGTATATGTATTTTTAAAAATATTTAGGATTTTTACGAATTTAGAAATTTTAATTAATTACAAACAAATAATTTTAATTAAATCCGAAAAAAAAAAAAAATTTAAGATTTTTTTCTAAACCTTACTTCTTTTACTTCCCTTACTTCTCTTACTTTCCTTACTAGGATATTTATTATCATACTCGGATGACAATAATGACAATATCAAAAAAATCATACAAGTCATACGATATCAGAATTTTTTTTCTCCGACAATCATTTGATTTATCCGATAACGAATTTGAGATTCCCGTTTAATCTAGTCACATTTCGTTTTTAATTATAACGGAAAGATCTCAATATTGTCAAATAAAGAAATCTTTGATTCAAGATCTTTGTACAAGAAAAAAAAAAGAAAAGAATACAGTATGCAATATGCAATGAATAAACAGACTATCCACTAGTAATCGACATAAAATCGTGTGCCAAATATAAACAAAGAATTACTGAATATAGTTAACCAAATTATTAGAATCGATAACAGGTAAATTTTTTTACAACCGTTAATAATTTGCATTGGCTGAAATGTGATTAAAACTGCGAACAATTAATAATTTATTTTAAGAAAGTTGATCTTTTGAAAAATATGAATTTTATTTTTTTTAATGTATCTCAACTATCCTTTAAACTTTATTGCTCTATTGAAATTAATTTGATTAATTTGTTGCGGTGTTTGCGGTGTTTGCGATATAAAAATAGCTCAATTAATGCAATAACATCTGGTTTGTCTGGTTCTTCCAAATTCTAATATTAAACCTATAATAGGTAATTTAAAAAAAAAAGCGCATTTATGTAACATTTATTCCGAACCATTTATTTATCTCCTTATGAATTTCAATATTTAAATCCTATTCTCTTTGCTAATCATTTTTCTATAGATAAAAGTATATTAAATATAGAATAGAACGAAAAGGTTTAAAAAATTTTCATTGTCTTTGTTAAATATACTATTATAAATTTATCCTTTGTTTTGCATATTCAAAGTTTTCCGCTATTTTAAATATTTTTTTTTTTTTTTTTTTTTTTGTTGTCGTCGTTGTTATTTTTATGGATTTAAATTTATTTTGAAAAAAAAATATTAACTTTCTTCTATTTTTTTAGATAGTGCTACTGCGAGTTGNTTTTTTTTTTTTTTTTTTTTTTTATCAACAAAAAAAAAATTTAAAAGTGATTATTTGTTAGATAATTATCCATAAATAATATTTTATTCCTGCAGTGAAAAAGTCTTGGCAAAACATTACACATAATATAATATATAATATAATATATATAATATAATATAATATTATATAATATAATTTAATATAATTTTACATTAGAATCGGCAATAGGTCGGTTGATGCGTTACGTGATCATTTAAGTTTGTTACTATTTTTATCTTAACCGCATGGTTAGCCAAATTTGGTGGAAAAATTATATTATAAGGTAACACAACAAAAAAAATTCTTTAATATATAAAAGTAACGGGGCCTTTAACTTTTTTTTTTTTTCCTCACTCTTGAGCGAATCTTGCAATCTAAGAATATATTTTTTATTTTATTTTTCATAATAGCTTTTTTTTAGCTAAAGATTTTCTAGAAAGCAATTTTTGTTCGTAAAAAAGAGTCTAATTGAAACTTTAACGTTTATTTTTTTCATAAAAAGCTTTTCTCAAAAAAAACCAAAAAAAACAATAACAATAAATTCGTTTTCAATATAATATATATATTTTTTTTTTCGTAAAATTTTTTTCTTATAACGTCGTTATCATTTGATATATATTTCTTTTTTTTATTTTTTCACGAAACTTTTTTTTAAAATAATGAAATCTTCGACTTTTTTCGCTACTATTGTAGCTATTTCCGTTTTATTATTTTCCGTTGTACCTACGAACGCTTGTGAACAAAGTTGTCGTACTGGTATTTCATTAGCATTTGGAGACAATTACTCCATAGAGGTCGATAAGTTATTCCCAACACTCGAAGATAATTTAAAAGATAATTGTCTTAAAGGATTTAGTGGAAGTGTTTCATCATCAACCAAATCATCATTTAACAAAATAATTGAAGATGAAACTGATAAATGTAAAAAAGCTTTCACGGATAATTTTGCAAAATTAATTGAGGATTCAATTTTCAATCAAGTTCCACAATTTAAAGGACAATGTCAACATCCATTAAGAGTTAATCAACCACCAGCAGGTGTTGCTTGGACTATGGAAGATTGTGAAAATCAAGATTATATTTGTGGTAATCCTCCAGCTGTTTGTCATTATATGGATCAATATGTTAAACCAAGAAATGTTAAAAATGTTAATGAATCATTGAAAGATCGTCTTTCTTCTAATGGTTCTTGCTTTAGTTCTCTTGTAAGAAGTTTAATAATTGCTGCTGCTAAATCAAATATTAAAGCAAGTGACCTTGGATCACTTGCTCAAACTTTTGAAGATAATATTGAAGCACAATATAATGATTTTGTTAAATATTTTGAAGATGAATTTTGTAAAGGAACAACTTGTGATAAATATGACCATGATATTAAGGTCAAACTTTTGAGTTATCCTTAAAAAGAAAAAACAATAACAATAATGAATATTTATAAATATACATTTATTTTAATTTTTTTTAGTATTCTAATTTCCCCCCCTTTTTTTTAATTTTATTTTATTTTTTTTTTCGAAATTATACGAAAAATTTAACACGCACATAAGTACATTTTTTTAATTTAGAAAAAAAACAAATTGAGATTCATTTTTAAACTTTTTATTTTTGCATTTTTTTTCCACATTTTTTTTCTTTTTTCTCTTTTTTTTTCTAATTTTTTAATATAGAAAGTGTGTTTTTTAAATTTTGAAATTGGTGTGTTTTTTTATTATTATTATTATATTTAGAAGAAGAAAAAAAATTTAATAAATTGTCAAATAAATTGAAATAGTTTTAATAATTAATTTAACTTGTTTAAAAAGTGGTGTTTTTTTTTTTTTATTATTTTTGTCAAAAAGTGTTACAATCGATCTTGCCAAGAAATTAAAAAATTTTTTTAAATTTCGGCGATCAACGAAATGAATTTCCTTTTCTTGTCCAATAAGTTATGAGTACAAAATCAATTACATGCATATTAAAAAGAAAAAATTGTGTTAAGACTTTAAGAAGTACGATACGAGAATTTTAGAGCTCAATCAAAAAAAAAAAAAAATTTTAGATTTTGAATTTTTTTTTACGAGACAAAGTACGAGGAAGTAAATTAAGTAGTAGTGGTAAAACTTTTTGATATGTAGCTGTTAAGAAATTGAATTATTTGAACGGCCGATTCTTAATCTAGGTTAGGGATTTCCTTATATGGTTCAAAAATTATATTATTAACAAATAAGATCATTTTATATATTGTAACGCTTTTTTAAAAAATTGTTTTGGTTTCACCACCTTCCTTTTGTTACCGTATATTTTTAGTTTTGAAACGGTAATATATTTTAGGTTTTGAACAATTTATAATTTATGATGTTAGCCAAAAATAAGCATAGTACAAAAATTAAAATATTAATTATACGTTTACAAGCCTAAAGTTCAATCGAAATTCATATTAATTGATTATACATTTACAAGCCCAGAGTTCAATCGGAATTGACTAAACTTTTATCACATAAAAATATTAAAAATATTAAAAAATACTGAATCATTGAGTTTCCGCGAATATTTATGAAAATGCTTTCTTAAAGGCTCTAAATACACCCAATTCAATAATTGTCCGAAACAGGAGCGAAATACTACGAAATTTTCGTCTATCTTACATGATTTACGCACACGTGATCAAGTGTATATACTTGTTAAATTTTGGTGTTAAATTTAACTTTATAACTTTCAATACTATTGGCGTGTTTAAAAGCTTAATAAACTTAATAATGAATTTAGCAAATTTAATCTGAGATTATAAACAATTTCACAATTTCACAACCTAAAGAATGATTGATATCATTCATTTTTCTTCTTTGTTGAATAAAGAATCCCTTTGTTAAACAACGAATATCATATTGGTATATTTATCTGCGTCTCGTTTATTGAATCACCTCATCCATATGATTCGTGTTAATTTTGGGCAAAGCCCAGGCTGCCCAGTTTCACTGGAATAATGGTTTCCCGTATTCATGTGGTAAAGCTTCTCAAGTTTTGTTTTTTTATCCGACAAAAAAAAACACAATTACAATTAAAAAAAGAAAAATCCTTAGTATGAGATCAAGTTGTGCAGTGTGCCCTTTGATTTCGTAAATTAGGTGTTTCGTTATAGATGTTTTGACTGGTCGCTCAAAGATGGGTTTACCACATCGGACTTGAGGAACTCAAGGCAGTGTAATTGGTATATCTCGCCTAGTTATTACTGTAAGGATTGTAAGGATCGAAATCACCGGATATACGGACTAGTTGGTAAGTAATACTTATACACATTTTAGTTATACACATTTTAGTTATACATTTTCGAAATTTCGTTTCGTCATGCATTTTGTTTCCCGAAAAATCCTATAATTTGGTCAATTCTATAATTGTTATCCGGTCACTTAATGGTTGGCTTCTTGGCAAAGAAGTCTTGTTAAGAAGCTAATGCGTATTATCATTATCATATAATAAATAGATTTTAGATTTTGCGATATTTTATACCTAGGCTGCTAGGCATTTTTGGAGATCGAATTATAGCCCGGGATCATTTAGGCTTAGCCGAAAAAAATAATTTATACCACTGTTATCATATGACACACTGAACAAATGTAGTTACTGGTCACGGTCTCGTTTTCCCTATTGATTATAGTCTATTAATCGCATCGTTCCATATTTGGATTAACCCCTATGAAGAAATATTATTTGGATTTCGAAAATACAAACCATCTTTCTTTGTTCACTAGGGGATCCGCTTTCCGGAAGGTATACAGATCAAATCTCCTGGAAATTAGTTGTCTTTAGCTGTAGAAGTTACGAAATAATCCAGGCATAGTGAATTCTGTTCGTGATTTTTGGCGGAATATTCTTCTAACTAGAGTGAAGAGTTACACGAGATATAAGAGTTACACGAGATATATTTCATAAGACCAATTTCTATAAATGTTGTTTCAATTATACAACTTAAAATAAACGACTTAAAAAAATCTTTATTATTTAGTATTACATATTCCCCCCCTTTTCTCTTCACTCGCTCTTCCCTTTTTCCTTCTCTATTGCCCTTCCTTTCATTCTTTCAAACAGAAAGTGGACGCGATTTTGGTAGGGAAGGTAAGCATTTCTTCATTACTTTTTATTTTATTTGCTCTTCCAATGAACAGTTACTAACAGTTCGTTTGTTTTCCTATTTAGACAGTGGCTTTTTGGCTCCTTTGAACGCGTAAATTCCTCTTTTTTTTAGGTATTTGTTGTCAATTTCGGAGACTCTTGTAAAAATGGAGGTGGATATATTTTTTTATATTTTTTGTTTTTTAGTCTTAGTCTAATCTTTCCCTAATTTTTTTTAGGGTTTGTTTTCATTTCGAACTTTGAACACATGGGGTGGTTTCTTCTTAATAATTTCTATTAACGAAACGTCTTCTAACGTTTCTTTCTTTCTTTTTTTTTTAGACGAGCCTGGACACGTGAGATTTCGGTAAGTTCTTGTTTTTTCTTTTAAAAAATCTTTTTAGCGAAACGTTTGTTAACGTTTCAGTTTTTCTTTTACCCATTTTTTAGACGACCGGTTCTTTAGATCTTCAGGCGCATGGAATTTTGGTAGGGATTTCGATGGACTTCTTTTGTATTGTTTTATTTAGAAACATTAACTGATGTTTCGTCATTTTCTTTTTTTTTTAGATGGATCTGGAGAGTGTGAGAATCAAATCAATCTTTTGTTTTTACCAAAATTTATTTTAACGAAACGTTTACTAACGTTTCGATTTTCTTTTTTTTTAGATGGTCAGGTCTTTAGAGCGTGGAATTTTAGTGGGTTAATTTATTTCTTTTGGAAATCTTGGTAGGCCATTTTATTTTTTCTTTGATGAAACGTTTATTAACATTTCTATTTTTATCTTTTTTTTAGATGATTTCTTCAAATATCTATAAATGTGGACTTCGGTAAGGGTTTATTGCTTATGAACTATCTCTTTAACGAAACGTTTATTAACGTTCAAATTTTTTTCTTATGTAGCTTTGTTACAGCACCCTGGTCTGGCGTTAAAATTTTTTTTTTTTTAGGTTTTTTTACTTTTAATAAAACGGAATGTCTAATAATATTTCATTCTTTTATTCATGCAGTTTAACACTGGTTCTTAGGATTCAGGAAGTCAGATTGCGGTAAGTACCTTAATTTTTTTATATTTTTTATTTTTAATAAAATGAAACATTTACTAACGTTTCTTTCGTTTTTTTTTCTTTTGCAGTTGTAAATTTTAGGTGGCTCTTAGTAAGTTTTTCTTGATTTTTTTTTGATCTTAATGAATTTAACGAAAATTAGTTAATGCTTCTTTTTTTCTTTTGTAGGTCTTGTATGACTTTGAGCGCGGATTTCAAGTGAGTTCTTTTTTTTTTTACTTTATTCAATGAAACGTTTACTAACGTTTCATTTTGCAGTTTGTAAGTTGTTTATTAGACAGACTTACATGGATTTTGGGGAGTGGATTTTTTTCTTTAACATTATTTTTCAACGAAACGTTACTGACATCAGTTTCGTTTTTTCCTCTTTTTTTATCGATAACTGGCGTGTTGGAGTTCTGTATGGTTTCTTTTGAATTATTTCTTTTGCGAAACAATTACTCTGTTTCGTTTTTTTTCTTTTTTCCTTGTAGGAAGCTGTCCCCGTTAAAATAAATTTATGGGCAATTTTTATCATAAAAAAAATTACCAGTGATCAAATGAGAATGGAATAACATCTATTAGCTTTTTTTTATTAGTAAACGTAAAATAGCGCAATAATAAATATATTTTTTTTATACATTTAATTAAATACATAAATATATGTGATATGTCATGTGATAATATATCATGGGTTACATAAGCTTTTTCTTGATTCACAGCATGGGCTGCGTGATACATGTACTGTATTAGGATACGCCAATGAAGGAGTTACTTAAAAGTAAAATTTGATTCACTTGAATGGGGAGACAAGATTCGAATGGCTTTGGATATTACATGTGGATTAAAATGTTTACACTCAAAGAAGATAATTCATAGAGACTTGGTAAATCTGTGGTTTATTTTTTTATAATATTTGTTTAAATGGGGATAATTTTTAATAACATAAATAATTTACTTTAAAGCATTCAAAAAATATATTAGTGAATAATGGTAGATTATTAATTGCGGACTTTGGATTATCTAAACATTTAACAGATGCTACGTCTAATTCAACGGGTAATAGAACAGGAATTACCGAATATATTGACCCACGATGTTTTAGGGACTTTAAATATGTAAGGCGTGAAAAGTCTGATATTTATAGTTTAGGTATTTTATTATGGGAAATTACAAGCGGACGACCTCCTTTTCATGACGATAACGTCTCACAAGCACAAGATGACTCAGAACAAAGTAATTTGCGTTATCACATTGGTCACTTGAATCTTAGAGAAAAACCAATTGATGGTACACCTTTAGAGTATCAACAACTTTATCAAAAATGTTGGGATGGTGATCCAGAGAAAAGACCTGATGTTAATCAAGTATATAATGAAATTTTGTGTCAATATAATGCTGATGATATCCACGAAAAACATGAAGATTTCTCTAGCAGTAATAGTCATGATAATTTAAATATATCATCAGACTATTCAGAGCCATACTTAGGAAGTGAGTTTGATTGACTGTACTTCAAAAAAAAGTTAATAAATGTTTTGATTATCAGGGAATTTTGCCACAGTTTTATTAAGTTTTTTATTAAATTCAAACGATATTATTAAGTTGATCTGAACTAATATAATGGAAACGGAAAGGTTATGGTTATGAATTTACTTTATATACAAAAAAAAAGATAAATAATAAATAAATTAAACCATAGATTATCAATTATCCTCATAAGTTCATGCAGATTTAATATTATTGTTGTTTTGGTCGGTTGGCATAATAATAAAAAAATTCCCGATAATATTATCACTACGTGCCGCATTTGACTACGATTTGGTTAGATCATTCCAATGATATATAAATACAATATGTAATTATAAAATATGTCCGTAGAATCACGCAAGCTTTGAAGTTTTTGATTTAAATGATTTCAATGTTATAAAAAATTGATTCCTTGACTAAAAATTAGCTTATTTTCAAAAATTCATTCAGTAGTTGTTGAGAAATCCAAAATCGGCAAAATTGATGGATTTCTCAACAACTGCTGATCGAATCTTTCTGATATTTAAGTCAAAGAATTGATTTTTAGCATCTATTTTACTCTAGCTGTTCTGGTTAAAAAGTTGAAAATTTTTTTCACTTCGAAAATTGAATATTTATACACAATTTTATTATTAATTACGTGAAAAAATGTTCATAAAATGTATTTTACATTTCTCATTCTAATATAAATATAAAAATATTAATGAAAACAGTGGAATTTATTTTATTTTTAAGTGGTCGGTCACTTTTTGTAACCCACTGTACATCACTTCGGACTTTAATAACGCACTGGAAACTTAACGTTAAGGATCGTAAAGAAAGGGAAAGATTCCAGGCAAAATTTACCTACCCAGACAACATCGACTATAATGCCTTATTTTAACGACAAGCCCTTACTTCTTTTCTTGCGGATTGTAAGGTTAAAGCACATGTTTGCATTAAACAAAATGGGAAACAAATCTGGATACTTTATTTTGAGTCGCACAACGACCTCCAAGCTTTTCTGGATATCGAGCAACCAATAAAGATGACCGCCTCCTACGCTCCCATTAAGAAAAATCCATGTCCTACCCAAACAAATTGTCAAATGGTTGAGCATAGTAATGAAGTCCAAGCAAATTGAAAAAACTGAATTGTCTTTAAGTAATTTGAGAATTCATAAAAAAATGAATACAAATTATTTTTCAGAGATGAATTATATTAATTAGTCGAAATTTATTTATAGAAATTTGGAAGAATTTGATATTACTGTCCTACTGGATTTGGATTTAGAAAATTTTCGAATTTTTTGCCGCGTGTAAAAGCCTATGATGAAGAGAGTAGAGATAGCTGACATAGCCTTAAAAAATTTAAAGGATAATAGAAAAGAAAATTCAGGATATTTTTCAAAAAGAAATTATTATATTGATTTATGTAGTTTAGTTGTTATTGATAAAATGATAAAATGCGAAAATTTATTGCAAAATTAATTATTATAAAACTAAAAATATTTATGAAAACTCTAAATATTTAAATGATGAGTTTGATTCTATCGTTCAACCTCTGAAATTTTCTTTAATAATTTCATCTGTAGCAGTAGTCTATACTGGAATCGAAACCGCATCTATTAAAAGTAGAAGTATTATTTGCAAATTTTTTACCACTTATAAAAAAAATTGAGCGAATTTTACAGTATATTTAAATGGTTAAAATTTGTAAGTCAATAAAAAGACATGTGAAGCAATATTAGAGAGAGTAAAAATGGCCAATACAGCTGTAAATAATTTAAAAATTCTAAAATTCGAAAATTCGAAATTTAGAATTTTTTTTTTTTTCATAAAAAAAAAATTACAATATTAGAGTTATCAATAATTTCTCAAATGATAAAAATATTGAAAAAAAAATTTTAAATTAGATGACGAGTTTAAACTATGCTTCAACTTCTGCAAATAATGATGATATTATGATATTGAAGAGATGAAATTTTAACTTTTCCAATTTCTTTCATTTCTTTTAAAAATTACTTATCATTGCTCAATATAGGAGTGGATTAAAAAAAAATTAATAGAAGAAGATATTAATTATTTTGAATATAGCAAATTTAATGACTTTAAAGAAAAAGGTTTGGTATCGTAAATAAGGTGGTAACTGATGATGGAATGAAAGTTGCACTTAAAGTCCTTATCGATAAGAAAACTTTAATAATCAAAGAGGATGATATTAAAAAGATTGTAAATAAGATAAAAAGTTTATTTAAATCAATTTTACTGTAAAAGCGACATATGTAAATTTAAATTCAATATATTATACCCATTATTCTTTACTCAGATAAAACTTGTCCGTATTATTAGTTTTCATCAAAATATCAACGGTTTCCTTGGAATAACAAAAGTAAGGTGTGTGTTAAATTTTTTTAATAATACAGTGACACCTCTCTAAGTGCACCCTCCTTGGGACCATAGTAAAAAAATAGTAGAATGTGCACTTAGAGAGGGTGTGCATTTATAGAGAGTAAAATATTAAGAGCTCTTATAAGTTGGGACTTGGGACCAGGCCCACCGTGCACTTAAAGAGAATTTATATAGTGCGTGCATTTATAGAGGGTGCACTTATAGAGGTGTCATTGTATAAGTAATTTAATAACATAATTACATTAATTATATTTAAATGAATAGATGATATTGGAAATTATTGAATACGCCAACGAAGGAAATTTAAGAGATTATTTAAATGAAAAATTTGATTCATTACAATGGGAAAATAAGATTCAAATGGCATTTGATATTACAAGTGGATTAAAGTGTTTACACTCCAAAAACATAATCCATAGACACCTGGTAAACCAGTAATTTATTTTTTTATAATACATTGTTTAAAAGTATTGTTTCTTTAATAATATTAATAATTATCTTTATAGCACTCAAAAAACATATAAGTGAATAATGGTAGATTATTGATTTCAGCCTTTTCAGACTTTAGATTATCTAATTTAATGGGTAATAGAACGAAATTGTCGAATATATTGACTCACAATGTTTTAAGGATATTAAATATGTAAGGAGCAAAAAGTCTGATATTTATAGTTTAGGTGTTTTATTATGGAAAAATACAAGCGGACGACCTCCTTTTCTTGACGATAACGTCTCACAAGATGAAAGTAATTTACGTTATCACATTAGTCACTTGAATCTTAGAGAAGAACCAATTGAAGGTACAGTACACCTTTAGGGTATCAAAAATGTTGGAACCGATATTGATCATCGCCTTATAGATCTAGTTCTTGTTGTACAGTTTTCGCAAGCAGTAATTTTAAAAATTTAATGTTGTTCAATTAAGAATATATTTAAAAATATTAAAAGTAATGATAAGTAGTGAACGTGTCATTAATAATAAAACTTACAAGTGTTGATTTTTCTTTTATTACTTTATTTATTTAACATGACAGATACAAATAAAATCTTTTGTATATACACTTTTTCCAAATGTATAAAATAAATGTTACCTATCTAAAAACCTATCTAAAAAACTATAATTTCTATTTTTGATACTATAATTTATGTATCTAATTTACTATACGTTATTTTCTAACATGTTGGAATTTTTTCCTATTACTTCGATCGGTACCTTTTTACCTCTTACAATGTTTTTCTTCTTTGTTGACCGATTCTTCTTTTTTTAATCTGTCATTATACCTTGGAGAATTTCATTACATTCTTGAACTTTATTGCACACGTTTGTTGGGATAACTTTTCGCCTGATTTCCTAGAAAATTTCTAATGTCGGTTTGTACCATTTCTTGCTTCCTTTTTCTCTCCTTTTCTTACGATAAGCTTCGACTCTTTCATTTTGTAATTTTGAGTAATTCTTTTCGTTCCGCTTCTTCCTCTAAGAGTAACTAGCTTCGACTTTACTTACCGTTACCTGAGACTCACTCAACTTTAAGTTTCGTACAGTAATCTGTTAGCTTTTGCTCAATCGGTGCTGTAAGAAATTAAATCGATAAGCATAAGCATGATAAGATAAATACATTAACAAGGGGGTGAGTGAAAAACAAACCTCTAGAAAACGTATAAACATGATGTGCACCGCCTCATACGCAGGTAGCTTATTCGCTGAGGCGGGTAATGCAACCTAGTCGATTGTACCAAAACGATATATTCCTGTAGTTCGAGTATCCATGGCGTATAGATTTAACTGTAAACCTGAAGATAACATAAAATACATCTTAGCAAGAATTTCTAAGCATACTATAAAAGCAAAACATTTACCAATTACTTGACAACCAAACACTATGACTTTCATGTAATTTGTAGGTGCTAAGCCGGGAAAGGTTTTCATCACTCTATTAATCATATCCCTCATGCCGACCATCAACTTTATCAGTCCAAATCTTTTTCGGACACCCCGCCGGAAGACCTCCCGAAACTTCGCATATCAAAGCAGGGCCTGTCAGTAATTCGATAATAATGTCGGTTTTTTGCCCGATACGTGCTCGTTCTTTGTTAGCTTCCTTACGCCTTTCCCGGCTTGCAGTTAATTGTTGTTCGGACCTGAAGATCCAAGAATAGAATGTCACATATGAACATTTGATGACTGATATACAAGACAGCAATAAGACGCTTTTTGAAATTACCAGTATTTTCGGAATTTATCTTGATATGGGTCAAGACTCCTGTGTTAAAAGCGGGGCTACAAATCGAATCATGAGCTCTCCTTCATTTATAGGTAATTTAGAATGTTCAAAGTACGATTTCAATATTTTGAGATGGGCACTCAATATAATATAGGAAGCGTTTGCTATTCGATAAAAGAGCACATGTTGGACAAGGAAATTAGTAGATTTTCGAATGACCTAGTTACTAGATCAAAAGCAATAGATAAATGCACGTAAATCTATCATTACCTTCATATTATCAAAAACTTCTATTTCAGATCGGTCAAGTTCTATCATATTCCACACTACGTCTAATTGGAAATCGTTTAATAAATCACTCCATATTGTGATAAGCTTATTTTTTGTCAGTTTGTGCTGCCTAGTCAGACCAAGAATCCCCAATATGGCGGACTTAAAAAAAAACGATATTCGTGAATTTCCATAATAAGTTTCGCCCACAAAGTCTTTACAAAAAAGCAATACTTGCTGAACCTCGGGATTCTTTCTTGGCAAATTCGAATTTCGAAGAGAATTAAAAACTTTTATAATGTCAATGTCATCAATCTCGAAGGAGTCCCAACTATTAACTACCGGAAATTCAGACTTTGGGCGTGGTGGCGTAAGATCATCCTCTCCTCTGATGTAGGTTAAATCCACATTATCTATTAATTTCTCGAAATACTCGGGATCTTCAATATAATTATGATGAAATATCTCTTGTTCCTTTGAAGGACTTGACGGAACGGATATTTCTTCACATAATCTGAATTGTTATTTTCATGAGTGATATCACAGAAGACAGAGAAAATTTCATTAATTTTTTTCTGCCCGTAATTGTCCTAAGGTATTAAAAGAAATACATCGAACATGGGTTATGATCAGAGACTTATCATATTAGAATTCTCAGTCAGAAGACAATTAACAAAGCTGGAATTAAAAATCACAACTTACCACTTTGTTTCACATTATTAGTTCCGTCGTTTGTGAATGTTGGCTGGTGGATATGAAATTGATTACGCGAACGGTTAGAGTCCCACTTTCTTGCTAACGCGCGATCGGGTCGAGTATCCTAGCAACAGAAGATTTAAAAAATGACTAATACTGTATTTCATTTCAACACATCTCAATTTTTCATCCAATTTCCCTATCTCACCAGAATGTCAGATAAGCTTAGAGGTTATCTGCACTCAAAGTGGGGTAGTAACAGTTCGGCTTAGAGGCTTGAAAATCAGATAAGCTTAGAGGTTATCCGTGCACCAGTACTACTTCGTGACTTGAATGACAGAGGAGCTTAGAGGTCCTTGCCACGCCACAGATTCTTAATTTACATTTTAACAAAAAAATTACTTATCTTCTTATATTGATTGTACAGCTGTTGTGATTTGTCACGCCTTTCGCCCTTCTCAGTACTTATGATGTTTTCAAGAGACGTGAGGTATTGCCCTATCTTATTTCTGAGCGGTTCTATAGTACACTCGTTTAAGAACCCATAATGCTCCACTCGGAGTAAGTTCGATCGAAATATTCGTGGTTCACGTATTCTGACTTGAGTTAAATATCTCACGGAAGTTGAATCAAAGTCGCGTTGAAACTTGTCGCGTTGAAACTTTATACAAAATTCTAAGCCACAAATTATCTTAATGTGCTATTGTAACCAATTTCCATATAAGAGGTAGATCATATCGATTAGCGATCACATGGTCGTGTAAATAATATGTTACAACCGAGTTCTCGGAATACGCTTTTAAAAACTTTAATTATTTCTCAGTTACTGTACATCTGTACATATCGAATCGGTGAATTAAGAGACCTTTAGCATCTATGGACTCGAAGGCACCTTTAGCATCCATTACAAATTTACAAAAATAATTTTAATTGATAAATCTAATTTGTGGGCAAGGTAAACGGAATAATTTTTTTAATGATCGTTGTTCCTGAAAGTCCAATACAAATAATATTTGACGATTCAGAATCAAATGATAGACTAAAAGGTTGTAGAAAAATTTTAAAAATAAACAAAAATTAAAATTGATCACAGATTTAACCTTGATTCTCTGTGAAATAATTCTCTGTGAAATATATTAATTATTTTTCTTTGTAATGTTACGCGAGTCTGCCAAAAAAAAGATTCAACCCTCAAATCACAATAGACAAATTTTTTTTGAATCCCTTTTTAGATAAAAAGGAGACCAACCGTGGCTCGGTAGCTCGATATTAAATTTTTTTATATTGCTTATATAATTGAATACTAGGTTTTCGTAAGCTTTTATTTTAATGTAAATACTCTTAAAGGCTTTAATTTCACTATTTCAATAATAAAATGATAACTGAATGTAAAATCAAAATGGTGAATAAATACGGTAAGTTAACTGTGAATCATTAGACTTGACTAGTCAAAAGCGAATGTTAACTAGTTAAACAATCAAAATTTTCCGTTTATTATTTATTGGTCTGAAACTCAAAACACAAATCCATTTAATGAACTTGCTAGATAAGTAATTGGCGCATCCACGAATTACTAACCTAATCGCGTGATATTGATGTCTAAACGGGATATATATTTTTAATATTTTTTTTTTATACCACTTAGTGAATGCATTTTTTGACTTTTTATGCGGATTTGAATTATTGTTTTTCATTATTAGATGCCATGCAACCTATGCTGAAGATTGGGAAATTTCACTACATTCATTTGATTAATATCGAATCTTTTTTTTTTTTGATCACTATCTCAACATTTTTCGATACTCTAAATATGTGCCTTCAATTAGTTCTTCTCTGATATGGCTAATGTGAAAATGTAACCTATTTCGTTCTACCATTCTACTATATTTTTTGAGATGTCATGATAATTTCTATAATAAACTCAAATTAAAGAATTATAAAAATATCGATCAGTAAAATCCGCATATTCCTAATTGACTGAACAATAAATAACAAACATTATAAGTAAAATATTATAAGTAAAACATCATAAATTAATTTACTGTACCAAGTTTTTATCGAAGTTTAAATGTCTTAATCCACAAGTAAAGTTTGAAATTGTAAAGTTATTCAAAAATCCACAGCCTTGCTGATTTTAACGACGTTACTGAGTTGTTTTGACTAAATAAAGAATAAATCATATTTAATGTTGTTTTTTTACGTCATTTTTATATTTTTATCACTTTTCAGATTTATTTTATCATATCACATGTGTCAAATTTTCTATTGATTTTTTAATTTACTCCAAAAAATACTTGTTTCTGATTTTTAAGTAAATATTTATAAGTAACTCTTTAAAATAAATAGATGATGTTGTAAGTTAAAATTAACCATTAGATATATTTCTATTTTCAGTCACACTTCTATATTTGATAATACAGTATGTCTGGTTCATTCGCCGCTATTACTTTTGCTATCAAAATAAAGAGTATCGGTCAAATATTTACGCTATATAATTTATAACATTATCCGGGAATGTTCGTAACACCATTGTATTGACTGATATGCATAATACTTGGAAACGGGAGCTATTTTCGATTCCTTACATCTGTTCACTTAAAATTGTATCAATTGCGAAAAACTGTACTGGAATCGAAACCGCATCTAAAGTAGAAGTATTATTTGCAAATTTTTTACCACATATAGAAAAAGTGAACGAAATTTGTAAGACAGCTCAATATAATAAAAAGGCATGTGAAGCAATATATAGAGAGTAAAAATAGCCAAGACAGCTTTAAATAATTTAAAAATTTGAGATTCAGAATTTTTCACAATAGGTAATTTTAGATATTAGTTAGGGTTATCGATGAAGTTCATCAATAGTATCGTTTATTCCAATGATGCTCAATATTAGGAGTGGATTAAAAAAAATTAGATGATGAAGACATTCATTATTTTGAATATAGCGAATTTAATGACATCGAAGAAATTGACAAAGGAGGATTTGGTATTATAAAGAGCGCGTTAACTAATGATGGAATTGAAAGTTGCACTTAAAGGCTTTATCGGCGGAAAGAAAGCTTCAAAAATCGAAGAGAGTGATATTAAAAAGCTTATAAATGAGGTTAGAAATTTGATTTAGCGTAAGGGGTGACGTACTATGTAGTATTAAATTTGACATATTATACCCATCGTCCTACACTCAGATAAAGCTTGTTCGTATGGTTGATTTTTACCAAAATGGCAAGAGTTTTTCTAGGAATAGCAAAAGGTATGTGTCAAAATTTTTTTAAATAATTTAATAGCTTAATTACATTAATTGTATAGATGATATTGGAAATTATATTATTATATTATGGTATTAGAATAGTATGCTAATGGAGGAAATATAAGAGATTATTTTAAAAAAAAATTGATTCATTAATAAGATGGAAGGATAAAATTCTTATGACATTGGATATTTTGTTTGAATTATTGTTTCTTATTTTCATCAATTAAGACGTTTCAAATGATATAGAACATCTTTACTAAAACCCTAAAATTTCAAACAATATCGTTAAGATCATCTTAACGATCCCATTTTGATATTGTAAAATATCAAAACGATATCAAACAATTTCACTACAATCTCATCATGATATCACTTATCGTTACGATATAAATGTAATATTGTAACGACATTGTTTTGATATCTCATAACAAATATCAAAACAAGGTCGTTAAGATAGACTTAACGATATCGTTAACAATATCACTACGATATAATTTCGATATTGTTAAGATATTATTCAATATCATTTTGATATTGTATAATAGCTATATTGTGACGATATTATAATGATATCAAAATGATATTATTTTGATATTGAAAGATTTCTGTAAAGATGTAAGATGATCGTAAGATGATCAATAGACAAAAATATTAAATCTATGCTTTCTTAAAGTTAAAAACTGGGAAAAATATCGATTTTATCTATACTTTTATTGCAGCAATTAGTAACTGTATAATTGGACTTACGTAAAAGCAAAAAATTCATAAGCAGTTGAGAAAGATTCAAGGATGGTAGAAGTTATAGCAGTTTGTTGATTTTTATACCGTTTTAAATACTGGTAGTTTAAACAGAATTTTAAACATCCCATTTTTAAAACTAAGTTTTACAAAAACTTAGTTTAAACTGAGATAGATGATCGGTTCAGTTTTTCAAACTTTCGTGATCCCTAATTTTTTATCGACGAGAAACATTCAGTACAATTTGGTTTCTACCAGTAGTTAGTCAAAATATTATCAGTGTCTTCATTTTCTTTTAACATCGCTAAATTCACAGCATTAAATTTTTTTTAATTCATTTTCTAATTTTTTGACTTTCTTTATTAGAATTATAATTTTCGCCAAAGTATTTGCATTGAGAGTCATAATACTATAACTTTTGCTGAAGATACGAGATATTTAACATATTTACCAAGTAAATTTATTAATATCGGATGTTTTCGGCATATTAATTGCTAGATTATTATTTCATAATGAGTTCCAGGGTGATTATTTTCGGTGTGTTTAATAACAGGAAATTTACGGTACTTTTCTTTACAGAAACCCAGTGTTTTGCAACCTAGAAGTTATGGGTTCGTCGCCCAATATTTTTGAATTCGTATCTATCTTGTGATGACATTTTTTGCTAAGTTTTCTATAATATTTCGATAAAGTTTTGACAGAAGCTAGTCTTGAAATAGTGGCGAGCTCGAATAATAATCTTTAAAAGATAGCAAATGACATTGAATAAATTAATTGAGACATTTGTGCGACGTATTTGCGAGTATACAATGATTGACTAAATTATTTCTTAAGATGTTGAAAATATTTTTTTTTTTGTTTTGTATTTATAGTTTTTTATTTTATTTTTTTTTGAAGTGTTAAAAATTCGTGAAATTAGATGAAATACTTTAAATTTTCTAAAGTATTTTGGTCTTGTAGGATATCATACAATATTAATTTATTAACATGTACAGTACATTTAATAAATTGTAGTAAAATTTAACTGTAAAATATAATGTAAATTTAATTATAATGTTCCTCTTGTTATAATTGGATAGCCGCGGATTTTTAAGCGATCAACGTACTAAAATTTCCGTTGACATCGCACCCCTGGTGACACAACTATAACAAGGTGGGAACCTGATTTGGACAATGGTATCACCTGATTGATCCGTACTCACCTGGAAATTTGGGTGTTACGATAACATGTAGTGTATGGATAACTATGTATGTAGGGTATGCAAAATTTCACGCGCGTTCCATACAGATCTACATTGTTTATTGCCAAATAAGGAAAGGCCTAGACCGTTCTATTCTGTACCACGTATGGTCACGTGATACTTTTATATGTGATGTTTAACCATACCTACATACATAGCCAACCATACACTACATGTTTACTATGCTCTCCTGGAATTTCAACTTTCAAGTAAGAAAAAGTAGAAAACTTGCACTTACCAAAATTTCACATCCGAGGAAACCTAAAGAGCCACCTAAAAAATGTAAAATGTTAATAATAATGTTCGTTTAAAGAAGGTAAAATAATAAAAAAAAATTGCACATACCAAAATCTTGCGTCAAAAAATTTTTTGAAATTTTGAAACTATAAAGTTGAAACTCAAAGCTTAAACTTCTCAGAAAAAAGGTTTAGATAGTTCAGTTCGATTGAGAAAAAATTAAAAAAAATTTAGAAGTTTTGATAGTTTGATCAAAACTTTTAAAAGAAAATTAAAAAAAAATAATTAAAAAGTTCCGACTTTGATCAAAACCTTTAAAAGAGTTTTAACTCAAAATTTAAAAGTCTAAATTCATCCATCACTGTGACACAACTGACACATGATGTATAATATTTTTTAACTTAATTATTATATTTTAAATAATAAAAGTATAGTAAGCGATAAAAATTAATAGTAAAATTTATTGTCAGTAAAATCAATAGCGATAAAATTATAATAATAAAACTCTGTAAAATTGTAATTAATAAAATTTTACAATTAATTTAATTTATGTATCAAATTAGATGTGTATTTAAATAAATTTAAGCTATTTTATTTAATTAAACGCATATTTAATTTAAGCTATTTAATTTAATTCAAGTATTAAATTTAGCTATTTTTATTTAAGTATTAAATTAAACGCGTATAACGCGTATTTAAATTTAAGCTATTAATTTAAACTATTTTAAGTATTAAATTAGACATGTATTTAAGTATTTAAATTAAAAGAAAAATTAAAATAATTAAATATAAAAATACAAGATCGTAAAGTTTATTTCCTAAAGTTAATCTACTTTAAATAATTTTTATTTTCCACACCTAACTGATGTGTAATCTGGTACAAAATGTTTTAAAATCATAAGAAACCGCTACAATACCTTTAACATACAATCCCATCATATATCGAATGAAGAGTTACTAAAATAGACGAAGAACCATACATTAGTTGAAATTATTTCTCTCGTCATGACTTTTCAATCAATTTGTCATATATATCAAGTAAATCACGTGATATTATATTGTTAATAATTGAATATGATCATGATCAATTAAACTTTTTTTAACTACTCTTTCCTACACTTTCGTCCTCTTCCATTTTTACACTTTTGTCTTCCCCTTTCCCAATCTTTTTCCTCTTCTCTTTTTTTATATTTTTTAGACGGCTTCTCAGTTCTTTGGATATGGATTCTAGTAAGTATTGTAATTTTTTTATTTTCTTTATTTTGGTTATTATTTTGTTGCATTATTCATATATTCTATAAATATAATATGACATTTTTTTATTTCATTCATGCAAAAAAAAAGAAAAGTTACACTTTATCTTTTAAAAAACGGCTACTACGGTTGGTTCTTTGGCTTTTGGAGGCATGAGAACTTTGGTGAGAAGGGTTTCTTTAATTTTTTTCAAACTTATCTTAATAAAACATTTTGCTAATATTTTTGTCATTTTTTTCATATGTCATTTCAAAGGGACTTAATTCGAAGGTAATATCAAAAATTATTCCTTTTTTGATTTTTATGTAACAAAACATCAACTAACATTTTGTGTTTTGCATTTTGTAGCTTAGACGGCTTTAGACAGATGTGGATTTCGGTAAGTGATTTTTTTTTCTAACACTATTTTTTTTAATTAATGTTTCATTCTTTCATTTTTTTAGATGGTTAGTTCTTCAGGACGTGCGATTTATGTAAGGAATCAAATATCTTTTTTTAACAATAATTTATTTCTTCAATGAAATGTTTACTAATGTTTCATTATTTTATTTATTTTTTTTAGAGATCCAGTTGGTAAGTTTACGAATTTCTAACTTTTTTAGGAATCTTACCCAATTTTTGGATTATGGAACTGAATCGTAAATTTTTAGATACAATTCGAAACTTAAAAAAGTATTTATTTTTTTAAAAAAAAGAGAAATTTTCGAAAATTAAAAAATATAAAAAAAGAAGCATTTTATTAACGTTTCCCCATTTACTTTTCATAGGATTCAGTCACGATAATTAGAATGCTGAGTTTCGTATGTATTATTGCGAAACTTATTTTTAATATTTTTTAAAAGAAAAGTTTTGTAGGACTTCGGTCGATCCAGCCCATAGAGAAGTTTTGAAGGTAATGTTACTTTCAGTATTTTTTTTTTTAAGGGAACAGGTTTACTAACTGTTTCCTTCTTTTTTTGCTTGAATTAGCTATCCCGGGCATGGATTGGTGGATGGTAAGTTTCGAAGTGTCTTTCTTTGGAACTTTATTTATTTTTTTATTAAAGAATCGGTTTACTAACCGTTTCTTTATTTTTTTTGTAGGTTTCCCTTTGGACTTTTATTGGATAGGCGGTAAGTTTCAAAGTTTTAACTTCAAAACTTTAATTTTTTTATTAAAGAATCAAAGTTGTTACCATAGTTACCGACTGTGCTGGGATGCCCTGTGTTCAAGCTCCGGTCTGCAAATAGACAACAACATGTCTTTCCTATAAGCGTGATCCATACAAGTACTACGCATTTTATTCATTATTGTAATGGGAATGAATGCATCAATTATCACGAACTGTTTAAATATATATTTTACTCTATTTATTTATGAATGTATTGATTTTACAATTGGTAATTAATTTAATAATAAATTATTATATCTAATATTCAGTTTATACATGAATACCATTTCATTACAATGTATTATATATGCGATTGATATTTATTACAAATGCTGTTATAATATAATTAAGATTTATTTTATATGCGCCTACAATGTGGTTATGACATCGTTAAGAAAACACTACAATTTATTAACGATTTATTGAAGTCTTTATTATATAATCTGTCATGATGATTAACGGTTTGTTAAATAATTAGTTTTGATGATGCTATGATATATTATATAAGCTGCTATTGATGATATTGATGATATTGCGATTTATTGACGATTTGTGAATATCGCCTTAATATCTAGTAACTAAATCTATGACGAAGCCATGACTAACTCAAGTCTAACACATGACTAACATGTGAATAACTCTTATTCTGATTGTTCACAGGTTGGCCATGGCTTGGTCACGACTTCGTCTTGGTTTTACATGTTTCTGTAAAAGTTATTATGTCTCGACAATTTCTGATGCATTTCTTGAATATATCAAATGTTCAAATTATTGTTGATTTTTCCGCTTTTCTGATCCGATTATATTATTCACATATGATTATTGAAGAAAATTAAAGATATTATCACTGATAAAAAAAATTTTTTCTTAGGCGTTAGTCTTACACAATTATATGTAAAAATAAATATATTGCGGTTAGTTATAACGCGTCTTTTAGTCTTCTCTTTAATTTTTATTTTTGAATTTATATTTAGTTTATTTAAAGACCAAAAGAGGAAAGAAAAATCATAAATTTTATTTATTTTTACTCTATATATAATGATAATAATAAGTATAGTAAATGATAAGTAGCTAGAAATACAGATGCAAAAAAAGTTTTTAAGTTTAACATATTCAAAAAAGACTTATCTCCTTTTCTTCTAGAAATTTAATTGCCCTAGCGTAATTATGTAAAGCAGCCAATCTTAACCATTTAATTCCTTTATTTTCGTCTTTTGGAATATTCAATATTCCATTATAATATAAATCACCCAAATTGTATTGTGCAACACAATTATCTCCTTCGGCAGCTTTAGTGATATAATTCATAAATATATTTCGGTTATCACCTTCATCATAAACATTTATTAAAGTAAAAGCATAACGTAACTGAGCATCTGAATTTCCTTCGTCAGCAGCTATTTTAAGTAATTCTTTACCTTCTTCACGTCCTTTTATACCATCATGAGTTCCTTCCCACAAATAACGACCTTTCCAATATTTTGCTATTGTGTTACCATTTTCTGCATGATATTCAAAACATTTCCATGCTTTTTGATGGTCACCTACTCTAAAAGCTAATATACCTTCATCTAATGAAATTATTGGAATTATTGGACTAACATTTTCATCTGGTAATACTAAATCATCATTTGATCCATTTAAATATAATGTATTTTTATTGAGTAAAGCTGGCATATTCTCATCAAACATATGACTAATGGAATTATATAGCTCTTCTAGCATGTTCAATGTTTTCAAAAAAGAAATACGTTCTTGTGGATTATTCTTCCAAGCTAAATGTATAAAATAATTGATGAAAGTATTTTCGTTATTAATATTATTATATATTATAGGATTGCTTATGAAAAATAATACTTACTGTCATTTATAATTTTTTTATAATCTTCTTGGAGTTTAGAAATTTCGGGAGTAGAATTTCCAAATTTAATTGCTTCTCTACCACCTTTAATCACAAAGTCCTTAATTTCGTCTACTTTCAAACTTCTGTATGGAATTTTTTCAAAAGCAAGTTCCCAAAGTAGAACACCAAAACTAAAAATTTCACATGATGTCGTATATATTGACTTATAATTGATTAATTTTTCGGGAGCTAACCAACGCACAACGTTATTACTAATTACTTCATTCGACAATGTAGTATCGGTACTATAATCCACTAAGCGAAAATTATAAATTTTAGGTTCTAGACTTTCAGACATTAAGATATTTTCACATCTAAGATCACGATGTAAAATTTCAACTTTTTGTAAAAATATGAGCCCACGACAAATTTTAAGAGCAATTTGGACTTTATAATGCCATTGAATAGCCTTTTTTTCGTATAACTCTTTCAAAGTTCCACAATGAGCCCATTCGAAAACTAGAGCATTAATATCGTCAATTTTTGATACACCATAAAACCTAAGAATATGATTAGATTCAGATAATTTCATTAAAATTTCAAGATGCTCTTGCACACTTGTATTTATTTTCATTTCTTCTTCGGTCATAGAAGTTAACTTACATGCTACCTCTTGTCCCCAATAAATTCTTTTCACTACATAATTAGGATGTTTTCCACGTTTGTCATCAGATTTTCCTCGTAAAGGGAGTTCTAGATATTTTGAATCAATTTTAATTGCGTCACGAAATGTTTCATATTCTTCATTATCAACTCTCACAGCAAAATGTAAATCTTTCATTGCATTATCATATTTTTCCGTAAGTTTTATAAATTTTTCTTTAACAGAAATTGCTTTTACATATTTTCTAAAACCGTGATATTTTGAAATTTCCTTAGTATATTTTTCAATTTCTTCTAAAACATAAATAAATTTATAAAAAGCATTATAATATGATTCATTACGTAATTCCTTTTCCTTTTCTTTTTTTCTAACTTTTAATAACTCCATAGGAACACGAGCTATTTCCACTCGTTCTGCTAGAGCATTGCAGATTTTTTTGTTATATTCTGCTTCTTCACGAATTTCTACTATATTCTTAATTATGTTTGTAGCCATTTGAATTAAAGGATTATATAGAATCATAACATCGTCTACAGTAGTTAATCTAACAAATAAAAGATTTGCTTTTCTATATTTTTCTGCTTCTTCAAATTGCTTTTTAATGTCGTGATGTATTTCCATAGTTTCTTTAATATCTGATTCATTATCCAAATATGAATAAAAAAATAAGTTAATCGATTCTTCTATTTCACTAACATTCGGTCTATTTTCTGGATTTTGATCCAAACACTTTTCCATTAAGTCAATATAACATTTTGGAGCTTCTTGTTCATTAATTTCTTTTTGTTTAATTTCATCACTAGGGTAATTTCCAGTTACCATAAAATACATAATCATACCGAAGCTATATATATCTGTTGCTTGAGTATAAGAATTTCCACTTAATACTTCAGGAGCAGTATAATGTATATCTCCATAAACTTTAGTCTCATTAATATTCCCAAATTCTCCACATAATTTCATATCTAAAATAGTTATATTGAAATCATTATCATTTATATTATTTGTTGAAATTAACAAATTTCTTGTATGAAAATCACGAAGAACCATCTTCTTTTGATGAATTTCTTTAAGACCTTGAATAATATAAAATAATAGGCGTATTTTGATTGACCAATTAAAATTGTTAAAATTGTTATATGCCCAATCATTAAAATTTTCACCTTCTGCATTTTCAAGAACCACAATATAGTCTTTTGTATCAGGATCTTGAGATATTCCATATATATTAAGAATGAAATTAGAATTAAATATTAAGTGCATTTTAACCTATTAATGTATTAAATTATTATTATTATTATTTATTATTATTTCAAAAAAAAGGTATTTAAAATTCATAGAAATTTCATACCTCATTTAAAAATTTATTAGTATCATCATCTGGTAAATTATGATAATACTTTAAATAGACGGTAATATTGGATTTTCTTACCCTTTTATGAAAATAATGTAATGGACCATCTTTCCATATTGCTGAAAACATTGTAGCAAAATCACTTTTGTTTATTTCTTTAATATCATAAAATTGATTACTATAGGGTATCCATTCAAATACTATCTTGTTCGGATCATTAATTCTTAATTGAGATTCTTGAATTAAATTATCAATTATTTCGTTACCACTGGACCAGCTTGTAAAATTTTCTTTAAAATATTTTATTTGACATGGATTACACCATTCGTATTTTGCATTTAAATCGTCTATATATCGTCTATCACATTCTTCACATTTCTCATTTGGAAAAACCATAATATAATCTTTCATACCAGGACTTTGAGATAATCCATATATTTTAAGAATATTATTCGAGTAACTGATTGAATATATTTTAACCTATTAAAACATGATAGAAAATTATTATTTAATTAAATTAAAAAAGTATATATATTAATTTCATAATAAGTTTCATACCTCATTTAGAAATTCGTTAGTAATACTTTGCGAATTATGAAAAAATTTTAAAATAACTTTTTTGTCTGATACTCTTGTCAATTTCTTTTTAACATAATTGTAACTTAATGGACCATTCTTCCAAATTGCTGAATATACTGTCATAACATCACCTTTACTTATTTCTTCAACGTTATCAAACTGACCATATGGAATCCATTCAAATATTATATCACTTAAATTATTAATTTTTAATTGCATCTCTTGAATAAAATTATCAATTATTTTATTTTTACTAGTCCAATTTGTGAAATTATTTTTTAGATCATTTATTTGGCATATTTTACACCATTTATATTGCGTATCTACGTAGCTTTTACCACATTCCACACAATTTTCACAGTATGTATTCTGAAGAACCATAATATAATCTTTTGTATTAGGGTTTTGAGATATTCCATATATTTTAAAATTATCATCAATATAATCAATTGAATACGTTTTGGCCTATTAAGAAGAAAAAAAAAATTATTATTAAGTTTAAAATAAGTACATAAATTTAACATAAGTTTCATACCTCATTAATAAACTCATTAGTCAAATATTGTAAGTTGTCTATAGATTTCAATGCAACTTTTTTATTTGATTCTCTTGTCCAACCAGTCATATATTCATAATGTAATGGACCATTTTTCCATATTGCTAAATATATTGTAGTAAAACCACCTCTGCCTATCTCATTAATTTCGTCAAGCTGGTCGTATGGTATCCATTCAAACACTATAGCACATGGATTATTAAGTTTTAATTGCATTTCTTGAATATAATTATCAATTTCCTCATTTTTACTGGTACGGTTTGTAAAAATTTTTTTTAAATAATTTAAATGACATGAATTACACCATTTATATTCTATGCTAGTATATAGTTTACTACATTTTTCGCAACATTTTCCAAAATATTCATTATGAAGAACCATAATATAATCTTTCGTATTAGAAATTTGAGATATTCCGTATATTTTAAGAATATTATCTGAATTATTAATAGAGTATGTTTTAATCTATTAAATTAATAAATGATTTTTATTAGATTATTAGATTGATTTTTTTTTAAAAAAAAATAAGTTATATCAAAAATTATAAAAAAATTTTCGTACCTCATTTAAAAATTTGTTAATAGTATTCTCTGAACTTTTACGTAGGCATTTTAAGGCAACCTTCCTTTCTGATACTCTCATTAATTCTTTGTTAAAATAACTATAACTTAATGGGCCACTATTCCATTTTGCTGAATATATTATAGTAAAATCATCTTTTCCTATTACTTCAATATCGTTAAATTGATCATATGGGATCCATTCAAATATAATATCATTCGGATCATTAATTTTTGATTGCATTTCTTGAATCAAATCATCAATTTTTTCATTTCCACTGGTCCACTTTGTAGAATTTTCTTTGAAATATTTTATTTGACATGGTTTACACCATTCATACTCTGCATTTAAATCATTCGTATATTGTTCATGACATTTTTTACACTTCTCATAGTTTTTGGAGGGCAACATGGCTTGGAATTTCTCGATTATATATTTTCCACACTATTTATAAAAAAACTTGTACATTGTACTACAAAAATCAAATGTTTTACTGCAGTTGTACTGTATGACGAGTGTAACAGAAGTACAAAATTTTTTGCGCAGTTTCACGTGATTTTATGCGGTTATAGATAAATGAGAAACAAGACGTAAATTATTAATAGGGGTTCAATATTAAGCAAAATTTGTGTAACCTTAATTAGGTTACTTCATTTTATAATTAACCGTCAATATTAATATGCTATACTAAATAAAGTAATTTAATAGATTACCATGTGCTCTCAGTTTCTTAAATTAGTTTACTATGTTTACTATTAAAATTTTTTTCTCACATATAGTACGTGGTTTATTTAAAAAACTTTTTTCAAGATCCTTTTAAAGGTAGGAACGAAAATGCAGTTTTAACAATAGAAATATGTGTAATTTTACGGGGGAAGAAAGTTTGTCTAAGTTTCTGATATTGGTTATTCATACAGATTTTGTATAATATTTAAAAAAATCAAAAATTTATAATATTCTTAACATATGCAAAATTTTTTAGAGCGTAGTTACAGTATTTTTGACATAAGCATATCGCTCTTATATATTAAGTGAAAATTGTTCAACAGGGCCAAAACTACTTGTATCTCAATTTTCATTATATTCCATTTAATATTTTATAACTTATCTGTATTTCTAACATTAAATTTATTAATTTTTCCATTTAGTAACTTCAGAGCGTAATTTAGGCACTTTGGTCATATGAAAATTGCCTTTATATATTAAGTGAAATTGTTCAGCAAGGTCGAAACTACTTGGATTTCAATATTTACGTATATTTGTGATGCTTTTGGCGTTATTTGTAACATAATTGAATTCAGATTTTGAAATTTTTTGCACCCGATCTGTTACTTTAGGCACTTTGATCATAAGAAAATCGTATGTATTAAGTTCAGCGAGGTCGAATCTACTTGGAATTTGATTTTCATAAGATTCTAATCAGTACGTATAGAGAAATTGGCATTTATTATTTATGTATCTATTTAATCACTTCAGAGCATAATTTAGGTACTTTGGTCATATGACAATCGCCTTTGTGCATTAAGTGATAATTGTTCTGCAGGATCGAAACTACTTGTATATTGAATTTTGTAAATAATATACGTGAAGTTATTAGTGTTTTACGTAATGGCATGAATTTTCGAAACTTTATTTTCTTTATTTTTAATATACAAAAAACATTAATTTCAAATGACTTTTTTTTCAATGAAAGTGTAGGGATGGTTAATAAGATTATTCTTGCTTTTAAATCAAAGTATTATATTATGTTACATTTGACCTGTATTTTTTCGAATTTATTTAAATTAGGCCGGAATTATGAATTTGGCCATAATTAAGAAAAATTTGACCAGAATAAAGATTTAAAAATCGTTAATCTTAACTGGTTAAATTAACTTCGATCAAATTTAAACTTTGTATATATATTATATATTTAAAATAGATGATATAGTAAAAATTTATTATAATATTCATAATAAAAAAATTTTGCTCCTAAAATTATATGACATCTTCCCTGTCTGATACGTAAATTTCTTACAAGAAATTATCGATTAAAGGTTGTTAAAATTATCAAAGTCATATCTTATCTAAAAAGGATATTAAGAAGATTTAGAATCAACTTTGAATTCACTTACTGTTGCACCAGTTTGCGATGAAATTGAAAATCTGCATCTAAAATGGAAGGTACTATTTACAAATTCTATGCTAGGAGGGATTTTTGGACGGCTCAATATAACAAAAAGGCATGTAATGATGTGAAGAGTGAAAAAAGCTAATAGGGTGCAAAAAATTTAAAATTCATTTTTTTTAAAAAGATTCCTAACTTAATCACTGTACTTTTATGATGAGCACGCCAAAAATATCAAATAATTAGTAGTGGTAAATTATAAAATTAATTTTTCATAAATTCTGACTGTGTATTTCGGGCTAAATTAAAGAAAATATAGTTTTAAAGTATTTAAATGATCAAATTTGAAAATGACATTTAACTCCTGCAATTTTTTTTTTTTAGATGACAGTGGCGATAATGAAAAAAAAGAAGAAATTCAATTTTTTAAATAGTAGTAAATTTGGTAACACTGAAGAAATTGGACAAGGGAGATTCGCTAGCGATAATTTATAATAGAATTCAAGTTGTGATGCCGACATTGCGATGCTACAGTAAAATAAACACTACATTACATGTGGATTAAAATGTTTACACACAAAGAACATATTTCATAGAAACTTGATTGAATCATATTGGAAACTACAAATTGACACTTTACTTTTCTTTCCAAAATATCATGATGATTATTTTCAAATTGTAAATGTCTTGAAGAATAATTAAATTGTAAGAGACCTTTAGTGTATCAACAACTTCCCTATAAAATTTTATTCATTATTTCTGTAAAAACTCCGTAAAAAATGAGCCTTACAAAATACAAGGATCCATTCACGGAAAATGTAAATAATTCGATAAATTCCGTGATATAAGGTTATTAATTCAGGAAATATGAGCCTTTTACGGAATACAAAAACCGTTGATTTATTATTATATACAGTACGGTATAGTATAAATTAATATACTAAAAAAATTCCTTGTGGAACCTAACTTTTAGATTAGCCTGTATAAATAATTTTGAATTGTCCAACACATGATTTGTCTGCGCCTTAACTATTCCGTATTCATATAGTTAATCAGCAAATCCAATTATTTTTTAGTTTGGTTAACATTTGTAACAATAGATCAGACTTTGGCCTTTCTTTTTTTTATTTTTTATTTTTTTACAATGGATCGGAATTTGTTTTCTTTTTATTTTTTTTTTTTAACGATCGTTAGTAATTTTTTTTTTTATTTTTTTAGGATTTTTTTTAATTTAGAAATTTTTTTTAACAGATCGGATTTTTTTTTCATTATAATTTTTTTTTTTTATTTTTTAAAAAAAATTTTTTTTCAGATCGGACTTTGCCCTTTCTTTAATGTTCGGTAACTGACGTTTACTAATATTAATTTGTATAGTTAGTTCCGGTTATAAAAAAAAATCTACTTTTTTTATTTGCTTCCCGGTAACTAGCGTCATTCTAATACTATTAAGTAATAGTTCTATCGATTTTTTTAGTAATAACAATAGGCTTTGGTGATAAGAATATTTTTTTTTTGATATAAATTTTTTTTTAAATAGATTACTATGATAATCTTCTGTAATAATACATTCGTATGATGGTATTCTTGGTGATGAGAAATTTATTTTATTTTTTTTTGTAAAATTAATTATTCAGAATTGATTTTGTGATGAGTCTGTAAACATATAAACCATAAATTTTATAATACTGCAACATTTGTTTAATATTATAATATTTGTATCAAGTTATTGTAAATTTGTAATACTAAATCATTCTAATTTAATCATATTGTAAATACACTTCACATTATTGTATTGTGAATATTGTAAATATAATTTATATCATTCAAATATAGATAGTTGTGTCTATAATACTTAACCTTTTTTTTTCACCTTTTAAATTTTTATTTTATTTAATTTTATTATTTATTTATTTTGAATTTTCAATTCTTCAAATTTCTTGCTACAAACAAAATTTAGTATTATATAAGTAACAAAATTTCTAAACATAAATCAGAATTTTCTTTTCAATACATACACTATAATATGCAATTAATATATATCCCGGCGCGCGACGGGTTACGGGCTTACGGCTAGTAAATTACTATTTAAAATTTTGAATTCATTAATAATCATAATTTTTAAAATTATTAAATTATTAAAGCTTTATTGTTGCTAATACGCACTCAAACATATATAACTGCGATTTATAGCCATCTACAAATTTTTATCGATGCGAAATGTTCAAATTTCTATTGCATAAATACAACATAAATACATAGAAAAATGTAAAGTTGCCATTCGTGATGATCCTGAGAACTGAGCCATCGAACAAAATCGGAGAATTAATATGAATCATCCATATTTTATTAAGTAGTTAGTAATGCATTCAAATCTCTAATTTTTCCGATATAGCCGGTTCGATTTTATACTATTCAATTGTTGAAGTTGTTGATGAAATTCTTAATTTCAATTCCTTGTTGGATATTGGTGCTATACCATCGAGAAAGTTTTCATACATACTAAATTATATAATAAATCTGCGCGAAGCAGTCATATGTCGGAAGATTTAGAGTTTTATACAAAAGATCAATAAAAGGAAAAGAAAATAATGAGAATAAATATATAAGATTTATTTACTGGAATAACTATATATATATATAAATATAATGATAGTAAATGATAAATTTAACATATTTTCATTCCCTTTTCTTCTAGAAATTGAATTGCCTTATTGTTATCATTTAAAGCAGCCTTTTTTAACCATTTAATTCCTTCATTTTCGTTCTTCGTAATATTCAATTTTCCTTTATAATATATATCACCCAAATTATATTGTGCAATATTATTATTTCCTTCAGCAGCTTTAGTGATATAATCTATGAACATTTCTATATTATTACCCTCATACATGGATTTTTTTAAAGTAAAAGCATAATATAACTGAGCATCATGATGTCCCTCATCAGCAGCTTCTTTAAGTAATTCCTTACCCTCTTCACGTCCTTTTATACCATCATGAATTCCTTCCCACAAATAGCGACCCTTCCAACATTTTGCTGTTGTATTACCATTTCTTGCATGATATTCAAAACATTTCCATGCTTTTTGATAATCATTTACCTTATGAGCTTTTATACCTTCGTCTAATGGAATTGTTGGAACTATTATAATAAAGTCGTCTGATAATTCAAGATCATCATCTTTTGATCCATCTAAGTCCAAGGTTTTATCCGCAAGTAAAGCTGGCATATTCTTATCAAACATATAAATGATGGAATTATATAATTCTTCTAGCATGTCCAATGCTTTCAAAAAAGAAATACGTTCTTGTGGATTATTCTTCCAAACTAGATATATAAAGAAGATAATGAAAGAATTTCTTTAATTTTTAATAGGATTGCTGATGAAAACTTATACTTACTGTCATTTATAATCATTTTATAATCTTCTTGGAGTTTAGAAATTTCGGGAGTAGAATTTCCAAATTTAATTACTTCTCTACCACCTTTAATCACAAAGTCTCTAATTTTGTCTACTTCCAAACTTCTATATGGAATTTTTTCAAAAGCAAGTTCCCAAAGTAGAACACCAAAACTAAAAATTTCACATTGTGTCGTATATTTTGTCTTAAAGTTGATTAATTTCTCAGGAGCTAACCAACGCACAGCGTCATTAGTCGTCTCCTTTATTGTAGTGGTGTTCCCAAAAGTATAACGTGACAACTTAAAATTATAAATTTTAGGTTCCAAACTTTCTGTCATCAAGATATTTTCACATCTAAGGTCATGATGTAATATTTCAGCTTTTTGTAAAAATATAAGCCCACGACAAATTTTAAGAGCAATTTGAACCTTATAATGCCATTGAATATCCTTTATTTCGTATAACTCTTTCAAAGTTCCACGATGAGCCCATTCAAAAACTCGAACATTATCATCGTCAATCTTTGAGACACCATAAAATCTAAGAATATGATTACATTCAGATAATTTCATTAAAATTTCAAGATGCCCTTGCACCTTTATATCATCTTCGGTCGTTGAAATTGATTTACATGCTACTTCTTGTCCCCTATAAATTCTTTTCACTACATAATTAGGATGTTTTCCACGTTTGTCATCAGGTTTTCCTCGTGCAGGAAGTATTAGTTCTTTTGAATCAATTTTATTTGCGCCATGAAATGTTTTATCAACAAGATGTTTCTTAATATATTTTACTTCTTCATAAATATTATCAACTTGGTCACCCATCGTTCTAAGATATTTATCGAATTCGGCGAGATCTCCCGATAAAGCTTCTTCGTCATTCTTTCTTCGTTCTTCATTAGCCACCACCAGAGTAAAATTTAAATCTTTCATTGCAGTATCATATTCTTCTGTAAGTCTCATAAATTTTTCCTTAACAAAAATAGCTTTTGCATATTTTCTAAAACCTTGAATATTCGAAATTTCATCAATATAATTTTTAATTTTTTCTAAAGTGTATATAAATTTATTAAAAGCATCATAATATACTTCATCACGTAATTCCTTTTCTTGTCTAAGTTTTAATAACTCTAAAGCACCAGTAGTTATTCCAACTCGTTCTGCTAGGGCATGGCAAATTTTTTTGTTATACTCTGCCGCCTGACAAATTTCTATTATTGTCTTAATTAAACCTGAAGCTGTTTCAATCAAAGAAACATATGGGTCTATAGCGTTTACTACGCCATCGACAATTTTAATAACATTATTAACATTATTCATTGTGATATTACGGTAGAAAAATATTTTTACAAAAAAGGTTTATGATTGAAAGGAATTTCCTTAAAATCGTATAAAATAAAAAGTTAGCCTTCTATTTATAATAAAAAAAAAAAATTTCGTTATGAAACCTTAAAAAAAACAGCTCCACAAATTTTTTCGCCGTTGTCGCCATTGTAAATCCCAATTTAAGCGAATATGCTTATCCTTAAAAGTCAAGGTTATTTGTAGATCATGGTTTATTGAACAAGGGACCTATTACAGTCTAGAAGTATATATTTGGTCAAGGGGCGTCCATAATTTATTTTAGGGATCGATCGACAAAAATGCACGAATGTTACATTTCACAGGTCGTAACCTGGGGAATTACAAGAATCACAACTGATATCTGCGGTTCGTGCGTAGATTCAATGAATACTATACAATTTATACATGCATGTAGGGTGTTAAAATAAATCGCGCCTAAAATTATTTTAAAAAATCTTTAATACAAAATATTGAAATAACGAATCCAAAGATTTCGACACTCGTATTAAGTTAATGTTTACAATATTATATCATGAATATTTTAAATCATGAAAATTAATTCATTAACATTTGGTCCATTGTCCAGACTTAAACCCAAGCACAATATAACATAATAATCCCGGTAATCTACTTTTAAACACTTTTAATATTAATTTATAATAGATAACAAGAAATAGATTTATTGGGGAAGCTAAACACGATTATGATTCAATTTTGACATGAATGATCTTATACATAATTTTTATTGACACTACATTCTAATGCTCACAAATGTTTGTATTAGAGACCACTTTTAAATAAGATGGGTTGAATAGTTTGAGGTCCATATGAAAAAAAAGATCAACCCTACATATTTTTAACCCTTATTTAAATCTCAACTATTTCTTTACAAATAATTTCTTTATCTAAGTATTAATAATATTGTTTAGATACTGATCAAATCAAAAATTAACGAATTTACTACTACTTTCTTCCTTTTTACTAGGTTTTTTTCAACCGATGATCGTATCTTTTTCAAAATTATTATAACTATAAATTAATGTGACTTTAATTAATTGAAATATTGAGAATTTCTTTTGAAAAAGAAGAGTAAAAGATTGTTAATTTTTTGTTTACATAAGAAAAAGGTAATCAAAAATGGAATGATTTCTATTTTTATTTTATTTTATTTTTTTTTTGATAAAAACAGATGAACTTTTTTAGAGAAAGAGAAAGGATAAATTAAAAAAATGGTAGTAAGCGATTTCCTTTCTAACAAAAAAAAAAAAAAAAAAAAATTTTAAGTAGGTTTTTTATTTTTATTTTTATTTTTATGCAACAGAAAGAACCAAACGGTAGTATCAATTACACGGACAACATATAAATGAGTCTAAAGTAATTCTATCACTACACGTCAAGCCACCCTAAGCGTGATGACTTCTGACCTTTTAAAAATAAGGAGACCACGAGTCGGATCCAAGATCGTTCTCAGGAGAAACCTTCCAGGTAGAAAAATATAAGTAGAAAAACATAAAAATAAACTATCTAATATCTAAAACATTTCCTATATAACTATTATTAATAAAAGAAAATAAATCTATTTGATTGAACCCCAAACAATCCCGATATACGGTCCAATGTGCTGAATGTAAAAAATTACTTGACGTCCAACGAATATGGGCGTGATTATCATAAAATCCACCTTCCCTGAAATAAGGAGTCGCAGTGATGCGACGATGCGTATAACTTCGTCGTGGTACATCATTATTTATTGTATCATCTGCTGAGGGCGGAACGGTTTGCTTCTTATATCGCCGTCTATAAAATCATTTTTTGGTTTTTGTAATGGACAAAGTACGCTCCCAACATTTTATAAGGGAAGAACGTTTAGCCCAAATATGAGTATCAATTTTCTGCATTAAAATTGTGAAAAATTTAATAAAAATAGAGAATCGTAATTTTTTGTCTTTGATATAATTATAAAATATTATAGTGAGATCACTCGGGACCAAATGGTGAATAAGTAAATAACCAGGATGTGTTTGTGATAATGCACCCGGAAAAGTAATGTTAAATAAAGGTGAACTTTCAATAGTCTCTCTCAAAGCAAAAGATGTACCAGTACTATTTTCAATAATAATATCGTATAAATCATAAGCGGCTTCCATTAATAAAGTAACGACATCGTTCAAGTGATTGATACATAAGCCCACATGTGCATTCATATCACAGGCGTTGGAGCATTGAATACAAGGAATGCTACCCAAAGGATATAAGCGAGGGTAGTTGCGTTGTTAAATATCTATTGTGGGGTAAATAAAGTTACATTTCTTGATTTTGTTTCCATGATATTTGGAAAGGTTTATGCTACAAGGAGCATCAGAATTATTATAATTCAACCATTCTCTAGTAAAAGTCCAATCTATCTCTCCATCCAAAATTTGTTTTTTAATAGGGATGAGAGCTTTGTTGTTAATCATCGAATTAAAAATTAATGGTTGTATTACGTTATCAGCCCACTTTCTAACGTTACGATCAATAACGTGTAAGCGATTCCAAGAAGCAAAGCCTAAACTTTGGTGGGCAAAAAATTTGTGGTTAATTATGATCGGTTCTCTTATATGAGCACCAGCTTTAGCTAAAGTATCTGCTTCATCGTTGTAAAGATTGTTACTATGACCAGGAACCTTAAATAAGGTAACCAATAAATTTTTCTGATTAATCAGGAAAAAAATTAAATCCCAAAGTAAAAAATTTAATTGTTTAAGTTTTTGACGTGGACTCACGATGCCTAAATGCATACGTGTATTAAAAGTGGTGATACAGTTGGCAGAATCTGTATATATATTAACTCTACAATTAAAGGGTGAGACGAGTAACGCCGTGAGTATGCCTATAGTTTCACATTTGGAAGAAGATGGGAAAAAGACCGTGGATCCTTTGAAACTGACTTTCGGCGTTAAAGGTTGTGTTTGAATCCATCCATATCCACTAAGACTGTGGGTAGTGCCAATATTCTAGACGGAACCATCTGTGTAAAAAGTTAAAATTTCTTCTGAATGTAATAAATCGGCACAATTTTTCAATTCTGACTTAATAGTGGGATGACAGATTAAAGCGTGGTCAATGTGATCATTGACATTTTTTGAAAATGAATTATTAGCGGGTGTATCTAAAACATCCGAAGAACGTAAGGTGGAAGATTTCAAAGGGATTTATCTATTTTAATAAAATTTTCATAAGCTATGTGTCTAAGAGTATGAAAAGGTTTAGTTGCGACAACAAAAGGTTGTCGATTATAAAATTCTAATAAAGATTTGTGTTCTACCGAAGATTTTTTAAAAGTATTAAATAATAGAAGTCGTTGTGTTCTTATCGCAATTACACAAGTTGGATGGGCATCATGTGGGTAATATGAATGTAATAAACACCCTTTACATGCTACTAAACCCAAAAGTTGTCGTTTAGGTGTCAAATTAATGTCATGGTGTGTTTGTTGAGGTATGTAATGTTGTAAATAAGATATTGATGTGGAACGATCAGTGTCTTGTGATAAAGTTTTTCCAAAAATAACTTGTTTTTGTGTGTTGTTCCAATGTATCGTCCATTGAAATTTAGGTTCAGAAATGGCAAGAATAAGTTGTGGTGATTTGTGTATTCTATTGATGTTGCTCACGACATCGTTCAAAGGGTGGATTAAACGTAAATTATTACTGAGCACATAATTATTGGCCAAGTTGTTATACCAGGCGGGAATGTTTTCTTTGTAATTGTCATTATTATTTCTTTTGACGTCAGGCCAAGAGAGTAAATAATTACCATCTGAAGACATGACTTGATCCATATATATAATATTTTTAGCTTTAAGAGATTGTATGTCTGCGGCTGTTAAGTCAGACATATAGTCTCTTATAGGGGTATTTCCACCTAGAATATTAATGTCAAAAGTAAAATTAAAAGAGAATCCATAATTACTTGATAAACCTAACATTTTAGTGAGATAAGTAGGTTTTGCCACTAGGTCCGTGTAATCATTGATGTTGTGAGGGATTCTAGGGTACCAGATTTCTGATACCGTGTTGTAAATTTTTTGAATAGCTATATTTCGGAGAACTGGTGTATTAAATAGCGCTCTTAAAATATTCAATTGTGATTTCATCTGGATGTCAAAAAAATTGGTAATCGATTGGAATAATTGGTTATAGATAATATTATCTGCAGTGTTTGATGGGAGGTTCAGGCGTTGTTTAAGGAGTCTTTTTAACAGTCCCATTAAAGTTTGGCATTGTTTAATATTAAGGATCGTGTGTTGGAATATATATTCCAGTTTCAGTATAATAATTTTTTTGATGATATATTGTATTGTATGTGGTGATGCATTAATTTTTTATTTTTCATAATATTGTAGTGTGCCATCACAATTTGTCTACCTTTTTGTATTGTTTGTGTATGACGGTCTGACGTATTGATATATAATCCCAAAATACGTTCACTTTTGTTACGAGACATGATGGGTGCATCATATTGTTGATTATTAATCGTTAATGTAATAGTTGATTGCTTAATAGAACGGTCATTAGTCAGGATTCTGTATTTGTCCATATTAACTTTAATGTTATTGAGATCATAAAATGAATTAGCTATCGACAATTTCTCCTCAATTTGTTGTTGTGAAGAACCAAACCATGTTGTATCATTTAAATAGCCAACTAAAGAAATATCATAAGTATGGATAATATCATTATTTTTGTGTTGTGAATTCATTTTTTGGATTGAAAAGGTTTGATAATGTAAGTGGGTAAGTTGATTAATACGATGGAACATCGGGTCGTAATATATGTTCCAAAGAAGAGGTGATACAACTTCGCCTTGGTCAATGCTTTGTAACATAGCATAGGGTTTCATGAGACCGTACGGGGTAATGATTGTCATCGGGCTGGTAGTGTGTCTCGCTATGCTCACCCCACCTCGGCCTCACGGCCTCGCAGTACCTACATCCAACCTCAATGGGGAAGGAAATCCCTATATATCTGAAACAATATGAAACAAGATCTGAAACATAATAATATAAGCAAAAAAGGATAAAATAAGGGAAAAGAGAGGAAAATAAGAGAGAATCAGAGAGGGCGTTTCGATGTTTCAGATGTTTCAGCAATTTTGGTAAAAGTCAGGCGAGGACAAACCCTCCAGAAAAAGTTTTGATTTTACCCCCCAGATCCAAACTTCTGAAACATCTGAAACAGATTCAGGATTCCGTTCATTTTCTTATTGAAGGCAGTGAGATAGCAAACCAGGTAAATTAACAGGTAAGCCCCTAGAAGGCCTGTAGATCTGTAGGAGAATAATTGGGTAGGAGCACGGATCTTTGAAAAAAATACATTCGGCAATTGAAGATTAGGTAACTATAAATTAGTACTCGATTTAATAGAACGAAAAAATGACCACTCAAGCTCAAGTTATCCCTAAGTTCGGTGAACAAAAGAAAGCCTTCAGTATCGATGAGCTTAAACGGCTTATTGTCACTGCAAAGAGTATGAGTGACCTCGATCAAGCCAAGAGGTATCTTTGCAGTTATTTCATTCCCTGTGCAGATCCTCATGAGGTTTTCTGGTGGGACCCGGATAGTAAAAGTTTGAAACACGTTATTGACAAAAATATTGGTAAACTTATCCATCCAATCATGAAGGCATTCTACACACAACCTGAACAAGGACCCTCTCAAAAAACCGAGTTCAACATCTACAAGTGGTTTATGGTCAAGAATACCGATGTATGTAATGCAACCTGTGATCCCCATAAACAGCGAATCTTCAGATCCTTAACCGGCTAACTCTATCTAAATATCTTTCCGGGATTCCTCCACGTCTTGCGTCCAATATCCACCTTTGAGTCTACAATCCACCTCGCGGTTAAATTTATCTTTTCTCACATTCGGGATATCTGGTGTTCAGGCAATTGGATCTTACTGAGTATATCATTAAGTGGTTGGCCGGTATATCTGCTGGAAGGAAGATGTACTCGATCCTTTACCTGAAATCTGGACAGGGTTGGGGAAAAGGAATTATAACAGATTTCATTCAGCGCAGCGTCCTAGGCACTCAACTCGTTTATAAGACCAGCGATCCTCAGACGATTCTTGGAAGTTTCAATAAGCAATTACAGGGTAAGGTTCTTCTTCTTCTCGAGGAAATGCCCACGGAAAAAAGCCAGTGAAATAATCTGTATCGCTCTTTAAAGGATAAAGTAACGAGTGACATAATGGAAATCCATGAAAAATACAAGACGCCAACACATTACAAAAACTTTATGTCAACAAACGTCCTAACAAAAGAAAATGCTCTCAGAGTGGAAAATGATGATAGGCGCAAAGTATTCTTGGATGTGTCACCATCCCGCAAGGGAGAACTCAACTACTTCAAAAAACTCGGTGACGCTATGAAATACCCAGGCGCCAGTGAGGCGTTCTATGCTTATTTGAGAGCCATCGCGGATGCTTACCCGAACTTCAATGGAAATCCGCCACCTATGACAACATCCAAACAGGAACATATCATCTCGACTCTTCCACCGCTATTCAAATTTATAAAGGACACATATCTCGTAGTGAAAAATTATATGACCGACCTACCTGTTCAAGAATTTTATAGGGTATATACTTCATATTGCGAAACTCATTGCATTTCACCCCTATCAAAGATAAACGCTTCTAGAATCCTATCAAATGAGTTGGGTATAAATAGCAAAGTAGTACCAAGGGTGGAAAAACACTATGGGTTTACAGTATATCCAGGGAGGACCTCTACAAGAAGTTCCTCGGCAAAAACTGGATCCACGAAACAGACGAGATAGACATAGAAGGAATCGATATAGAGACTTCTAAAAAACCTGCATCAGACCCCAATGCCTTGGAAAAGTTCTTGGCAAATATATATAATCCAACTAACAATTCACAAGACGTACAAGAAAAACCCACTGAAGAAAAACCCGAACCTGTTATTAAAGAGCAACCGATTTCCAAAAGGACTCCTCCACCGCTTCCACCTAAGCCTGATCACTTAAAAGAACGTCTACAAGAGTCAAGGGAAGAAAAACCGTCTACCCCCGAGCCAGATAACTATGACGTCTTAGACGACTTGTTATCAGACTCGGATTCTACAACCGCAGACCCAGTTCCTGAAAAACCGTCTGCCCCCGAGCCAGATGACTACGACATTTTAGACGACTTGTTATCAGACTTGGATTCTACAACTGTGAACCCAGTTCTTGAGTAACAACCCGAGTCACCTACAGAATCTTCCACAAAATCTGAATCCCTCGCAGATTCCAAATCTTCTACAGAACCTATAGTAGAATCGGCTTCTGAGCAACTTATCCCAGAACCTGACACAGAACCAGAAGTCGACCAGGATCCTGAACCAAAGGAAGGCACTCGAGCACACTGGGCTTGGCAAGAAAGACACCGATGGGACCGCAAGCCATGGGTTAAAAATTCAAAGGACCAGGCCTTCGATGATCTCTACAATACAGGTAAGGAATTATGGGCCAAGTACCAAGACGCGTCAGACGAATATGACTGGGAAATACTCACGTTTGAAGTAGAAGAATGTCCCACAACGCGTATTGAGGACAAGTACCAGTACTACCTTAGGGAGGTAGTAGACCGCTTTAAGGACTGGATCAAATATAATGGATACTTATCTAAAACACCTAGCCGTAAAGAACTCGTGGATTTAATAAGAGTATACAAGGATAATCGTGATGCTGAGATTATCCCCACCCCTCTGGTTATGAAACTATGAGG